TATACCCATAATTATCAATTGTGTTTCCTTTATCTTTTTCTTCCTTTTTGAGGGACAAGTTTTTTTAAAAACGTAAATGAACTTATGAAATTGGGGAGATCTTATTTTTAGCATTTCTTTTTATATCTATTTTTATCACTTTATTTTTTTTCCCTCTTTTTTTTCTTTTTCTTTTTCCTTCCTTTTTTTTTTTTTTTCCTTCCAAATACATACATACAAAATATTATGATATTATGGTGGGTATTTTTCAAGTGCATTATATTAATTTACAATATGTATAATATCAACTAGGTTTTACAATTTGGATACTGGAGTTATTATAAGTTTTAGGGAATATATACTTTTCTTAAAAAGAATAATACAAAATAGGCTATAGTTACATAATTCTAGTTGAATTCAAAAAGGAAACCTTGATAAACTTGGTTGTTATATGTAAAATTCTATTGGTTTTGGTTATTCTAATATAAACAAACATCTAATGAAACAATTCTAATTTTATTGGATTTCACCAAAGTCCTTACAATTACTATATAAATTGTAACGTCCAAATCATATATATATATATATATATATATATTAGTAAAGAAATTCAGGTGACAAGGTGTCTCGTACAAATTCTGAATATTATTATCAATAACAGAATTTGATGCATGAATTAATTTTACTCAAATTTATTTGTATTTTTAGTATTTAAAATTATAAGGGTAATTTTGATAAGTACATTTATTTTCTTTTCTCTTTCATTCTATCCAAACTAACAATATAATATTTTCTCACGACTTCCTTGAAAAATTTTCATGCTAACCAAATGTACCTTAAAAACTTAATTTTCTTTTCTTTCACTTCACTTTCTATCACTTTCACTTTCCACCATCTATTTCCATCAACCAAATGGACCCTTAATAACTAATATTATTTTTTCTTATTCTTTCTTGCTGTTATACCAAATATAGCCTTTAAAAAAGAGAAAAAGTAGAACCAATATTAGAAAGACATGAGCTCATAGCACCAATCATTTACTGTAACAACATCGTACATGCTATATGGTATGGGACGATTCAGATCGTTCTTGCGTGTGAAGTGTCACAAGTATGAACGGTGTGAGCCGTCTCTTATTTTTTGATGTTGTACATTACAACGGATGATTCCTGCTCCATGAGCTCATCATGCGTATCAAAGATGTGGCCCCCTTGTGATCGTATGATTTTAAAACGTCCAACCATGTATGTAAACCATGCACTTTCTAACTGTAGGACATACCCTATAAGTAGTTTTAAAAAATAAAAATATAAGGGTCTCATGTATGTCAACGTCTAAAATATAAATAGAAACAAAAATCAAGGAAAGAAAATGGCTGGATTGGATATCAGACAGTTAATGATCACATGGGAAGTAGTTCATCTGAACGAGGTCATATTTCAGCTCCCTGTACCATGGAAGCTGACAGGTTCAATTAAGATCCATCAATATCCTGTCGCATGCATCTAGCAGAGATCAACGTTATTGTGGACAAAATATAAGCTAAATAATAAACACACCAAATATAAAATAAATATATTATTATGAGAATTAAATGAATGGTTTGAATTTATATTTGGAGTAAATCTAGTATAAAATTTATAATTTGTTTTTTTTTTTTTTTTTAATTTTAAATTCATAGTGCCAATTAAATATTCCCAAATGCAACTTATGTTATTTTACAAAATGTAATTGTTTGCAGCCTTCCTACCATATATGCAATTTCTTTTCATTAATTATCCTAGTGAGTGATATATATTTATTTAACATTAAATTTACGAACTTTTTTTCTGCTTAACAGGAACTAATTAGAAATTTACAAGGTACTGGACAACCATTTAATACTAAATCAGAGTTTTTTTAGAAGTTATATTGAGCTTTGCGGCACAAAAGATCAGACTGATACAAGATGAGCATTATATGGCACAAAAGAACGATAGAGACTCCATTAACATGTTTAATATGGGATATAACCAAAAAGACATTTTTACTTGTGCATTCAAAATTATTTGAGGGTAAAATTTATAGTTTATTTTGTAAGAAGGAAGTTCATTTTTATGGGGCTTAAGACAAGTATTGTTCTATTTATTCTCTTTCACTTCACTCCTTCATTAATTTTAAATGACTGCACCTCAAAATATAGCCGTGTCTCATAATAGTTGGGATGTATTGAGATTCCAACTTTTTATGGGAGTGTTTTTTATTGTATAAATAATGAGTCAAGTTTCATTTTTATCCTTGTGAAAAAGATAGTATTGTACTTCATTCCGTGGGATATGATATCATTCAAGTAAATGGAAAAGGGGTAATTTGGGAATGTGATGAAAATTAATACATTTAGTACTAAAAAGGGACGTATATTTTGGAATATTTAAAAAAAGAAAAAAAAAAAAGAAAAGAAGAAGAAGAAGATGAATATGTATTTTGGGACGTAGACAGTAACATTTTGAGGCACACTAGGAGATTCGAATCCCCATGGACTAACCTGACTAAATCTCTGCAACAGATTCTGGAAGTACCTAAGGACGAAATTACTTTTTATCTTGGTTCCAGTCGGGTTAGCCACGCCTTCTGAGTGGTTCATGGCTTGAAATTTCATTTTCTCGGTGTACCTTCGCTGCGTGTGATCTATTTTATTTACTTTCATACAACGACATGTCATGCTTTTGTTGGCCATTGATATAATCATCGAGATATCCCAAGTTCGTAAGAATTCGCCACGTGTCACCTTCTCATGACTGATGGCTTGTAGCATTACCCTAATGGGCACACGTGTATCCAATCTGAATTTAGTTTACTTGAGCATATTTCTTTCTCCCGACAAGGGATACCCGGAATGTGCTCGATTTATTATAAGTCAAGTGTTTTGATAGTCCTACAACTAAATAAATAGAGATTAATTCATCATACATATATATATATATATATATATATATATATATATCTGTGTGTGTGTGTGTGTGTGTGTGTGGGTGGAGTGAGTATTTACGTAGTCATTATTAATTGTTAGTATTTTTCTTATGCATCAATCAACTTATTGAAAACGGAATCGGTTTGCTGGTGACATCATCCCATTTTTCTCTTGATGAAATCATTTACTTACTGATAAATATATAGACTTAAAAATGAATAATGTAGACCAATTGTCAAAAATTAGGTATTGCATATATGATGATGCATGTGATGTTCAAAGAAATATCATCCGCGTAAGAGAAAGATGACATGACCCATCATCTATACTTGTACGCCCACTTAAATTGCATGCTCGACTTCTTATTATCAATCCACTGATACAACAACAGCACTGTCCTTTCTCCCGTCGTACTCATCAAGAAAGTTCAGCATTCATAAACTTCAAACACAAATTAATTCTTGTAAGCTATGTCTTGCGGCACGAATCAGTGCCTTCAATTTTTTATAGGATCTAAATCGATTCTTCAATCCTAAATTCAAGACACAAATTTGATCTTCTAAGCATAACACAAATATATATATATATATATACATATATATTTTATCTTTCTAAAATTATACTGTATGTAAATAATAAGTTTTAAGACAATTTTATTTAAGTCGTATTTTTCCTTTCACTCAATTTAAAAAAAAAAAAAAATAGGTTTCAAAAACTGAAAGACAAACAAATTGATATCAGAAAAATGAACCACACAAATCGTAAATGACTTGTATTTTTGAACAACTAATAAAATGCTAAAATGGATGGTATATTATTCAAATTATCACTCATATATATGTTTGATATATTTTTTTTTGTGACAAAAAACACACACCAGCTGTTTCATCAAAGGCTAGAGATCCGTGCAAGCAATTTTCAAACAATAATTTGGAATAACCATCTGGCTTAGTGGAGGACTTAAATATCCCCAAAAACATCAGAACGAAAAAAAAAAAAGAAAAAAAAAAGAAAAAACAGAAAAAAAAAATACTTTATTTGGAATATTTCTTCTCAGGGACAGCAGAGCCTAAATTAAATCAGAAGCAAAAAAGGGATTTCAAATCACAAGACAAGATTAAAATTTTGACATGGTTCATTCAAATTTAGAGTTAAGTTCATGGATAAGGAGATTTATTATAATCACATAGAGATATTACAACACTATAAACTCTATTGTATCACACCCTCAGGAGATTGCCCTTGCCGGCCAGGCTACATGTGTTCCCACTCATAACTCTCAACAATAACGTACGTATATATTTATAGGACCCAAACCTAATTTTATCATAAAATTTCACGGTACAATAAGACTCTAAAATAGATGCGTAATTCTAATAAAATTTGAGACATCGTTATCTAACACTTCTCAAAAGGGAAGAAAAGAAAAGGTAAGTTAACTTGCAAATAACAAAAGGAAAACTAATTACCAAATGATTGGCCAGTTGGAGAAGACTTACTCTAGTACCTTGTAAAGGTAGTCCGAGTTTCATCGTTACAAAGTCTTGTCTATGATGATGATAATAATAATAATAATAATAATTTTTTAAATTAGAAAGAAACAAACGTACACGTCACTTACACACCCACTTTGTCATTTGGGTATTTTATTTTTTACTCTTTTCTTGGATGAGTGCCATTATATATATATATATATATATATATATATATATATTCTTAATTAATGTTTAAGATGTTAAGTGCAATATTTTTGGATCATATATATGTACAGAAACATTCTATCAACTCAGCAATCCTGTAGAGATTTGGTTCGTACTACTATTACTTTTCTGAAATATATGGAAGAATGAGAACAAAAATCCCAAATTACAGTTATTTTGTTGTACCACAAAAATAAATAGAAAAGTAATTTAATTTGTTACAAGCATCGATCAAACGTCAGTCCTTAAAATTTCCCAAAAAAAAGACAAAAAAAAAAAAAAAAAAAAAAAAAAAAAAAAAAAAAAGGAAAATATTGTCTTTATTGTGGAGGTCATTTCACACAATGTGTAGGTGATATTGTTTACTATGCAGTACAACCAAACTTTCTTCACCGACAGATTGTGTTATATATCCTTGTCATCATCAGTTTTCTCTCCTTCGATCATCACCAATCTGTACTGTATTTATTATTAATTTGTTCTTCGATCTCATAGTGTTTGTGCACTTATTTCTCCCTCTGCAAACTCTCTCTCTCTCTCTCTCTCTCTCTCTCTCTCTCTCTCCTCATTATGGTTCAATCAAAGAAGTTCAGAGGTGTCAGGCAGCGTCACTGGGGTTCTTGGGTATCTGAAATTCGCCACCCCTTACTGTAAGACCTCTCAACTATCATCTGTTACAATAAGGACACTTCCTTCGCAGTTCCAACTGTGTAGCATCTTTATCACTGCCACTGTGTGTGCTTGTGTGTGTTTATCCCCCACATACTTTGTGTGTGTGTGTTGGGGGGGTTTTAGGGCATGCATGTTATAGAAAGACTAAAAGAAAATATACACAACACATACGATCAAGTACACAAAAAAAAAAAAAAAAAAAAGGTTTCGCATTCAAATACACATATATAGTATGAAAAATTAGAGAGAAAAATATCCCTCTAATAAAGGAGGAAAAATGGAGGAGTTTATTTTACCCTATTTGTACCCAATTTACACATGGGTTCTATACATAAACCACATTCATTTCACTTTAATTTCAAAGTTTTATGTCACATATTTAATTATGTAAATATCTCTTAATTTTGTATATTAATTCAAAGTTATTTATAGTTTATTCAAGAACATTCATAACTTTCACTCCGTCAGTTATGTAACATATTTGTGTGGTTGCAGGAAGAGGAGGGTGTGGCTAGGCACATTTGACAGTGCGGAAGAGGCAGCTAAAGCCTATGATCAAGCTGCCATTTTAATGAGTGGCCACAATGCAAAAACTAATTTCCCAGTGGCCCAAAGATCAGATAATAAGGACTCGTATACTAATAATGAGGAATCAAATTCTTCAGCAATTCCACAAAAGGGGTTACCTGAAATTCTTCGTGCTAAGCTTCAAAAATCTAGCAAAGCACCTTCACCATCTCTAACTTGTTTGAGGCTGGACAATGAGAATTCTCTCATAGGAGTGTGGCAAAAGCGTGCCGGTACGTGCTCGGAGTCCAATTGGGTCATGACAGTTGAGCTTGAGAAGAAGAATGATAATGCTAAAGTCACCGAGGGAGGAGCACTAATGCCAGTTTCTTCGGAGTCTCTGGTGTCCGGAGGGACGGACATGGATGAAGAGGAAAGGGTTGCACTTCAAATGATAGAAGAGCTTCTCAATGGTAATTATTCTTGCCCTAATACAGTCGAGATTCAAGGAGAGGGTACCTTTTGCATCTAGCTAGTACTCCGTAATTTTATGTGGTGGTTTCTAGCTTGTTCATGTTGATTGAAAAATTTAGTACGTGTGAATTGATTTGGGTGATTAATTATATATATATATATATATATATATATATATATATATATATATATATTATTAATTAGGAAAACGTTTATATGTGCCAGCAATTAAGATTACTTTGTTAGGAGCAAATATTGTCAGGGTCATTAAAAATAAGAATTTGGCATCTCTGAAAATTATGCCAATGTGGAAGATTCAGAGCAAATAATGAATGTTAATGTTCGGTTTTATTCAATATTTGTGTTATCATTTTTTGGACATTGATCATGCAATTTATATATGGTGTTAGCTTTAATTCCTTCCGTGAAAGAGAGGGGCTGAGTGCACACAAAGGAATAAAGGAAAAGGTTGAATATATTAGGGTAACCATATATGTGTTGAAGTATAGGAGGAAATATTAGGTGACAATTAACCGATGAAACCAATTTGTGTTGTCAATTTCTTCTTCTCCTCATTTTCTTTGCGTGTGTTTTGGTTTTTCAAATCTGGGTGGTGTGTTCATTTCTTTAGTTGCTTGTTAAATAGGGCACCCAAAACACGAGTCTTCCCTTTGAAGGCACTTCCTAACTTATCTTGAAATTAATATATATTGTTCGAGTTTTAAAGAGTCAAGCCTTATGTATCCTACCTATAATCCTTGTTTTGAATGCCCTTTCCCCTAATCCACTAACTATTAACTCTCCTTGCCAGGCAAGTTGTATTTTTCTCATTTTTGAATTTCTCAAGTTATATATACTATGACTAGTATTTTAAAAAATAATAATAATAAATTATTACAATTGATTTATAAATTTTATTTTTATTTTTGTTACATCGTTCAAATCCGGCCCCCCAACCCTAAATTTCTAGCTCCGCCTATGCTTCTAGGTTTATTTTTTGCACATTGCTGAATCTACAACAATATATATATATATATACACACACACTACAAGTTACTTCTTGTTAGGTACTTGCAAGGTTTATAAGAACCCTACAGAAAGGTCTTTAAAAATTAAAAAATGACTAAGTTAATGATGTATCAGTAGTAGACTAGTAGTGTATTGAAATAATTTTACCATCCTTAGTTGTGGATTGAGGGTTTAATTTGTTGGTTTGGGTCGGGACTTTCAATAAAACCTGACTACATTTTCGTATTGTATATGAGAGGCAGTTGGTACACTAAACTTCGTGATAATTTTATCATCATTGTTGGATGATTTGGATCTTATAGATATATATAATGAGCAGTGCTAAGCACAGACTGTTGCAAGTTTCAACCTTTAAATCATGTCCCGTGTCACACAGGGTTGGCCTTCATGATTCAAGGGCCAAGTTAGTATAGTCACCAACTGCACGAACTTAACATTCTCCATATAAAATTGCATCCGTTTTTTTTTTTTTTCACTGGCACCGAAACTCCCCTGGGTAGGGCCCCTTCGGGATTTACCTCAGACTGCAAACCGAGATGCTGTCAACGGTCCCACACCTCAGCAACAATTTCAGTCAAATATATAAAGAGGTGGGAAGGCTCGAACCTTGGCAGTGATAGCCAAAGCCAAGACCTTACCAACTCATCCAAGTCCCCAAGGCCACTTGTGTTTGTCGTACTTTTCTCTGGAACCCTTTTTTTTTCTTAGTTATATATATCACCTTAATTAGGAGGCTCATGTCCTGATGTCCAATGTATCATCTTAATTTGGTTTGATTACTAGACTATAGAAAGATTATCCTTACAACTTCGTTGCACAGTCCTGGATTTGGAGGCTATATATGCAGCTGAAGAATATATATATTATACATACGTATGTATGTATCCAAAACTGCCAGATGAGTCACTGGTAACTAACAAATCTTTTAACTAACTAATTAAATTAGTGCGAGATTAATATTATAGCTAGTTTCACAATAATAGCGCATATATAGTAGTTCCGAGTGATTAACTGGATCGATGTATGGATGAATATTTGAAGAAGAATGGTATATATATATATATATATATTGTGCATATAGTACTTCTTCAACTGCAAAAACCTAATTTGACTCGGAAAAAGATAGGCAGAAAATCTCTTCAAGGCCAAATTTTCATACTTTTTAAGTAATATATATCTTGCTTAATTAATGATACAAACATTCTTCTTTCTTTAACTCTACATTAAGAGTCTTAGAGGGTACCACTCGAGACTTGAAAATGAAAATCACAGTATGAAGAGGCGAGGTCCATATCAAAAGCGTCTCAAATGATAATTTGAAGCATTATTCATAAAGTAAATGGGGGACCATAATTAACCTAATTAATCACTAAATGAACATTATTGGCAGTAGTTTTAAATTTTCAAGTAATAAGAAAATAAATTTCAACTCCGACTATATATAGCAGCCACAACTAGTACGCGTTGACTCAGTACGCCTTGGCCTCTTCTCTATCAAAAGCTGCAAATGCCCCTTTGCGGAGAATATTGGTCATGTAACCAACTCTCTCTCTCTTTTTTTAATAGAGAAATGAAAAACTATATTAATCCGTGAGTGATAAGGAGAACTCTTAACTCTTATTCTGAAAAAGCTCTCTTGATGGCTTATTCACAATTTAAAACATCATTAATGCAAGCGTCTAACCTCAAATAGCGCTGTGACCAAAGGCTTCTTTGTGAGTGTAACAATTCAGTTGATTAATGTTGGACAAGGTTGGACCCACATTTCATATATATATATATATAAACTCACACACCCCACATTTTCATATTTGAGAGCCCTATTTATTATTGGAAAAATATATGCTTAATGTGACTTTTAAGATATAACAACCCTTATACTAATATGTCATGAGATAATTAACAATATGCTAATAAATCATTAATTAAATATGCAATTCTATATTTAATTAAATATGCAAAATAAAGTAATAAAATAATAATAATATGCAAGGAATGAACCTGGACCGAGGCTAGTATTGGATACTATGTCCTTAAGACAGATTCGCCCCGTTATGGTGCTAACGGACTCAGTGGCGTCTATCTCCCAGGATACAACGGTTTACATCCACCAGTAGCAGCACTACAAACTCGTGAATACGGCGAACCTCCTCCGTGTAATACTCTCTCTGACTCAAAAATGCATCTATATACTATATAAATGCTGAATTGGGTGTAATCCGAACCAAATGGTTCGGACCAATCTTAATATGGCTCGATGAAATTGGATTAGAGTCGAAGTGGCTCGAACCACTTAACCTATGGTTTGAACCCACTTGGGTTGGGTTCCAGTCTAGAGAGGGAGATAGAAGAAAATGAAAATGAATGAATTGCAAATGATCCAAAGGAGGGTATTTATAGAAACAGATATACCTTTTCGGATTGGGTGTATCTCTTCATTATTGGACACAACCATTGCAATAGGTTGCAATGGTTCACATGGTGTCTGTTCACCACTAGACACATCTATTCCAATAGATTGCAATGGTTCACATGGTGTCTGTTCACCAATAGACACATCCATTCCAATAGGTTGCAATGGTTCACATGGTGTCTTTTCGAGTGGGTGCAACCATGGGTTATGATGGTTCGGAAAAAGGTGTAACCCTTTGAAAAAAAAACTAAAAAGTGGTTTTTTAATTTAAAAGGTATAACCCTTTAGAAAAACTAAAATATGGTTTTTTAATTTAAAAGGTGTAACATTTTAGAAAAACTAAAAAGTAGTTTTTTTTAATTCAAAAAGCCAACCACCCAAAAAACCCACTCATTTGTTAAACCCATTTAAATAAGCCCAGCCCAAAATTAGGCCTAATCCAAAATTCCAAAAAAGAATAATCTGGACTTTACAATTAGGCCCAAGCCCAAGCCCAAATCATAAACTCAGCTTATTTAAACTTCAATTTGTTTCAACATTTTTTCCATGTGGGACAAACACTTCCCACATTTTGCATACTCATTTAGGCTTATCAAAATACCACACTTTGGAGCTAATTTCTCATTCATCCGGAAACGGATTTCAGAAAGTAAATATATCACATTCATCTCTTTACGGAGAGAAACGCGCTTGTCTAAAGATCCGTAAAAAATTATTAACGGAATCTATTTCAAATCTCATCCAAAGTTTATGTTTTTAATGCCCCCGTTTCCAACACTTATTTCACCAATAAGCCAATAATGGGTCCATATTTAATTAGAGTTGGGTTCCAATTTCTTCTCTGAGGCGGTACACAAGAATGGGCTTGGCCTCTTTGTATAAACCAAACCGGCCCGAGAAGGTTTCAATACTGTATTTTTACCTTTCTAAGGCCAAATTCGGCCGGCCCACGAAATCATCTTCTTTTTTTTTTCTTTTTTCGAAGCCATTAAATAAAACTAAGAGGAAATAGAAGAAAGATCTACTTAAGCGATGCTAAGAGCCAAGGTGGCCACACCTCCCAAGCCAGGTCACCTTGATTACATTTAAGAACCCACTGCCCTATTTCATAAGCTACCCTATTACAGCCTCTAGGAGCCCAATTCAATGAAAAGCTAGTCGTATTCGAATCACCGGAAACCATATATTTTAGCTATATCTTCTACAATAATCATCGAGAAGGAATCTGGAGGGGAAAGAGACATAACACACTTGTAATCATCTTTAACAATGGTTTGGGTGTAATCCCATACCTGCAAAAGATGCAACCCAAAACGAACAACTAAAGTTTCTACCATGGAAACAGAGTGGACAAAATCAAAAAGGCACGAAGCAACTCTCACCGGTCTGCCCTAAGAGTCTCTCAATATTAAACCTCCCCCGTATCTCTTGCGACAACTATCAAATGCTACATCACAGTTGAGTTTGAACAACCCATGCGGCGGAAGGTACCATGGCAAAGGCTTGGGAGGAGCAGCAAGCACTTCCACCAACCTATCATCTTTCTAACTTCCCTGAATTCAACAAAGTTATCAATTGCCCTGTTCAAAACTTCCAAAAAGTCCGATGTCCTCGCATTGAAGACTTTGTCATTTCAGCACTTTCATAGTTGCCAGCATATAAACGCCCCCAAATTGAAGCACTCTATTGGATTATCAGATTTGTTCCAACTAGTTGAGAGCTCTAACCATCTTATCTTCCATGGAATATCATTGCCTAGCGAGTTAAACTTAAACGGAGATGTTTTCCAGACCAATTGAGCAATATCATAGTTAAAGAGGACATGATCAACAGTTTCCTCTGACAATCCACATTGCGGACATGTAATGATGATTAGAATGCCTCTTTTTGTAAGTTACTCAACACTGGAATTTTGTCATGCGCACACTGTCATAAAAAGGACGGGATCTTTCGGTAAGCCTTAAACTTTCAAAGTTGTTTCCAATGGCCTTGGAATTCCATATCATAACTACACTTAGCACTTTCAAGGCCAGTGTGATTACATTTAAACCCATCAATCTTTGTTAAAACAAGATTGTATGCACTTTTGACAGGAAACTTACCATTATGTGAAGGACCCTATCTTATAGAATCTTCCAAATCTGAAATATTGATTGGCGTTTGAAAGATCAGGTTTGACTCTCGAGCATTAAAAATGTGCTGGATGAAATGAACTTTCCATGTCCTCAAATTTGAATTGATCAGATCAACAGCTTTAGAAGGACTTCTTGAATTGCAGACGAACGTGAGCCTTGGATTTGAATTGTCTGGCAACAAGTTGCCATTCCAACAGTCAACTTTAGAGCCCGTTGCAATTTTTCAATGGATTCCTCATCGAATTATATCCTTAGAGGCTGAGATACTTCTCCAAACCCAAGAGCTTCTTGATCCACAACTAGCTTCAAGAAAATTACAGTCTGGGAAATAGTTTGATTTATAAATCTTATAAAACAAGGATTCCTCTCCCACAACCAACCTCCAACTCAGTTTTGTGTCTATTGTCTTTTGCCATTCTTCATTAGATTATAGCTAAAGGTACAGTTCTTGACCTTAGTGTGGAACCATTTTTTTTTTTTTTTTTTTTCCTGCATTAGTGGTGGAACTTGGATAAGCCTAACCCTAACAACTTGAGTCCTGCTAAAAAATTTTAGGGGCGTGAACAAGCTATTTGAAACTTTATAGACCGAAAATATTTTGAGCCACATTTGGACAAAGATTTTACTAAATTGAGGAACTAAAGAACTCAAAATACAAATAATAATAAAAATAATTTTTATTTTTAAGGATATACTTTATTTATGTAAAATAAAGTTAAACTGAGATAATTTGTAGGCATTAACCAACACAGTTGCTTTAAAATTTTAAAATTATAATAATTGAATTTTGGTTTAAAAAAATAATAATAATAAAAATATAAGATATTGAGTTATTTCCAGAAGGAATCCTATTTAAAAAAAAAAAAACTTTCTTTGTCAATCAGTATTTGTTACCACTGATGTAGGAATAAAAACGCTTTTTAGCAATCAAAACACTAAAGAAAAGATGGAAAGTGAATCTTATTTATTAGTGGCAAAAAGAGCTGTGGCAAAAAGTGCATCTGTTTGACTTTATCAATTGGAAATTTGGAATCACTCAAAAAAATCCGATTGGGCATAGTCTAATAATATTTAATTATCCAAAGTCACAAAAGCAAAAACTTACTTGTGACATCAATAAGTAGTTTTATTTAATGTTGATTAATTAGTGGTATATAGTTATATATACTTTAATATTAATAGAGTATTATTTTTTTTTTAATTTTTATTTATTAGTAAGTTACTAAAATTTTGAACATGCAGCCCGAATTAATTAAACCTCTCAATTATGGAGAAGTTTAGGAGAACAATAATAATTATGTTTTATTATTATTATTATCAAAAAATATACGTCTACCAATCACACACTCATTCCCGCTAAGCCACATGACCCTTTATATATAATTATCTTATATATATATAAAATATTTTATTAACGTACGATTTGATAATTCAATTTAGAACTTAATTATGAATGAATTAAGTGTTTATTTAATTGATTATGTTTGACAACACAACTTTAATACAGAGTATCATTTTAACTAACTTAAATTAAGATAAAAATTTAAGTATCAGGTATCTAAAATTATGAAAATTATTCGTATAACATGCAGGAATTGCATAGTTTTGAGTCACTTTTCAATCAAAAATTTAAAATTTTTTGAAATATTGTTCTAATGATTTCTTATATATTTATTCTACTAACTTCTGCAATTTTTTATGTGTGATTTAAGATTCCAAATGCCTATAAAAAAGACTCTTCTTATTCACATACAATAATTATATTAGACATTACCTTATACCACCAACTCCAATCATACTATCATAGTATATACATACCCCAGTGATATTATTATACCCAAGGGATTATTATTATTAATTTATTTATTATCACTAGCTCGGTTAGGTTACATGAATTGTGTTCATAGTGACAAGGTACTCTCGCGGACTTTATACCATCCCACGCCTAAACGACACATCACGGTTGGTGTAATGATAGCGCTAAATTTGCAGACTGACTCGAACAAAATCAATCCAAACGTTCACAAGGTCCTTCTTCAAATAATGGCTAGAGCACCGCGTAGACTGCAGCACGAGGAACATTCAAATAACGACAAGAACAACACCTGAAGTTCACATGACAACACTTTTTCAGTAGAAAGTTGAATTTCACGTGGCAACTTCAAGACACCGCTTTAGAAAGTTCAACTATTTATTATGAATAATAAATAAATAAATATGTGATTTTTTTTTTTTAAAATAATTTCACTGACACGTTTTTAGATTTGACTAAATATCACTCTAAAAAATTTTCCAAAAATAACTATAATTTGTTCTATTTTCACTAAATTATTTTTTTAATGATTCAAATGACATATTTATTCTCATTTAACTTTAATTTGACTAATTAAATTATTATTTATATATATCATCATGTACCCCCACTAATTTAAAATTATTCTTTATATATATATATATAAAATCATCATCATCATCATACACCAATCAAATTATAATTATAAAATTATATATATATATATATATATATGTACTTTTCTCCACATTTTCTTTTTTATATATATCTTTTTTCTTTTCTTTTTTCCTAATTTTCCTTTCTTTTTATTATTTATAAATATATATATGTATATGTATATCTCAAAAATGGCGTCGTTGAGAATTTTGAAAATGTGTCCTTAATTATCAAAAATTGCAATGATCAACATGGTGAAGACAAAAATTGCAAAATTATCATGAAGAATTTTGCAACCATCGCAATGATTTTTAAGGACAAATTATCAAAATTCTCAACATTTTATTAAGGACAAATTATGTAAAATAAAATGTTGTTGTCTCATCCTTGTGATATATTGAGGTCACAGAGTGGAATAAATATTCCCATTTGGTTGTGGTTCAAATGGTTTGAAAAGTAAGTTAAAAAAAACCGACGATATTGTATAACTTTTCAAATTTCACTTTTTTTAACGTCACTAATTTCATACCAATTCTTAGGACAAATTAAGCCGGTTCACGGGTTAATCCAAGTCCCAGCATTACATTTCAACCCATATCATAGATTTCTCAAGTTTTTAAAATTTTTGAGGTCATACAAAATTTTAATTACCTACTAATAAATAAATATTACAAAAAAAATATATATATATTAAAGCATATACCTCCATACACTTAGACATAAAATGAAATAATTAATACTATTTATCTATTTATATGTTTTTTTATTGAAACTTGCTGAACTTAAATAAAATTCATTCCTATTATAATTAGGAAAGAATTTAAAATTTAAAAATTATATTATATTATTTTATATTCAATTATTATATTTATTATTTTAAAATTTTAAAACAAGCATGTCAAAGTTAACTTAAAACTTTATGATACTATAAATCATCTAATTTTAATTTTATATTACATAAATAACAAATAGTCTTAAAAATATAAAATAAATTTGGTATCTAAAGTTTAAATCAAATTCCAGTCCTATAATATCAAGTGTTTACTTAAGCTCATAGAATTTTCGGGTTCTTCGGGTTAGACCCACCCAAATGGTAACACCACCATTTCCAAATTTAAATGAAAAATAAAATTCTCTCTCACTAAAAGTGTAAATAAAATTGTAAATTTATATTTAAAATAAAAATAAATAATCGTGTTCGTGTGTGGAAAATTGACTATACTTATGTTTTGGAAATTTTATGATACAGATGGCAAAGATTTGCAGTACACATACTTACACAGTTTATACGACGTCGTTGTTTTCCCGAGAAGCTATGAGCCTATGACAGTGCCGTGACGAAACGTTTGTTTTTTTCCCAAAAAAAACACACATCCCAATCCAGTGAAGCAATTAATAAATATGGAAAAGAAACCTATCCATAGGGAAACTTTCATTGCACAGACATCTGAGACCCATACGTTATATAATAATACACACAGTCACACACACTCTTCTATGTTCTATCGCTTTGGCTTCAAGAGTACGTGAACAGCTCAAATACTCTTCTCTTGTTTCACCTAGAAGACTTGGAAGTTTAATTTGTCTTTCTCTCTCTCTAAAATCAGTTCAAATACTCTTCCTTCACATGGCTTCTACAACACCCATTTCTCATTCACAATCCCTTTTCAACAAACCCCAATTCGGAACACGAAAACTCCACCCCACTTCCATACCAAATCCCGATTTCAATTCTAGGGTTTTCACTAGAAATTCCTCCTCCCTTTTGTACAGTAAAGGCGGTTCTGCTGTGACGCCTTTGAATAAGAAGAAGATGGTGGTTGTGTCGGCCACGACGGCGGAGAAGCAGCCGAAGAAGAGGTACCCAGGAGAGGCCAAAGGGTTCGTGGAGGAGATGAGGTTTGTGGCCATGAAACTGCACACCAAAGACCAGGCCAAAGAGGGCGAAAAGGAGCCTCAGGGCCAACCTATTGCCAAATGGGAGCCCTCCATTGACGGGTATTTGAGGTTTCTTGTGGATAGCAAATTGGTTTACGATACGCTTGAGAGGATCGTTGAAAAAGCGCCTTTTCCTGAGTGTAAGCTTTCTGTATTGCTTTTGACGATCCTTTTTACTTTTTTGTTAGTCGTTGAGATTGGTTTTTGTGAATTGGGCTTGATACATTTTGGTGATTATTGTTATTTTGGATTTTTTGAAATTTTCTGTGATTCCAATTCTACTCTTCTTTACTTTCTGAATTTGTTTGAACCCTTTGTTCTGTGACGATTGTTTAAGGTAAATATTAACCAATTGATTACTTTGTATGGGTTATACATGGTTGGTTTGCTTGGATTCTTAGTTTACAAATGCCAGTCATGGAAAATACTTTTTTCCCTACTCTGCATTTAAGGACAAAAACATTGAATTTAGAAATGTTGAAAAGAGGGTTGAGATTGTCTTGTGAAGAATCTAACTCATATTTATCAATTCTTAGGTTATTGGATTTTATTCGTATTCGGTTACAAAGGTGTTTGGCTACAAATATTTTTGGTATTTGGAAGTGCGGGCGTGCCAGAATTCTTTACAGAATTCAAGTGAGAGTGTCAAACAATATTCCACAATATTGTTGGTGGAAGATTGAATTTCAGATGATTGTGAGAGAGAATGAATTTCAGGTGATTGTGAGAGAGTCTGGAATTACTACTCCATGGAGTTCTTTTTTGCCTTTTTACAAAGGACTTCGGAATTGTACTAACTAGAAGAATTAACTACTGAAAGTGAGTAAAATATTGAAATGCTGAATTGAAGAATTGGAAGATTGAGATTTAATTAATCTAAAGGAATTGAAGTACAAGAACTGAAATTCAAAGCTAACTAATTACTGAAAGTAAAGGCTAAGCTAAGAAATTGAAAGACGAGGGCAAGTAATGTTAGATAATTGAGTTGTGTTGTTGATGGTTGTGTTGAACAAGGTTTTAAATGTCCTCAAACTTTCCTATTTATAGAGCCCTAAGCTTAGCAGTTCTGTTGGCAGTTGAAGTTGCATAGAAATCTTCCACGTTTTTCAATCAAACATTGCCATGTGCCATGTGTTCCTGAGCACGCTTCTGTTACTCACCTTGTTCCCACATCCGAAACCATGTTCTGACCCGGCTTCTCTTCACATGCTATTTTCTTAGAATGAGACACCCATGATCTCACTTGTTTAAACTACTTTAGGATTCTTGTGTGGTCAACCGACAATCAAAGTAGTTTTCTTCGTTTGCTGCAATCCTCCTTAGCTTTTAGGAGCACGTCCAACAATTATTCTCAGCTTGTGCCAAGTGCCCTCTTGCATTCAAATCCTTTTCCCATAGTATCCTGCATGTTCTATTATAACTGATTTTTGACGACTTCTACTCCTGTGTCATTCTTCCTCAGTCTTCTTTCTTATTCTTACTGCCACGTGGCAGGTGGCTGTAAATTACACCTCAAAAGAAAGATACATAACACTCACCACATCACGGTTTAATTAAATATCATCAACTCCCTTGATTTAGCCATGTGTCTCTCCCTTGTTGGCCTTATCTTCCCAATCTGTTACAACGTGGGAAGCGATGGCAGTTAACCCGATTAAAACACTTGGCCTCCTCCCAGAAGCCTCAGCATAGATCAACCACTAATTTTACTCACCCCAAAATAGCCACGTGTCGTTCTTTAATTAGCTCTCATTCTTTCTTATCACTCTGTCTCTGCTGACCTAGACTCTTTAGCTGAATCGTGAACCATCTCCAGATGTCATCCCCTTGTTTAAACTGCCATACCGACTTATTAGTGAATCATCATCCTCCACTTGTCACTTTCCTATTGGCAATCGGCTGCCAAACAGGGTGTAAATAGAAGGTTCAATATAGAAAATTATTTCATTGAAAACCTGCCAAAGGAGGTGCAACCCTTTTTTATAAAGAAAAGGAAAAACTAGATTCTATTGACCAAACTTAAACAAAATTACTCTAAAATGACCCCAAAGTCGAGAAAAGATGAATAGTGACCAAAATAAAATTTAGATGCTAACAAATGATCATTTGATGATTTGTTACGTATATATCCTTATAATAAATTATTTTATAATTGGGTAAATCTACCCTTATACATTGAACTCAGAGCCCGCTAGAAATGCATCAACCCACCTTTGCCTAGAGAACAGCCGTTGCGGCGACCCATCAGCGACTCGAGGAGGGTCCCACCGCGGCTGATGAAGATGCAGTGGTTGCGATAGGCAGTGATGAAGCAATCCTTCTTGTTGATGGTGACCTCCACGGCCACTGCCTATTGGCCATCATAGAGGTGACAGAACCCTCAGATCGGCTTGGCCTTGTAGGTCAGGGGCCATATCATGGAACAAGGTCATGAGCTCTTTTGGGGGTGGTGTCGACTGTGGGAGAGGGTGGGTCACATATGTGGTCAGTGAAAGGGATGCTGGTCTCGACAGGATGGTAGTGGTGTAATCTAAGGATGCTGATAACTGTCGGTGGAGAGATGGGGTGTAGGAGACGGCAATGGCGAGGGGTTGGGTGAGAAGAGAGAAGAAGATTCATGATTTTTAAGTTTTGAAGTTAATTGATTTTGATTACAAAAAGATATCGTTTGAGGATCTGATTACTTAGCAAAAGGCATTGAAGATGCCTTTGAGCAGCTTTATGAAATAAATGAACGAGGGTGCGTATCCGCCGAATGATCGGCATCCATTGCAATAGTATGTCATTAATTGGAGAGCATGCATAGATATGGTTAATAGATTGGGAACCCTTGATTGACTCGTGAAGCTAGAATCCAAGGAGTTATCCTTTATATTGGATGGCAATTTCATCATTTAAAATTATTTTTACAATTTTTAATAATCAAGCAAGTGTTTTTGACCAAATTACCCTCAATTGGTCACTAGTTGGTTATTATTTTTTAAGTTTGGTAACTATTCATTTTTTCTTGACTTAAAGATCACTGTAAACTAATTTTTATTTTTTATATTTTTAATTTTACTTACCAATAGGGAATATCTATATTTTGTACAACAATCCTCCTTAAATAAGTTCTCACTTAGAGGCAAATCTCCATAACCATTTCCCGACATGGCCTGTTTGAATAATGTGGGCCTTGTATACCCTAAACCCCTATGTCGAACCCAAACCATGTTATCTGCTATATAATACTTGAGTGTGATTCATTAACTCGCAGAATTTCTTCACTTCGTAGTAGGCTTGTAAAGTTACGAAGGATGTTTTCTGACTGATCTATTAGATAGGTAATTTTGTTTTGGATTGCTCCAAATACTTGGAAGTTGTAGCTTTTTTATAAGAGTAGTGTGCACATATTTTTGCTGTGGTGAACAAGCGTGTGTATGCATGCGCGATTGCATGTGCATTAATTTACCTATGAAGTAGTTGGCATAAAGTAACGTTGTGTTTTTTCTTTTCTTTTTTCTGCAGATGCTGAGTTCAGAAAAACAGGATTGGAAAGGTCGGGAAATCTCACAAAAGATTTGGAATGGTTCAAAGACCAAGGTCATGCCATTCCTGAACCATCAACTCCTGGTCTTAGCTATGCTCTTTATCTTGAGGAATTATCAGAAAAGGATCCCCAAGCATTCCTTTGCCACTTCTACAATATTTACTTTGCCCACACCGCTGGTGGTCGAATGATTGGGAAAAAGGTAAACAAATATCAGCTTGGAAATGTTGTTCAAATTATACTGGTAGCTTATAGTATCTGTAAACAACAAAAAAAATTTTACATGGATTATTTCAATTGCAAGTGTATAGACTATTATCAACTTATTAAGTCTAAAGACGCATGGTCATTTTTTTTTGAACATTTCCTTATATGTACTTTAAATATGGCATTGTGTATGCATTAAACGTGGTTAAATTAGCAACCTGCCATTATTTAAATTTATAGAATAGTGTATGCATTAAACATGGTTAAATTTATTTTATGCCATTATTTAAGTTGGAAACTTGAATTCTCTTTCCTGTTTATGAAAATGCGTCCCTCTATTATAGCATTCTTTACATCAACATACATGGGTTTTGGTGAACTTTTAAAGTTTAGAATAAATTGAAGCAGCAGTTAATTAACTTCTATCTCCTCTTGCTATTTTTCGTACTCCTAGCCAATCAGATGCATTGCTTACCTCTTTTTTTCCCAGTAGCCCTTAGATAAAAGATGAGTCTCTCATCCAATCATCCAGTCAAAAGTCATTTTCCTCTTTCTGGTAGCTTCTTGAATCCATTCAAATTCTCTGATTGTTCACAATATGCAATGAGGTAACTTTATTTATAAATCCAAGTTTGTGAGGCAGTTCTCAACTCGAATTCTTTTATCGTTTTCCTATTTCAGGTTGCTGAAAAAATTCTTAATAAGAAGGAGCTGGAGTACTATAAATGGGATGGTGATCTTTCCCAACTGCTGCAGACTGTAAGGGACAAGCTGAACAGAGTTGCGGAAGTAATTTTCTTGGTGCTCTTTTTCTATTTTAAGTATCATCATTATAAATATTTTGGTTTAAGCTAATTTTGATTTTCCCTCCTTTTCTGGAATTGTTAATGAATTAATTCGCTTATTTATGTGGGGTTTAACCAGAGTTGGAGTAGAGACGAAAAGAACCACTGTTTAGAAGAAACGGAGAAATCGTTCAAGTTCTCAGGAGACATCCTTCGTCTAATATTGTCCTGATGCACAAAATTGTGCTCCTGTCTTTGTGAGGTTGTGTAATGGCACAAGCTCCAGATGTTGTCTGTGTTAAAGCTTTTATCTTTTTCAAATTTTACAATTTCACTGTATTGTACATAAACAGAACTCTGTGTAAATATAGAAATTTGAATTTGGGCTCTAAACCATCTCAATGGCTGCTGCTGAAACTTTTTTAGTGTTTCTGAGCAATAATCAAAGTATACCCATTATAGCATAGTCTACCAGCAGAGACTATGAGAAGAGGAAGATACCTTATTGTCACGGGTTTAGAGTTTCAGCACCACTCTAGCTACCCCCGTGCGTCACCAAAACGTTGCTTCTACCCTCGCAAGTGCTTGGTTAGCCTAACTCCCGTGCACACCTTAGCCAACATACTCCCCTCGTGCGTTTACTAGTGTTGTAGTGGCCCTCGCCCTCTCCTCACTTGGCTTGCACACTCGCACACACCAAGGCACTTAAGTTGGCAAGGAAAGAACACTCCTATTACTTCAAAAAAACGCTTTGTACAAGGCTAGTACTCAAACTCTCTACAAGGCTCTCAAGACTCACTCTAGGACTTGTTGCTTACAAAATGAAGTCCTACCTCTATTTATAGGCATCCCCATCCCTAATGGATGGTTAGGATGCATTCTAACCAATGGTGGAGATCGATTCTCTAGAATCTTTTCCCATCTTTTTCACACTTCCATACTTATCTACTAGTATCCTACAACATTCTAGAATTTTTCATACTACTCCACACAATTCTGGAGAATTCTATAACCTTCCACACACTTCTATAATGTTCTACACATTTCTACACATATGTAGAATTTTCCACACAACACTAGACTATTCCGGAAGATTCTAGAAACTCCTATGCCATGAAGCGTCCTCCTCAGCGTCTGCGTGTCGCCTGGTTGGCACAACCTTCATAGGCGGGGCATGACATTCTCCCCCACCCATTTCCGTGACGCCCTCATCACGGTTTCTTCAGCTGACCCAGCCTCTCGCAGGTCATCAGCACTTGCGCATATGTTCTTGGCCCAAACGTACGAGCGCCCTTCGGGAGATGTGAGGTCCTCACGAGCTCCATTGTGTTGATTGCCACCTCTGGACTCTCCTTCCTGCCCACGAGCGGCACCATGCATACGGCCTTGCCTTCTTCACCTCCAAGTATCATCAACGCACCAAGGCATGGTAGTGGTGCGGCGTTGTTCCTGTCCATGAACTCCAGCCCTAGCACCATATCATGGTCGTCCATCTCCGCAACCTGGAAGTCGGCCTGGCCCTTTCATCCTTGCATGCATAGTTCCACCTCCTTGCACACTCTACTCACGTGTGCCTCCTCAGAGTTGACGGCCTTGATCCATCCCTCCGTCTTGCGCATCTCCAAGCCAAGTCGTTACGCCTCCTCTGGGTTAATGAAGTTGTGTGTGGCGCCCGTGTCCACCAACGCTTGCACGGCTTTGCCACCAACCTGCGCATCCACATAGCGCACCCCAGCTACTTTCTTCGCCTTGCCCTTCTTCTTGGTGTCATGCGCCATGCTACTCAGTATCTACATAGCCCCCATGCACCTGTCTTCGTCGCTGCCCGCATCGTCCACCTTGCCCTTGCCCTTATCTTTCACAAGGGCGCTCATGGTCTTCTTGTTGGGGCAGTGTCGCAATATGTGCGGCCCTTCGCACAAGTAGCACTTCGGCTCCCACTTGCCCTTATCGCGGCTCTCCCATTTGCAACTAGCCTTAGACCTCTCTCCATGGTCCTTGCCCTTATCATGGCGTGGGCGTCTCTCCTCATTGCTGTGCTCATCATCACTGGACTTGGGCGAGCCCCGTTTCTTGAAGCGCCGGTCTCCCCCACATTTGCCGTGGTCCCTCCTAGGAGACATGGCCCTCTTGTCATCACGCCTAAAGTCTTCGAGGCGCTCCGCTATAGCCATTGCGGATGCCAAGTCTCTAGGCTCCCTTATCCTTAGCTCCGTGGCCACCCAAAACTGCAACCCATCTATGAACAAGCACACGCGTTGCCGCTCCAGCATCTCTGGGATCTCCAGCATCAAATTGGAGTACTCCTTCACATACTCCCTTATGTTGCCCTTCTGCTTCAGGCGCCTTAGGTTGATCATGGCCAGGTCCTCAACGCACTCAGGGTAGAACTACCTCTTGAATTCCTCCCATGTGTCAACTGCTCTTGCGCCTCTACCGGTGAAGCGCTGCCTCCACCATAGAGCGGCAGTGTCCGTGAGGTACATGGTGCCTGTCTGCACCTTCTCCTTATCATCCTCGATCTCCATGCATTCGAAGTACCGCTCCATGTGCCAGAAGAAGTTATCAATCTGGCGCGTATTCCTTGTCCCATCATACTTCTTGGGCTCTGGCGCCTTCTTCTTCCTTGGCTTCACCACGACCTCGCGCGCCTGGGAGAACTCTTTCCTGCACTCGGCAATCTCCACGCGCAAGTCGTCTACCCGATCATGCAAGTCCCTTTCCTTCTTTTGTGCCTTGTTGGCGATGCCATCAATCAGCTCGTAGAGCTCCGCCATCCTTCTCTCGAGCTTGTTAAACTTGGTCTCTGTGTAGACAAAATGTGTGGCAAGCTTCTCCTCCAAACTCTGCTCCAAGACGTGGACTTAGTGGTCTCCTCCGCTAGCCATATCTACTCCAACAAAGCTCCCTTGACGAACCTGGCTCTGACACCAACTGTCACGGGCTTAGAGTTTCAACACCACTCTAGCTACCCTCGTGCGGTACCAAGACGTTGCTTCTACTCTTGCAAGTGCTTGGTCAACCTAACTCCCGTGCACACCTTAGCCAACACACTCCCCTCATGCGCTTACTAGTGTTGTAGTGGCCCTCGCCCTCTCCTCACTTGGCTTGCACACTCGCACACACTAAGGCACTTAAGTTGGTAAGAAAATAACACTTCTATTACTTCAAAAAAACGCTTTGTACAAGGCTAGCACTCAAACTCTCTACAAGGCTCTCAAGACTCACTCTAGGACTTGTTACCTACAAAATGAAGTCCTACCTCTATTTATAGGCATCCCTATCCCTAATGGACGGCTATGATGCATTCTAACAAACGGTGGAGATCAATTTTCTAGAATCTTCTCCCACCTTCTTCACACTTCCATACTTATCTACTAGTATCTACAACATTCTAGAATTCTACATACTACTCCACACAATTCTGGAGAATTCTAGAACCTTCCACACACTTCTATAATGTTCTACACATATGTAGAATCTTTCACACAACTCTAGACTACTCCGGAATATTCTAGAAACTCCCATGCCATGTAGTCGCCATGCAGCGTCCTCCTCAGCGTCTGCGTGTCGCCTGCGTGGCACAACCTCCATAGGCAGGGCGTGACATTATTATAGCTTGCTGTACCTTCCGTTTTTCCATAGCTCTTCCAATCAAGTTCATATGATTTTTTTTTTTTTTTTTAAATTATGAAATAAATGCATGTTCATGTTGATGTCTAACAGCTTCAGTTATTAAAGAAATGAATGCTTGTGTAGCATAATATTAAAGTTATACTGCTCTAGCTTAAGCTTTTGAACTACATGAGCAGTTCATTACTCAAACCAATTTGAGCGAATCTTGGTTATCTCATTCAATTTCTTTGGACATATTCATTGAAAAAGACTTGTTTAATGTACAAAGTTGGCGCGGGTAACCATGTAAAGATTATAAATTAGGTAATCGTGCTTGCTCTAATGTTTCTGCCCTTGGAATAAAAATTATATTTCTTATCTTCATAAATTTAATTTATGAAATTCCATTATTGGTCTGCTCCCTATGGGGAATTTTTTTTTCTTTATCAAGGATGATAGGATTTGGGTTCATCATTCTTGATTCTTATCATGTAATCTTCATTAGTGCACTTTTGTCATTTTTTCTGCAAGTGTATCCTAAGTCTGAGCAATTATAAAATTCTTTGGTCCTTTGTGTTTTATTGTTTTTGTTCATATTTTCTCTCATATTTTGCTTATCAAATAAAATCCGAAACGAGATATAAAAGAAAATTGAATATCAGTGTAAAGATTTAGATTTGTTGAAAATCTATTTACAAAAAATCTATTTACAAAAATGATAAGGCGATAATTTCTACCACAGGAGCGCCTGTAGCTCAGTGGATAGAGCGTCTGTTTCCTAAGCAGAAAGTCGTAGGTTCGACCCCTACCTGGCGCGATGTTTTTTACTGGAGCATTTTCCTTGAATCTGTTTGCTTAATTAATTCAACTAAAAGTTGAAAAGGACCACAATTTTTTTCAGCCTCATTGAATCATAACCGAACCAAAATGCATTTACAACAATAAAAAGATTGAAGTATAAAATTGCAGATCACAGAAACACACAAAGGTGGCAAGCAATGCTCAAAAGTACATGTCTTCTCCTTAACCAGCCAAAACTGATACATCATGCAAATTTCATATGAAATTATAAGATAATATATGGATCAAATGCTTGTGTATACACACACTAAGAATTTCTGAAACCCATAAGAAGTTATCTGATTTTCTGTTGAAGAAACATGTGCAGTGTTCTATGACATTGTCATCTGAGATTACATAAAGAAAGGAAATAGTAAACAAGGTTCATCCTGAAGATCAGCACAACTCGCTGAAGATTAGAATCCTATGAACTATCACTCGTCGAATGTGCTCATGAATCCACCAAGGAAACCAGCTCCGTTACAATCCCCACATAAAATATCTTTTTTACCTCTGCAAGGAAAAAATAAAAACAAAATTCATTATTACATTATCAAGCAGGTGCACATATCAGCAGCAACTATTACCAATCTTCCTGATATGGTATAAAGCCATGGTGGAGAGCATCATGTGATGGGCTGTGTATATTCCATATTTATCAGCCACAGTTCCTCCAACTGAGGAGCACAAGATCTTCATATGGAAATGTTAAAAATAGTGTATTCCACAGTATTTCATGCATGAGCAGTGTGTGGAATCAACAAGGCATGGGGTTTTGCACCCAGCCTGAGAAAATATTCTAAAAATTACTTACTGTTTGTTTCAAAGACGTAAAAGATCGTCAAAATGAAGTAAGCACTCCAATTGGAAGAGGCATGTATCGACATAAATATTGTGTCATGCCATAAATATATTTGGTGATTGAGTGAACAGGGTATAATTAATTCCTACTTCCTCAAAAGCGGCATCACAGGTATTGGAGATGAACAGCACTGCACTGCTTTGAATGTTATACTAATTCTTATCAACTAGTTAAACCAAATATGAGATGGCCTAAATTTGGGAAGATTGAGGACAGTTAAGGCAAAGAAGTAACGAGACTAGTCCTTTCTTAGGGTTCCAAAAAGGTAATTTGACTAGTATTACAAGTTTCAATGAGGGATTTGCAGTCTATAAGAGATCTTAATATAAAGTATGTATCTTTTTGTGCTGCAAAAGCAATAACAAGGTAATTTTCTAGAGCTGTTTCTTCTTTCTAGTTTTCCCTAGAAAATGGGAACTTTGTTTCATTCTGAGTTGATTTATAATTTCAGTCACCTTTTGATAGGTTCCCACTCAATTTTTCTTAAATAGAAAATCAAACCTTACAGCCTCAAGCAACTCTCTCAGGTAGGGATGAAACATAATGATGACAAATGTAAGGATACTTATATTAGCACTTGGTTCAATATGAATGTCTAGCGCGTGAGGAGGGATTGTTGTCGTGTTCTGATAAGTACCTGCAAAGCCAACATAATCCACCGGCTTTAAACTGTCCGTTGAAGTGATCTACAGAGTTAACTCCATTACCTTTGCATTGTGAACAAACTACGGCACCTGGTAGTTGAATAGGAAGCAAAAAATTCTATGAGCTGGCATTCTACATAAGATATGTTTCCATTGATAAATTCAAATGTTCGATCCCAAAAAACAAAAAGGAAAGTAAATTATGGTAAAAGATAGAAACAACCCCAAAGAGAAAGGAGAAACAAAAGTCTTTTAGTTACCCATCAATCTGCATACCATTTCCATCACAATTAGCACAAACTAGGCTATTTGGTTCGGTGCCTTGGTTGCTACCTGTAGCCTGTAAACCAAGATGAAAGCAATTTTCAGAGCCCAGAAAAGCAAAGAAAGTAGGAAAGAGTTTCAAATTTATTAGATGGATAAATGAATGATCAACCCTTCATTCACATTTTTCTCTCAATGGATTTAGCGCCAATATCCAGACAGACTGTAAGTCGATCAAGTTCAACCTGAACCCAACTTAGTCCTTTGGTAGGCTTGGTCAGTTCTTCTGTTGTTTGGGATGTGCTTGTATTGAACATTTTCAACCCAATCTCAATCTGGTTTGATGCTTTCAGTTGATCCCTCAAGCCTCGTTTTTGGGTTGATCCACAACTTGCCCAATCCGTCCAACTTGCACCTCCTAACTCAAATGCATCATTCCTCATTTTTAAGCAATCACAAGTATTCTATCCAGTTAATGGAACCATCAGCAAACTTTTCCTCATCATACATTGAATTGGTAATATGTCACTGGTTTCAGCACTCTCTCTCTCTAGTCTAGCGACAAGGACTACAGAATGAGGTGTAGCGCTCCTCCCACCAACAACCCCTCCAATTCCATCACCTTACCAAGACTTGAACCCTACACTTTCCCCGGGGGAGGAGCAGGAGATACTTCCTAAGCTACACCGTTGGGGGTAAAATTATTCATTACTAAATACATCATTACTTGTTTCCCTACGCATCTATCTCTACCTTAAGTACACTCTATGGCCTATGTATAGGCATGCCCTTCTTAACCATGCATGAGATTAGACACGGCAAGTTTTAGACCCTTGTGTTTAGGGGTATATGCCCCTCTTGATTCCGTCTTTTTTTATTATTATTATATTAATCTTATACCAAAAAATTGGCAATCTTCATATAACAAAATTACATAATTTTTTTTGGTAATCAACGCAATTAAATATTTTCTTTAACTTGAAATGTATGCATCAATTGCATAAGCAATATCTCAAAAACATTTATCCACTTCATTCATCTTTCTCAACACTCAGACAACATCCTCTTCAATTTACCTTAAGATGTTCAATCAAAATAACAAACAATGGTAATTATTAACCGAAAAAAAGAAAAAAGAACCAAAAAAAAAAAAAAAAAAAAGGTAAATTTTATAGCATCTCTGAATGGTCCTGACTCAAGAGTACCATACACCATACTCTGATCTCCTATGTTTCAGTTGGAACAACTAGCAGATAACAGATGGATAATTGGATATGAGTCCTTTAATAACTTTCTTCAAGTAATGCAATTCATCGCAAGTTCAAATCCAGCAAAGAGAAATCGAATTCAAAATTTTGAATCAAATAAACTCTCACCTTAGCCTCCAACGAATGAAATTTAGCATTTTGACTGTTGTGAGATATACTATTGATCCAAAGAACCTTTCCAGCAGTTGGGTTGTTAATTATTAGCCCTAAAACAATCAACAGTCATTACAACAACAAAAATTAACTAAGAGAAAAACAAAGAATCAAATGTAGAGTTTGCACACACACAAACTGTCAAACACAAACACACAGAGGTCCATGCAAGAAACTGTAATGGCAGAAAGAAAATCATAAAAAAAGGCATTTCCATCGAAGTGTAATATACAAATATAGGAATACAATATAAATACATACACACAAGCATTATAGCATATATAGAAAGGATATGGGTTGTGTACCTGGTTTATTAGTGGGCTGGAACTGGAAGGCAGTGAGATGTGTGAAACACAGAGAGTTGGCCATTTCTAAAGAGATTCAAAATTGGTTTTGATTTTGAGAGAGTGATTTTGGAAAGTAGTTTCTTTTATCAGAAGAAGAGAAAGGGATTGACCACTCTGGATTTTGGTTAGTGTTAATTTCAAGCTGACGTTGGTGGCAACGAATACAGGCGGCACAAAAACCAGATAAGGAATGGGTCTCCTTATCTCTCACACGGTCGTACTATGGAGACTATTGCATAGGAGTATTACATTACTAGAATACCCTTGTAAATTTTATTTACCTTCTATCTCCTCTCTTCATTTTCAATATCGAGTAAAATGCTACAATAGCGAGTTAGTTTTAGGACTCTTTTGTAAATAAGATACACACAAATTTTATTTTTATTTTTATTTTTAGCAATTGGAGCGCTTTGTGAACAATATACAAGACACTCATTCTGTCATTCATCTAAAATATGGAGGTTCATTCTCTCAAAAATATTGTGGGACTTCTTTGCTCATATATAAAGTAAATAATTTTTTTAAAAAAATAATCTCTATGTATATGAAAGTAAATAAGGATGTGCACATTTGATACCTACTTCATAAAAAATCAATATAAAGAATGATATTTTTTTTTTCCTAAATAAAGAATGATATTTTAAATATAAGATTATACTAATTTTTCTTAAAACATAGCATAATTATATAAGTCTTTTAGTTTATTCATAATTTACACGTCCTAGTTAATTTAATTTAATGCTTTGTAACATACTTTTTGTTAATAGTCATTAAATTTTTAATAAAAAAATATAAAATATAAAATATATTTTGCTAGGAATGTAGACAATATCCTAGTAAGTTTGTGGTAGGGGTAGTTGATAGTGGCTCATCGTCACGAACACAAAGTTAAGTATAAGGGCTCAAGTCAGCCCTAATACTAATTGGTATTTAGGAGAACTTCGTCGAACCAACATATTTCTTTATTTTTCAACATAATGGTATATAACTCAAGGGGTAGAAAGATAAATTCACTTGACCAGTGTAATTTTTGATCTCAAGAGATGAAAAGTAAAGGGCATTACCGTCAATTAACTTCGATCTCCAAAACAATTCCGGGAAACCACAACCTCTCGCTCATTAGAAACACATCTATTTTATTGTTTTCAGAAAACGAAAGCAGAAAGGAGCAAAATGGAGAGCGCTCTCTTATCGGTTTCTCGCTTTCTCCCTTCAAAAAGTAAGCATTTCCTATTCCTTCATTTTTGCCCCTTAATCTCAAATTAAATCAAGATAATATAATTTAAATATATTTCAAATTCACATTTCATTATATCTTCCGATATATATATATCATATATTGAAGTCTCGTTGTATCTTTTCAGTGTTCTACTAGAAACTGTGCTAACTTAGTAACTTGTAATTGAAAATTTATGGGTGGTTGTAATTTTGAGTTCTAATACTATACAAATTGGAATTTGGAACTGATCACTGTGTGTTACATACCTGACCTCAAACAGATAGAGAGGTGGGTGGGCAATTAAGGAATTTTCAGAGCTCATTTTATGGCAATCTGATGTTTAACAAAAATTTTGTGAGGAAAGATATCAGTACCCGAAATGGTGGCAGCATTGTCGTCTCCTCAGTGGTAAATAATACTTGAACTCCCCACTTATCTTTAGTTGTTGTGCTTTTAATTTGGTCAATACATACTCTCTTGTTTCTTTTCTAATTTAGATTACTTGATAGAATGATTATGAATCCAAATCACTCGGGCAACAAGTTTTTTTTTTGGTTAAAAAAAAGAAAATAAAAGAAAAAGAAAAGAAAAAAGCCTTCTTCTTTAGAGTGCAAGTTTCAGAATACTGGTATATGTATAATCTGTATAATAGTTTTATTGGTCTATTTTCATGTTTGGAAGCTTGGAAGGAAGGTCAAGAAAGAAACTGTGATTCCAGAGCCAGATTATCGAATACCTATAGTCCTACTTGGTGGGTATTAAGAAAACATTTCAGTTATATGTAACTAAAAGAAGTATACAAGCTTCATTCAGGGAAAAGAAATAGTATACAAGCTTCTCCAGATGAAATCTACTTCAAGAACCATCTGTCAAGAGGTTTTGACTAAATAAGAATTCAACTGGAATTATGCATATGGATTATCCTGGTCTTATTTTCTTATGATTCTTAATAGGATATTGTCTTTATAAAGGAAGGATATCGTTGTTATATTGCATGTTGTTGGTTCAGCGGCAAAGTCATGCATAGGTGTTTTAGTTGTAGGTAATGTGATCTAATGGGATTAAGTGGCTTTATTCAAAATATAGATACAGATACCAAATCAAGGTTGTGAGTTGTGGGCACCAGAATTTTCTCTATCAATCGACTTGGATTTGAGAGTTTCAGTAATTCTTGAGCTAATTCCAAAACACATCAGATGGATATTTGCATCTAAATATGCTTTTCTAAATGGTAATCTTAATTAATCACTCAGTGATCACTGTCATTGTCAAAAGTAACAGTTAGAATTTGTTGGGAACCCTGTGGCCTGTGTTATTAGTTGTCATTGGCTATAGTTGCTTCCTTTAACAAGATTGCATGTATAGTACGGATTCTCGTATATAATATTAGATTTCAATATGAAACAGGGATGGCTGGTGGCTTAGTTTATACAGATAATCTATTTCCAGCAGCTCCTGTTGGCCTCCTTGGATTACTCCTACTGTTCCAGGTAATGAGAACTTTAGGTGTCGCAGGTAGGCCTCCCAATAACTAGTATTTATCATGATTATTTTGTATATGAAAGATTGTCGATTTCTAATGGACTTTGGTGCCCCTTGTTTAAACAGTTAAACACAAAGTGATTTTCTTATAAAATTAGAAAATGTCTTTTAGCAATGATGATACATATGCATGCAGCAGAGCATTTTTGTTGAAGTTACCTTCTATTCAATTATTTTGGTTGTCCTCTTGCATTCTGTTTTACTATGGCACATCTGATGATTCATACGTTTGCAGTACAGTAATTTTGTTGAAGTTACCTTTTATTCTATTATTTTGGTTGTCCTCTTGCCATCTGTTTTACTATGGCACATCTATCTTGCTCACCCGGATCGGCTAACACTCTGTTTCCTCCTTTCAGACGACTAGAGTGAGATTTGTCTTTGATGAAGAGGCCCTGGTTTGTTCACCTAACCTGTCCAAAATGTGTGGCATACTTAAAATCATATTGTGATAGGAAGAGATGAATTTCTAAGATTAGCATACTTAAAATCATTTCTTAGCTATGATACTTCACAGCTCAAGGCAATGCAATATCTAGATGCTTGTGGAACTTTCAAAAACCAAACTCTGGTTATCGAATTAAATTATTTTGTCTTTCTTTCTTTTCTTTTCTTTTTTTTTTCTTTTCTTTTTTTTTTTTTTTTTGTGTGGCAAGGTTCTCCTTGCTTACCTTCTTCAATTTAAATCTTAAATTCTTCTAGTTGTGCATTGGAACCCGATCACCAAGAGCTCATTCCACTTATCATTTCTCAATACTTTCTATGCTTGCACACGTGTGTTTGCATCACTTTATAATTTTTAGGAAGAACATGTGTCAAAATGGTATTGTTCTCATACCTGTTTTTGCTTTCCAGTTGAGCATTAGTTAGATGAATATGCATGTTAGAAATATAGATTAAACAAATATTCTCATAATTAGTTAGATATATATGGAGGTTTTTGTTTCTCCTAGCAAACAAAGTATGTTTGGGAGCAATTTTTTTCTTTTTTGTTTTCCTCCTGTAAGTTCAAGCATGAAACCAGTGGATGGGGAAGGGTTGCAGGGATTTGTATACCTGGAGCAATTTAAAAGCCTTGTAGAGTTCAGTTTAGTCTGAGTTTTGTCTAGGAAGTCTATTAATGAAATCCACCTTCCTGGTTGATACTCGTGCTCTGAATCCTCAAATTGGAGTACTAGAAAAAGGACCTACAATCATAGCTTCCACTATGTTGGGAGCTTGGATCTGTGGCTCTTGCACAGTTGCAGCCTAAATCACCTTAGATACTATTAGAAATCTATATAAACTAATGAACACTCGGGGTTGGATTTGAGTCATAACAAGACATTTTAGATCACCAACAATTAGATCACTTTCATTTTCCTTTTTGTGTTCTGGTTTTATTATTTTTGAGTGATGCCTTCCGTACGAATGCATAAATATGCTTTATATTACTAATTTATGTAGCTTTGGTGGTATGTTAGATACTAAAGTATTTCCAAAAATTTTATTCTTGCTCCCGCAACCGGTTTGGTACTCCAATTGTGGTCTGGTTATTTGACCTAGACATTGCCTCACCTAGCCGATGAACCTAATGACTGCACAAGGCCCCGGCAGGAGATGTGACTGTGATAACTGGGTGTGGCCTTAAAAGATGAAATTGTAAACACCAAGACTCGAAGATAAAATTGTTAACACCAAGAGTCAACTATTTGGTTACCATAGTTACAATTATTTCTTTCTTCAGTTTACACTAGGTTAGAGGCGAAGATGTTATAGGAGAATAGATAAACAAAGGGAATAGACTTCACAAACTCCATGAGAACATTATGTTAAGCTGCAACAAGGTTTGCAAATTAGATCAGGTATCATAAATATCTTGTATCCATATAAAAAAGTTAACATTTTTTAACTGATTTTAGGATCTTTTAGTTATTTTCCTTTGTCTAGTCTTTCTTGTTATAAAAATAATTTCCAGTCATCTTTCACTTAGTTGCATACAATCGAAGTTGAGTTTAAGATATCCAAAACTTAATAGGGAAATCCATGCAATTGCTGTATATTTTCTAGTTTTAAATTGTGGATCTACTAAAACTGTATTTCACTTACTATATTGATGTGTTGGGTTGCAGGAGGTAAAAGTTGGAGACCAACTTCAGGAGGCCGGTGAAAATGTTTTTGTGGGTGGAAAGAACCGTTGGAAGTGAGTAGAGGTTGCATTCACATAATTATTTCATATAAAGCTAGTTAAATCATTTGGTAATTTTATTACAGATATTCAACATTTGTGAATTGGGAGCTCTGGTGGCCAGACTTTCCGATTTTGGTGTATTTTAAGGAGACACAGACAAAGCCTGAAGGACAAATCCACTTCTTCCCAGTAATTTTTGTAAGTATCAAGAGATGCACAAATCTTGTTTGGCATTGGTATCTAGCTACCTCTCCACCAACAAGGGTGGGCAGGGGTGGGGTTAGATTTAAAAGATTGACCCTCCAAAGTGCTGGTAGCATCTTATTGGGGTGGTGAATCTAACCTCCGGACAGACTACCAATTAAAATAAAAGCAAAATGGAAGAAGACAGACATAGTAGAACTTGTACAGATTTCATATTGGGTCATGAATTTACCTTTTACATGTCCTTAATGACATCGTTGATGTATTCTGTTTCTTTGATACATGCAGAATGGAAAGCAACTTTATGAGGTTATGGTGGAGCGTTGCGGCCCTTCAAAAACTAGCAGCCCTGATAAGTCCTAAAAGCTTGAGCCTTTCTGGTTACAGCCAACTGGCCATGCCATCTGAGATCACGAATGTGTTAGTATCATGAGGTACGAAGCACTAGAGGGATATGTTTGATCTGGTGTTAGCATGTGTGTTTTGTGTGTTTTGTGTGTTATGTGTCATGATGCATTTTTTATTCCGGCTCTTTTGCATCATGAGGAAAACGAAACCTGACATTATTGCCATAAGATCTGTCTTTTATCTTTCATGCATGTAGTTAGTTCCTGACTGAAATGAAAATTCAAAAGGATTCTTTATACGAGTTTTGTAGTTTGAATAAGCTATTACTGCGGATTCCACCTTACAACTTTTGAAGTGATATTTTTGTTAATCGGATGCCAATGGCAAGTATTGCATCCAAAACTTGTGTGGCATTGGCCCCGTTTTAAAAAATGCTAGAGAAAGAGTTTTGTTACAAAGTTTTGGCAGTAATGGATCACACAAATTGGAAAAATAAAACTAGAGAGAAAAAGGGGCTGTTACCAAACATGCTCTAAATAAGCATCAAGATTAGACTTGTGGGATTTTAAAGTGAAGTTCAAAAAATATGGGGTGTGTATTTTCTCATCGGTCACCTTCATACGGTTACATTTTCTTTCATCTTCTTCTCTATCCCCATTGACAGTATTAACCTTTCTTGGGATTTTACTAATGCCTGTTTTAGGGAGTATTACCATTCAGAAATGCATTCTATTGTTAAAAACTGAAAACTTTTGCTTTTTCTCGTTGTTAGTGAGATGATAAGAACGTTAGAATACAATGTTTCATATTCACCCTCTTTGTCTCAGGCATGTTTTTTCATTTTTCTTGCAGGTAAAGAAGATTGTTTATACATTCAGTACATAATAATAAAGCTGCATTTAGGACGCATGTACAGTTTACTCTAGAGCTGTCAATGTATGTAAGAGATCTATTATTTACATACCATTGTATTGAGGTGCACTGCAGCGAGCTCGAACTATTATACTGGAGTATTCTGATATCATAGTAAATTCAGTATCATGAATATGATTGGGAAGAATACCAGAAAAATTACTTTGCATGATGGCACACGGTTTATTTTATTTTTTAATTTCGGGTTCGTTTGGTGATAAATTTTACAATCCACCAACAGCAGGCACTAAACTCGTCAAACATCCCAGTGTGCCCCGCTATTTGAACATGGTGCACCAACACCACTTTGTAGTGACATATTTGACAACATCAACATCCTCCTTTGGCATAAAAGCTAATTACTCGTCATTGCAACAACAATGCCAGCAAATTGCCCATTATATTGCCCATCTCTTTCCGCATTCTCTCTTTCCCATTGTGACATCAACAAAGAGTAATGTAGCGGACGTGACCATACACAACAGTACGAGTACTTTGATTAAGAATTCAAATGAACATAAATCATAAGCAAATGACGGTCTTAAGGAGCTATCATGTACATAACAGCTTTGGTGTAATTGAAACATGAAAAAACTCCTTTTAACAGGGTAAACTCCAATGTGCACCAATGCATCAAGATCAACAAATTGGATTGGAAGAATAATGAATCATGTCAATTGGGTTGGAAGAATAATTACAAATGCACATCTTACAAACCCTAAAAGACAAGCTTTCAGCAAGCACCCCGACAAACAAATTACTAAATGAATGGTCTGTCTAGCTGCTTCTTGCAAACCTGGATCCCCATAAGCCTAAGTATAGTCACCTTTAACTTCACAGTTACCAACTCTAGGGATAATGGCAATTTTTAACACCTTCAACTGTATTTGATGACATGCCACCAAAAAATTTACTCTGTCGCTCAGTAAGCTAGATTCCTTTCATTGCTTCAACAAGAAAATATGAGACTGGCCATTATGCTTATAGGTTCTATCACGGTTGTCTTGTTAAAGTGTCTGTAAGAACATTCTCATAAATCTTTTTTGGTGCAGTGAGCATCTGTACCATGCTGAGTGCAATGATGGTAACCAACACTCTGGAGGAAGTCCCGAATCTCTTTTGCGCTGCTATTGCTGGCCTTCAACAACCGCTCATCTTCCTCATAGATTAGGTATGGGGCCTCACCTTTCTCCCTCGAAAGTAATTTTGAGGCACCCTTCAAGACGTGATACTCCCAGCCCTGAACATCTATTTTCAGCAGCAGCACAGGCTCAGACTCTGGGATCACTTCATCAAGAGGTATGGATCTCACTTGAAGTGCAATCTCTTCATTGGACTTGAACGCCATCTTTGCACCAGTAGCTGAAACTGCACTATTGTCAAGCCGGCCAACCAACTGGTGACACGCAATAATTAACATAAGCAGGGTAGTAGATAGACAGCAAAGTAATAGAGACAAACCGAAACTTGGAAACTTATTCAAAGACTTCATCAACACCATCAACAGGAGGAAATTACTTCCTCACATAGCAGATGAATCATATAACATGGGGTCACTGAAATATATATTGCTAAGTAAATAACAGAGCAGAAAAACACCAAATGAATCCAAGTGAAAAAAATTAGAGTAATTCGAATAAATAAATTAAAAAAAAAAAAGTAATAAAGATTTACATAAAAAATAAATAAATAAAAGAGAAAGTAAAAGAACAAAAAAATGCCAAAATTACAGAGAGATTATTACTGAAGCACCATATAGACTTCTTTGCTCATAATCACCAAAGAGAAGGAAATGTTAATTCAATTAGATTAACCAGTTCATTGAATATTTAAAGTAAGGAATAGAGATTAGAGATTGGGTATAGGCCTACAGAGTTACTAAGAATGGCTTGCGACCTAGTCCAAGGATTTTATTCTTAAATATTTGGCCCCAAAAATTCAACCCCGGTTAATCCACACATAATTTATCAAAAGTTCTTGGAATTTAGGACAGCAACGCCAATTATATGTCAAGCCTCTAGCTCTTTGCCCAACACTTTCCAATGCTTAAATTCATTGAAAAATCACATAACTTCTTCACTTCATTTAAGCCACAGTTAGGGCTGTAAAAGAGCCAACCCAAGCCGAGTAGTGGGCTGTTCAAGCTTGGGTCGATCATTTTACAGGAGTGCTCAAGCTCGAGCTTGAGTCAAGCTCCCACATCACTGTCCAAGCTCGGCTCAGCTCGCCTAGCTCGTTTAATTTAATAAGCCAAGCTCGAGCTTAAGCCCGTTATCAAACTACTGTAATTAGCATTATACTAGAATCTACTGCAGGCCATCAAATACATTTAACCACCATCTAGGAGTTGCCAAGCATGTTTGTCCATACATCTCAGACTAAAAGAAAGCCTAATTTGATAAGAATTTTGAGAGATGAAATTAAGAGAGAGAGGAGAAATGGTGAGAAACTAAACAATAAAGACTGCTGCCGGTGTTCAGTGAAGGTCGTCAGCAAATAATCAGATACAGAACTGAACTGATTTGAAACCCCTGTGACTGGCGAAGTTCGAAGAAAACCCCCATTCAGTTGATTTGAGTAAAAATTAAAAGGAAATTAAAACCCTAAAATAGCATAGAAAACTTTGATATAGAGATAGAGAGAGAGATAGAATGAGAGAGAAAGGAGAAAGAAACTCCCCGTCTTCCGGTCAGCATCATTTCTAGAATCCAGTGAGGGTGAACAGTTGAAGGATTGAAATGCACGTGATAATGAGAAGGGAAATACAGAACACTTGAGATTTGAGAGGTCTACAGTTGCTACTTAGTGGAAGACTCTGGACTCTCGAATACCACAAGGTGTCCTCAAGAAGCCAACCTAATATAATTAAAAAGATGATATTTTGAGTCTCACCCTATCTCTCTCTATAATATTATATTATATCTATATATAATATTATATAGATATAAAAAGAATCGAGCCCTAACAAGCTTGTTCGTGAACTCAATTAGCAAACATGTTCATGAACAAATGAGCTGAGTTATTAGTTGTTTGAGATTGGCTCATTCACGAAAGGAGCTTAAAAATATTGTTTGAGAATGGTTCGTTTACTTAATAAATGAACATGAGCAGAGCTCTTATCGAGCTGAGCCCAAGCTGTTTGGGAACAGCTCGGCTCCTTTACAGCCCTAGACACAGTTTGCACCAAAAAAATTCTTCTTTCCATTTGAATAGTTATTGCCTCCGTTCTAACGCCTCACAACACCAACCAATCATAAGCACAATGCATATAATTGCTTAGTGGAAAACAACTAAGAGGAACTCAAAATATTGTACGTAATTGTGAAGTTCTTGCAATTTACTTACTTTCAAGCTCACTACAAAGTGATATACATTGCAATATGCAAGTAACAAAAATTATACAACAATTATCATACTATTCCTCAAAATATAATCCAGAAACTACAAATGCAAATATAATAAATACCACATTAAAACAATAAATAGTAAGAGATAGAGCATTGAATTCAATCAAATACCTTGTGAAAAGTAATGTTCCCAATCCGATCAGATACGGCAGCCTCAAACACGGTCACCAAATCACCAACCCTGTTGAAGTAAACCCCATCACAAATCCTCTGCAAATTCTCAAGCACGGGCTCGAACGCCAAAACCCTAAACCCCATCACGGCGGCGGCGAACGATGCCATACCGACATTGGCACCGACGTCCACAAAAATTCCCGATTTGCCTTCACCCTTTATCTTCTCCAACAACTCCTGAACCGTCACCGAGATGTCGGGTCGCCTAAAGGGTTTGCCCTTCAGGATCCGAACAATGTTCTTGTGGGGCTTATCGGGTAGGGTTCCGAGATCCGAGAGAGCGTAGAGAAAAGGGTACTTGAGCCCCTCGACGACGTTGGCGATGACCGGGTGTGCCTGAGGGCAATTGTGGCAATCGAAGGGTTCGATTGTTCGGAGGTTTAGGGTATTGAGATTAAGGTTAGAGTTAGGCTTAGAATAAGGGTTTGAGGTGCGAGAGGAGAGGAAGAGAAAGATGAGGAGGAGGAGAGAGGTTGAGAGGAGTAGAATTACGGTTTTGGGAGCGAGTAGCTTCGTGGGTCGGTCTCTTCTCCAGGCATTTGCCATGGAAAAAGAGAGTTGAAAGTGAAGGAAAGTCTGGATTTTTACCGGAAAATATGAGTCTTTTCTGGGAAAAATCAAGATTGGATCTCGAGAGACAGTGCCGGTGTATTTTGTTGCTCTGTAAAGGAGTGTGCTAGCGTGCGCCTGGTGCTTCAGTGGAGTGCTGAGTAATTTTTTGCTTAATACCCAATAAAGTGGCACCACGTCATGGGTAATAAACTACTACTATAAAATCTAAAAGTGTGCTACAATTTAATTATTTTGTCCAAGGCCCCAAATAAGGAGGTACCGTATGAATGGTACATTTTTTTTTCGAAAATTTAAGCGACTAATATAAATAAGGTTAATTACAATGATATTTTTGTGAAGTTTACTATGTTAATAACTATGTATAAATTAACTTATTTTTTTAATAATAATACTCCTTAAATTTCATAAAGTTAACAAAATACCTCAATTACATTTGACACATAGTGAATTGACACTATTACTCTCTGGCTTGTTAATAGACCTAATTAAATAAGATAATTACCTTTTTAACCTTTTTTTCAAACTATTTGTATGGACCAAAGTAACCCTATGTAAACCTTTCGCCCAAAAAAAGAATACAGGACCCATATATATAGACCCCTCTCTCTCTCTCTATATATATATCATAGTTCACCGTACCCATATAATATAAATCCAAACTGAACAAGAACTGTGAAAATTTAAGGTACAGAAGCACACACATATATATAACACAAAGAAACTCAATACATTAGTTGACCCATTTTGGACATTAAATGTAAAATCAAAAAATCATTTGTTTTATACATGAAAAAGGAACTGATTGAAACCTATATATATATATATACACACACATACACCACGAAGCACTCGTCTACCCCGTCAAGGCCGCCACCGTCGTCGGTATCACGTACTAGCAGGTGTAAGTCCAACGGCGCGAAAAGCCATTGGGAGTGAGGAACGACAAATTGCCGAAAGAAAACCTCGTGCCAACGTCGTTCGAATGGAACCTCTGATCATTTCATTGGTTTCATTGGACCTTAAAACAAGGAAAACAAAGCTTCCCATGACAAATATGGAATATGGGTCAGCTGGGCTTTTTGATTTGAAGAGCTGGTTGATTAATGAGTCTTCTTGCCAATCCTACCCACTGCCTGGAGACTCGCCGGAATCTGACGATATATGCGACGGGGCGATTGGAAAAACTGATCATCTCTGTTATGTACATATATGAACATATATATATATATATAACCCAATGGATCTACAAAGTCGAACAAAAAATTTTAAAATGAAACCCTAATAACAACAATGATTGGAATCTGAAATACGCAGCGGCTGGCCAGGTTGAAGATCACCGGCGGTGAACAACTACCCAATAACAGAGGACTCCTCGGAGTCACAATCCAGTCCATGCTCCACTGCCGATGAAAGACCCCATTACTAGATTCTTTATTAATCAGGTTCGTCCACCATCAGTGCGACTCGGGTTAAAAACTAGGGATTAGGGTTTCATCATGTTATTGCAGGAGTTGGAGAGAGAAATGCATAGACATTTAGTTATGAAAGTTTGAGAAAGAGGTTAAATTAATGGGTTGGGTGAGAAAGGGCAAAAGTGTCTGTTCAAACCTCTTATATTTTACAATTAAAATCAATCATATATTGATGGGCAATATTATCTTTTCAAACTTTTAAAGGGTTTGTTTGAATCAAAATAGTGACAGGAGGTGTCATTGTTTAAAAAATGAATAATTTGTATATAATTGTCAATAGGGCAAACCTTTGAGAGTGTCTTTATAATTAATCCTATAAATAAAAGATATATACAGAGTGGGCCTTTAGCCAAACAGTCCAAAAATGGGACCAAGAAGTCCGAAAGAGAACAGGCAAGAAACAAGGGCCAAGCCCATAAGTGGGCAGCCCAATACAAGAGAGTTGTTACAACCAAAAAAAAAATCACAATTAACGACATGATTAGTCGTTAATGAACCTAGCCAGTAAGGTGGGCGTCGACTATAGTAAAATTTGTTTACACTTTCAGTTTTATATGAGCTTGTAACAGTAGATATGTAGATCCATATAGATATCTAAGATATTAAAATCAAAACAGTTTTTTTTTTTTTTTTGATAAATTACATTCCCCTCCCTCGTTGAATGCTTAAATAAAAAGAATTTTTCTTTTAGTTTATAAAATAACGTTAACCTTCCATGTAGTTATGGTTTGAGTAACAGTAACCTCTCATATCATAAACCTCCTATTATAAAATTATTCAATATTGTAGGCTTATGTAATGCTTGAAATTTATTTAAAAATTTAATTTTGTCCTTAAAAAGTTTTAAAAGTCTTTTTTATTCTTAAATTGTAATGATAAATAATAGTAGTAAATTAAAATAAATATGATCGTCATTTAACACGTTCAGTTCAAACTTAACACCAAGTGGCATTCAAAAGGGAGGTCAAAGAAACAAACACCATTGATATGATCAGTTGGCATAAATCAGAGCATTTTAAACAATCGGACCTCCTTCCCTGCGAGTAGATATTGAATGCGTGAGTCATACCAAGTCATTGGTATACCCAAACTAATGACATTACATCATTTAAAAAAAAATATATGTTATATTTGATTAAATGGGTATACATATGACATCATGTGTCTGGAGCATCCAATACCTACTCCTTCTCTGCCCCCAACTCACCTCTTGGCCATACCTTAACCACTACCTCACTCACCCAACTTTTTAAGGGCAATATTGTTGAAATTTTATTATGAGTGTTTAAGTCAAATCTCAAAAGGTGTAAGCCTTCTTATATGGTATGATCTGTTCAAAAAAGAGGTTGGATGTTCCAACTTTTAAAGGACAATACTGTGGATATGTTTGAGAATTGTTTGAACTTTCCGAGAAAATTATGCAGTCCGGATTAATCCGGGCCAGGTAAACAAACACCCCTACAATGAGTACTAAACTTTGATTTCGGAGGTTATCAGTCTGGTTTCCCTAACCTCATGAAAACTTGCAGTTCCTCCCAGAAAGCACAGGAAATTGTTGAGTCCTATTATGTACATACTAAAGTTAGGTAAAGTTATATGTGTTTTGTTTCCCTAAACTCTTGAAGAGTGGGTATGTATTTAACAGCACCCAAAATCTTGGCCTTTGAATTTGAGAAATGCTTCAACAGTCGCTCTAATAATTAGTTAAAAACCAATCACAAATACGTTGGCTGAAAACCAATTATAAGAATATCAATTAACATCAAAAGTATGTACTCTGATTCTTGATCACAGTCACCTCAAAAGAAGATAAAAGATTCAAAACCTTGATGACCAAGCAAGAGGGTTAGCCTTTTTTTTTTTTTTTTTTTTTTTTTTTTTTTATAAACCTTTTTAGAGCTACTCTTACTCTTTCTTCATTAAAAGTAACTGTAAGGTCTTTTTCTTTTTAACTTTCTCCCACTAACTTGGATTTTCACCCTCTTTGTTGAGGAACTACTCTTCCTCTTTGTTGAGGAACCAAAAGCTCTTTCACCCTTCATCCTTGTTTTGAATAAGTAGTGGGTTTCCCTCGGAAAAATCAGGAAATAAAGTGCTCTCATTGTGATAAAGATAAAATGGGTACTACTTACTGTCATGCATTAACACTATGATTAGATTACCAAAGGGCTTCAAGCCCAATGGTATAACTTCCCAATTTTCAAAGAGGTGAAGAGGGGTTTAAGTTCGAGCGTGAACAAAAGTGTGTGGTAGTACGTACATGACCCCAAAAAAAACACTATGATTACATGAATGTGTCTCAAAAACGTGCCAGTTGCAATGCAGGATATGATATGAATGTCTAATGAATAGTATAGACATTAATTAAGAAAAGCTGTAGGAACACATGCACAATCAAGGAATATGTGGAGGCATGGATGATCCTGACAAGCAATAGACTTCTCAATCTAAAACTTCATGAACTGATTCTTTTCACAAGTTTGCACAGATGAAGCTCAATACTCCATCATTTTTTATTTTTTTTTTTCTTTTTTTGCTGCATTGCTTTTGGACGGTTTTAAAAAATCCTGTAATTTTAGCTTAATATTTCACTTTAGACTACAAAATCATCTCAATAATGTTCGGATACATGACATTAACAGCATGTTAAAACTATATTTCTTTAGCATGAACTGACTAATACACTGAACCGCACCTTCAGCCAATGAGCTATAATAATATATAATGTTGAAAGGAAGAAGGTAAAAACACAAACATATACTCATTTTCCTTCTCACCTTCGTTATTCCGGTCATCAAAGCATTCTGGTTAGCAGCCCACCATTATTGATTGGACAGAAGAGTGTTAATTGATCCATCAACTGTTAAGATGGGTGCCTTGCAGCAGATTCAATTTGCGGCTGCAACTCAAGTGTTAGATGCAATGCTTTGCACTGAAATCTTTATCAGATAACAAACCAGTAATGAGGTTTTTAATTCTTTCAGACCCTGGACCAGGTCTAAGAACAGTTGTATTTGCAGTAATGTAATGTGGGGCAGTCACATTCATTTCTCCTATGTCAAACCATCCGCCTGGCACAAACCCATCACCATTGCGGCCTAAAAGCTCAGAATCGATCTTGTCGAGAACTACCTCATTCCTGCCAAACTTTCTAGCAAAGGGGGCGTTACTGTCTACCATTTTCTGGTAGTCATCTCCTGTGAGAAAATGTGGGTGTTGTTTTGGAGGGTTGTCCCAAGATATGAAATGGAGGTCATGATTTACAGTGGTGTTTCGAAACTCTTCAGCATTGCAAATGACTGTGTGAAAATACCCTTCGGGTGAAGAAAGAAAATTGGCATAGTACATTAGGACTATCCTTGGGAGGTTGTCCCAACCCCATAAACAAAATTCCATGAAGGGGCGAGAGAGCATCATCCAAGCAGAACCTGAGGAAATTATTGTGCATAGCCTTTTATCAGATAAGTTGAAGATTCAAACACCAAAATTCACATCCTAAATACAATTTGATGACTAAGGGATGTTTTTATTTCCATGCGCAGTTCAGTAGGCTGTTCACTTTAACCTAGTGCTGCCTTGCAAGAACTGCTAAAAATTACTGAGTCAACTAAAAATATTGTCTTTAAGTTTTTAAATTCAACCTGGCCAAGCAAATGAAAACTTGTTTCTAATAGTAACCATAACTGATATTGTCCACGAGTTGACCATATTATCCACTTGCTTGGAAATGCTACCAGAAGGCGCTGCTACATATGTTACTGTAGTTGCTAGTTACTACCCATAACCCATAATTTATATGCCATTCAGCATCCATGATTAACACAAGGAGCAAGGAGTAGTGAGCAGTTGAGAAGCAATCAATCTTTAGCTTTCCTCTTTCATGTTGTTAACTAGAACTAAAGAGAGTGTAACAGTTCAGAAATTTCATTAAAACACGGGGATATAATCATATATGGTTTGTGTATGGTAGCACTTGTTCCAGTTTTCATGATTGTTGTTTATGTTGTTTTATATATATATTTATGTGTGTGTGTGTGTGTGTGTGTGATAGGTAGGATTATTAAGGTTTAAATTCATTGTATTAAGGACATTCCTCCCCTTCTCTCAATTCCCCAGAACACACACACACAAAAGAAGGAACAAACACCACAAAAATCAGGATTTGTAATTTCTAATTTAAAAGAAAACTAATAATTTCAAGCATTGGGGATCAGCAGAATTTGGGTAGTTTTCATAAAAAATTGTAAATTTTGATGATAATGTATTGTGATACTTTTATACGCCAGAATTTCAGCTTCAACTTTATATATAGAGGAATAACAGCTGTTCATTAGGTGTGTGTAAATAAAAGAATAAAACTGTCCATTAGGTGTGTATAAATAAAAGAATAAAACTGTCCATTGGTTGTGTATGGATGGATTGGGAAAAACCTTGGACGTATATGAATTGTTTTTTAAATGACTCAGCTTCAATTAGATGATTGAGGAACATAATATCTTGATTAAAAAAAAGCAATTCAATTGTTGCCATGTCAAATTAGAGTATAGTTCAAGACAGATTATGGAATAAATCAGCCAAGTCCGTGTGAAAGCAAGTCAATATCTTTATGCATATTCCTTTGCAATGCAAATGACTGTAAAAGTTTATAGCAATTGACTACGGAATCACTATCGTAGATGACATCTTTACCCACAAATAGGTTCTAATTTGTAAGATAGGCCTATACTCAAAAGAAAAAGTACCATGCTTTCAGCTACTCTAATTACAGTAAGGTTAATCAATGGAATAAAAAAAAGGGTTCACAGTTATGCTATGAAGAAACTCAATATAACATATTTTTAACTGAACTAGAAAATGTATTGAAACTCCTTACCTGTGAACAGCTTATATGCCGTAGGCACACTCCTTTTCTCAGAGACCCAGAATACATCTGATTTCCGCGAACTATACAGGCCTGGATCGATTATTACGGGCTTGGCTCTCTGGAACCTATTAAGATCAAGAAAATGCACTTCTGTAAGCAAGGCTGCAGCTCAAAAACAAGGTGTGCACTATTTTCTATCTGAAATTCTGCACAACCATATAGAAGTTCAATTAATTGAGGAGAGAAGATGAGCCACATACTCCTTCCAACCAATGTCGCTAGTGTGCTCGAGAAAATTAAGGTGTCTTGGAATACTTGACAAAGTATGAAGCAGATCTGTTTTACACATCATAGAAACGAAAATAAAGCAAACGATTTAGAAACAAAGCTTTGAGCACAAACCATTTTTCCCATTTTATCAAAATAAAATGACTGAACTTAGGTTAGTGAGATTGAAAGAGGTAAGGTTTAGAGTTACTCCATCATACGGTTAGTTATAGTGACAATCGAAGTTGATGCAGTTGAGTTCAGAAGTTCATCATAGCCAAAAAGAAAATCAAATCAAGAAATGCAATTTTGTAGAACCAAATTAGTAACCCACAAAACCTATTCCCCATTCTAATTTATCGTATGAACACATGAATTCACCAACATAGAAGAAACCAATACTGAATTAACAAATACAAGCAATTCAATTGAATCAATACCCATTTCATACATCACAATAACAACCAAAAAATCAAGCAGAGCTCAAGCAAACAAAAACCCAAAAACGCAAATAGTTCAAATGAAAAAAAATTGACATTTCTACAGTCAAGTTTCATACCATCTTGAGTCACCAAAGGATAATCAGAAGCACTCAAATTGATGAACCAATCCCACTCTCCACCTTCCTTCAACAAAATCGCGGCCGCGTGAAGCGTATTAGTGACCATCGTAGGTCCCCTGTAAGTAACCAAATTGGATCTAACCACTACCCTAACATTACCCACTTTTACAAACAATGCCTCATTTTTCACAAAACTCGCCAATTCCAATCTCTCCTCAGCTGAAGCTTCAAGGTCTAGATGCACGACGTACTGGTTCAAAGGATGGTAGAGAGCCTTTAGTGTCCTCTTCAAACTCTCACCATCACCACTCGACCCAGAAATCAAGTAGGCTAGTCTTGGTACTGAGCGTGGCACGGTTGTGGATATGTGCAGCTTTGATTCAACAAACAACGGGGCTTGTGGTTTGATGGGTGTCTGCTGAAATGGGTAGGAGGAGGTGAAGAGAGAGAAAATGATGAGAATTGAAGAGAGGAGGAGTGAGAAAACTAGTGGGAGGAACCACTTCTTCTTCTTCTGTGGCTTGTTGGTCTCCATGATGCCAGGGGCAGAGGAGTGTAGTCGAGAGGGAAAGTGGGTGTTCTAGAGAGAGAAAGTGGTGGCAGGCAAAAAATAATTACAGAATTCACAGAACCACAAACAAGCAATTTGGAATGATGGTGTGTGGTTTGGGTGGGGACTATGCGGTAGAAAGGTGTTTTTGTGCTGATTGTGAACCGCCGAGGTCACGGAATCTATATATAATATTAGACTATCTATCTGTGTGTGTAAAGTGTGTGTTTTCATAATTAATTTAAGTGGGCGACTCTCAAAGTGAATGAATGGGAATGTAATAAGATTTCTATAAGATATTTTTTTCAATTTTTCACGCGCCTCTCCAAAGTTAAAAACAGCTTTTCAAAACATTTTAAGGATATGTATTGATTTTTTTAGATAAAATATTTAAAAATTAAAAGGATAGAATTAAGATATATTCATTTTTCTTTTATTGACTTTTCAAAACATTCTATTATCATTAAATGGTAATAATGAATAAGCCACTCACCCCCCACTGATCGTAGAAGTGGGATATTTAGCAAGCAATAAAAGGTGAAACAATAAAAAGAAATCCATACTTAAAAGAATAGTGATACTTGTATCGATTATTTAAGGAGAATTATTACATTTATTATATATGATTGGTTATTAATGCATTAGATGAAAGGTTTCATATTTTATATTTGACATATATTGACCAATCAAATATAATAAGTCTAACAATTCTACTAAGTGATCGGTACAAGTTTCATCACTCTTCTTAAAAATTAGTTTGAAAAACTCTATATATACAAGATAAAAGTAAGGATGGAGCGAAATGATAGCATATCTTAAAATTTGTGTGACATCAAAATTTTATTTAAATCTAAAAATAAAAGAAATTTTGAGTTAATATTTAACATGTCATGTTCATGCTCTTATATTATATATTTGACGATTAGACACATATGTATACTTGATATGCGTGTTTAAATTCATGTAACATTGTTATATAAGCAAACCATATAAACTTACTGGCTTTTTTGTTTTTTTTTTTTTTTTTTTTCCTTCTTATGTTGAATAAAATAAATTACAAAAGTCCGGTAAAGAACATAGTATGAATAGTACCTGAAATGGAAAAAGTGTGATAAGTTTCTTTTCTTTTTCCAATTTTTTTTTTTTTTTTAAAGTAACTAATAACGACCAAAATGAAGTTGATGTCTACAAAAATTTAGGTAAAGTATGAGAAATTTTATAGATTGTTATTTCTATATATAAATTATAATGATATAATTTCTATTTTATTGTTGATCTATTAGATTAATGTGTAAGAGAGTGACAAAAATAAATTAATGTTTACAACAAGAGTGTATTATTCTTCAAAGATTTCACAAAGAGAGAGAGAGAGATTTGTTTCACTTTATTTTCTATTACAGTTTCAACACAAAAGTAATTGGAATTTCTTTAAAGTACAACATAAATACCACTTAGACAATTGTTTTAAAATTACAAATTTAGCTCCCACAAAATATTTAATGATCTAATTCTCAACTCAGTTCAGAGTTGCAAAAAGACTAAAACAAAATGAAATTAGTAGTGTCAGTGGCCGAGCCAGAATTTTAGTTCAATAGGGTCAATTATTAATATAAGAAATTTTGAACTAAAATAATAAATTGCAAAAAAAGGATTTTTTTGAATTTTGAATCTTAAAATTTAGTGGACCACACGAAGGGAGGAATAACATGAGTATTTTCTGAATTTTAAAATTTTTGTTGGGCAAATGAGTTGGAAAACTAAAGGTCTTTCTGAATTGGGTTAAGTACAAAAAAAAATAAAAAATAATAATAATAATAATAATAAAATAATCTTGTAATATAAGTTATGTGCATGATTAGTCATTTTTTTTAAAATGTGCATTTTAGTTTATAATGTTTTAAAAAATGTGTAAATAAGTCCCTGATCATTTTTGACAAAAAAATAATTTTGAAATTCTAATTTTATCCTTTTTGTTTCTATTTTGCCCTTCATCTTATTCTCTCTTCCTTCTCTCTCCTCTCCACCAACGAGCCACCTCCTCCCACCACCATTACAGGCCACTACCCCTGCCACCATTCCTCAGTTCCACTGTCCTCTAAGCTCACTACGCCGTCGTGGAGCTCGCCACCATCACCACCGCTTTGAACCACCATCTGTAGCAATGATTCCGATCCTTGTTCGTTGCCGGTCACTCCTTCATCACCATTCAATCACGGAGGCATCATCTGACTCGATTCCGCTCCTTATTCGCCGCGGGCATCATCTAACTCGCGCTTCACGCGCCAGACGCTCCTATGAGTAGATCTAACTCGCCCTTCACGCGCCCACGCGCTCCTACTTCATCAACTTTTTTGGGTATGTTCTCTCTCGGCTTCACCTCCGAGGGCCCCACCTACTTCGCCGCCGTCACATAAAATGGCATCCCCATCTAGAAGGCCGGTGGCGTTGACACTGGACTCCCCCGCCTCTCTCTAGTTCCTCTCTGACGACAACCCCCGCCTCATCAACGGCTCCGACGCCCTCATCTAGAAGTCCAGCATCGCCGGCCGTGGCGTTCCTTCCGTCGCTGGCTTTTCCTACACCTCCAAATCTGGACTGTTTGTTTTGTTAGAAATTTATACGAAAAGAGATGAAACCCAGATTGGAATTTCTATGTTTTTATTGTTTATTTCTTGATTGAGCTTTTAAACAATGTGAAAAACAGAGACCAAAATAAGAAAAACCCACAATGAGCAAAATCCATGATTTTGTTTTTCCTATCAAAGATCATGGATGGAGGTTTGCTACCTTTGGATTTCTTGAACGACAGCTTCAGGGGTTGGGGTGTGGATGATAGGGGAGGGTGAGATTGTGGGTGGCTCTGACAAGAGGAGACCATCGGTAGTAATGTCAGATTCGGAACGGCGTTGGCGCGTCGTTAGATCTGGGTGTCGTAGGAGGGGAAGTGGGGGAGGTGGAGCTTGGTGGTGGTGAAGAAAATTGCAGGGTGGAAGAGGCGCAGAGTCTGTATTCCCAAAATAGTAATTAGGGTTTGGATTTTGTCTAAAATAGTAATTTTACCTTGCATTATTTTTTTTAATATTATGTTATTTTACTGATAAGAGGGAATTTAAAAATTTTTAAGCGATTAGGGGATATTTGCACCAAATTTATAGTATAGAGTTTTTTTTTACACTTAACCTTTCTGAATTTTGGAAATTTTTCTTGGAATTTAATTTTTGTAAATTTTTTAAGAGCTCAACCAGTAACTTTTGTAATTATCAAGATTTGTGTATAAAAAATAACATTACCAACAATTCAATAGCAAAGAATGATTTTTTTTATTTTTTTAAATTTTGATTCTTAAACATGGGATTTTTTCTAAATTTTGAAAATCTTGTTGGAAAAATGAGTTAAAAAAAAGGAGGAATCATTTGGACTTTTGAAAGGTTTTTTTATGACTATTTTAAAACTTTAGTGAGACCATTTTTAGAATTATTAGAACTTATGTGTAAAAATACTACTAAAAGGAAATTTCAGTGGGCAAATTGCCCGTACTGGTCCTAATGTGGTCTTAAGCACCAATAGCAATACTCACTAGCATAGTTTGGCATGCCCAAGTGTGTTATATATTATTTTTCTTGTCAATATTGAGAAAGGTATAAATGTATACTAAATCAAATTAATACAACAATGGGAGACTAATATGTGATATCACGATGACCTTTAATATAATCACATCTTCTTTTTTGTTTTTTTTTTTGGTTAAGTAAGAGTAAATGAGAATATAAAAATTTATCATTGATAAATATTTTTAGAAAAAAGATTTGAACCATATCCCACGTTGATGTGAACAAATTTCATGCTCACTATGAGCAAAAGGTCATTACTTTATATTATTTAAGTAAAAAAAAAAATAGAAAATAATATTTCTTTTTTTAATCCTACAAGTTGTTTTTATCTGCACATTCAGTATAACTTAGTTAATTTAGGAAGGGCTTGAATCACTTGATTTTTTCATAGAATCATTATTCCCAAATTTATATATGTGACAAAAATGTTCTATCTGTATATGTATAATATATATTGTATAATTTTGCATAGTTGCGAGACGCGTGAAATAAAGAGCGTGGGACAAAAATTCTCAGGAATCAGAAACTAGTGCCGGAAGCGGATGCGCACTGCGCATCCTATTGGTCCCAGTTTGGTAAGGAGCAATTTGTGAATGAGAGAGTTAATGGGTTGGCGCGATCTAGATGAGTGGGTAGCATCAAACTTTAGTGCATCCTAGGCTTCTTCAGTACAGTTGGACTCGTTTATAATTAATACTCAATAACTTTAATATAATTTTTTTTTTTAAGTAAATATGATTTGATTCTATGATCGAGACTTAAAAGATTTATCGTCTAATAGTTTATGAGTTTATAAATCGGTATCATATATATATATATATATATTTTTTTTCTTTTTCCGTAGCTGATATTCACACATCTCCTTTCACGGAATTTTTATTTCTTATTTTTTATTTTCAAAATATTAAGCAAATACATAAATAAATGATGGGCCTTTGGCCAAAACAGGCCAGAAACTGGCAGACAAGCCCAAGTTAAAAGCTGAAGCCCAACCCAAGAAGCAATACTTTTTCTTCTTCTTTTTTATTTTTTTTATTTTTATTTTTTTTATTTTTAACAAGAAGCAATTACAAATAGCATGACTTAAAAAGGACTAAATTATACCCACTCTATCCCAAAAAAAAAAAAAAAAGTCCTTTTTGGAGAGTATAAATTTTTAAGAGAACATGTGGGATATGTATTGTACCTAAAAAGTTACTAAATTGTAATTTAAGTTTTGAATATTCAAATTTAAAATTTTAAACTGTAAGGATATATATATGGAAAGATGTGAAATATATTGTTTGAAAAAGAAAAATGGACAATTATTTTGAGACAACTTAAAAAGGAAAGATGGACATTTTTTTTTGAATAGATGGAGTAGTCATTAAGGGAAAGTATCTCAACTCAATTCCGGTGGTCAAGCCCTAACGATAATGTGAAGTGTGTCGTTCATTCAACATCAATCCGATGGTCTTGGCGATGGTTTATAGCATGAAGGCTAAAGATTTCAGCCAGTAATTATGTGTCTTGAATCGGTACAATCTCTTAAGAATCCCGTATTGAGGATTGAGCTGATGGTGTTGCATACTTTGCCTAACCTCACTATCTGCGAAGAGGATTTCCCTTAAAATATGTGTTTATTACGTTCCTCCCAAGTGTGGTATACAATAACTGAAAGGCTCAACTTTCGAACTAGGTTGATCGCCGAGTTTGTCTTTTATCGATTCCTAGTCCATGAAACCAAGTCATCCCATGTTTGAAATGATGTGTAGAATCTAAACACATCTGGAATGAATTTCAAAATTGGGGAGCCGAATTGTTTGCACACAAAAGTAGTAAAAATTTAGACCTCTAATGCTTCACAAGATATCATGAGCAAGTGACTTATCCGCTTTAACCCTTTGCAGTTCTTATTACTAATTATTATATCGAATACACATATATCAATATAATTAAGATGCCTTTTTTTTTTTACGGGAATTTTGGAAACTTAGTTGAAAGTATTTGTAATACATTGTTTAATTTTTGTAACAGCTAAGAATTTTTTTTGGGACCAATGGTCTTGTGGCCTAGTGGTAATATCTCCCCGAACTCTCAAAGCGGATGGTAAGAGTTTGAGTCACCAAAGAGACAAAGCAGGCGTGTGTTTCTTACAAATGACAAAAATATCAAAAAAAAATAATAATAATAATGTAACGAATACTTAATTATTCTAGCCATTATTATATTCATCAATAGTGTCTGTACATCAATAAAAAATATGTGCAAGTACAATGACTAATTGAAATTTTGTGCCCTTATAAGATTCGATTATTGAATCAAAATATCATGTTGGGTCCAAAAATCCAACTCTTAGAATGTCAACTTATTTGTACATCAATGAAAAATTATTGTTTGAACCAATAGCTAAAAATAAAGGATTAAGTGCAAAAAAAACTTCATGTAATATAGATTTTGTGTATAAATAATTCTTACTTTTTTAAAATATGCATTTCAGTCTATAAAATTAAAAAAAAAAAAAAAGAAAGTACAAATAAACTCATCTAACCACTTTTTGACAAAAAATAAATATGAAAACCTTATTCTACCCTTTTTGTTCCCATTTTGCCCCTAACACATATGTGCATGTAACAAACCCAACCCCCCCCCCCCCCTCTTTCTTTCTTTCTTTCTCCATATCATCATATGAAAATTGCAGACTATCTATATTATTTTTGTCTGTATTCATTCACTCCAGACATGACATCTCCACCCTTTCTCACCTCTAATCCGAAGCCAGCGTGTGGATTGTTGCCAATTGAGCGAGGTTTCGGGCATTTATCTCTCATATGATTGATTCTTAAATGGAATTACAAGCATACAAGCTATATACATATGGATGGGTAAATTATTCAAATTCATTTCCACGTGGGGGGTCAAATACATATTCATCTTAAACAGTCAGGAGCTGGGTGGCATGACCAAAGGCTTTGCATTTGGAATAGAGGATGGTTTACAAAATGATTCTCGGAAGTACTTCATTTGAGATCCTCTTCTTGTGATCTTTTGATACACCCATGAGGGAGCCCGTACAAGGCTTCCCTCCAACCAATAGAAATCTGGACCATAAGCATCTCTTATGGGAATACATTTTCTCGCTTAGGGTTAGAAAATGGTTAAGGGTGTCTTAAATAATAGGAGATTGTTTGGTTTCGGTTTTTATTATATTCGGTTTTAGGTTTGTTTGGTTTAGTTTATCTCAATTTTATACAAATTGAGGTTTATTTTATTCTTACCCCAAACAAACACAATCTTATACAAATTGAACAAAATGATCATTTTACATGGCCGGTATTTATAGTTATTAATTTATTTAACTAAAGTAAGGATATTATCGTCATTTTAAATCTCCAAGGGCTATTTGCACCAAATTCATAATATAAGAGGGTTTTATACCACACATGGACCTTTTTGTACTATATCGACAGTAGAGGAGTTTTTTTTGCACTTAACTCAAAAATAAACCGATCATTTGGTTGGAAAATTTGGGCCCTTACGAAATTGGGTCATAATATCTGGGCCAGAAGTCCAACTCTTAGTATGCCCACTAGATTTATGGCTGGCTACAGTAGGAAACCCATCTGCAAAAGTGGGGAATAATGGAACTGATTTTGTTTTTATTAATTATAGAAAAATTGTTATTCAATTTCAAAGTGATTGGAAAGTCTAAATTAATAACTTGAAAATTTCTGAGACCTGTCTCATTGCTGGCACGACCCTTGAGTTTGTACACGTTTATTATTTTCTCCGGGATTAGTTCTGATACCATTAATAATTCGAATATAAAAATATTATTAACCTCTTTTCAAGTAATACGAGGAATTCGTGATTGCTTGGAACTGAGAGTCCGGGATTAGGAAGCGAATAAAAAAATCCATTGGTAGAAGTTATTTTAACTAATATAAAGTTTTGGCTTCGCTAAAACGCCATTTTCTTTAGCAAAGTAGTCTTCACGTAAAGGACTTCAAAACGTACATTTGATTCCTAAGATTGTATAAGACTCCTCTTTAATCTTTTATTATTGACCTGTTACCACTTTGATTTGGAATCTTAAGAGCAGTTTGGAGAGTAGAGGACACGTTGCAGTGATGGTCAACAGTCCACGTCGTGGACATGTGAAAGCCCGTCAAGTCCGCTAATTACTTTATTCTATAATACAAGGTCCGGACTTTAGGGTTTGAGTCGGCATTATTGACCAGCCTGTACAGACCAGTGGGCCACATTTTCATTTTCAAGCAGAATATAATTTTAGATATTAAATTTTGGGGGAAAAAATGTTGAAGGTTTTTCTGTTCAAGAATGGGAGAGGTAATAGTTTTTAGCTTTTTTTCATTTCTACGGCAAAATAACTTTAAGTACAAGCTTTTTTTTAAAAAAAAATATTGAATTTTTTCCCTTAAAAAAGGGAGAGGTAATAGTTGCACTGTCCCTTTTGAAATTTCACCTCACTTTTAAAGTGAAATAATATCATCGTCTTTGTTGATGAATAAGAGAATAAAAAACTAGGGAATATTCTACACTTATCAAAAGAGGAGTGTGAATATCACTTTCATTAAAAATTTGTAATTTTTATACTTATCAATAATAATAATAATAATAATAAATTTACAATTTCCATAAACAAGAATTTGTTTAATGGAGTTGAACTTATAATTTTAGATTTTGATTTATTGAAATCTAAAAATATGAAATATGATTCCGAGCATGAATCCTCTGCAGTGTTATACTGCATTTAGACAACCGAAGTACGTCTTATCATCCAATTGCACCATGGGCCAACCAACAATATTCAATAGTACATGATACATCATATGAAAACAACCACATGAAAATTTTGGTAAATTCAATATTTTTTGGCAAATTCAAAATAACCATATGAAAATTTTGGTAAATTCAATATTTTTTTGGTAAATTCAAAATAACCTTATGAAAAATTCATTTGGCTGCAAATGATAAAATTGTCAAAGTAAATGACATTTATTAAAAATATTGAGAGAATATTATATTTTTTCTGAATGAAAATGGATTCGAAATTTCCCGAGAATAATGTTGGTAACTTGGTATTAATAATTTAATACACTTGTTGACCATGTTTAATTGTTTTGCGATACATACTACTCAAAATAAGTTGGGCCTAACGCCCAAATTTCATGTATATTTATGGCCTCCTCTCAAATTGAAAAATGTCCAACAAAAATGTCCTATTGTATTTCAATACTACAGGTTAGTGTAATTAATCTTAATTTTACCATAAATTAATCACAATTGAAATATATAACCTTCCTCAGTCATTTACTTTTTGAGAGTTCCTTACATGTAACGCCTAGGCTTAGACCTTTTATCTCTCTTCACATTTGTCAGACAAACCTCACGCTCTTTTTCTTCTTTGAAACACATCAACAAGAACAAAATCAAACCCTATAAATCTCCTCTTATCACATTCCCCATCATCGTCAATCAGAAAACTAGGGTTAGGGTTTGAACCTAATCTGCAACAATGGGCAAGGGTGGTGCTCTCAGCGAAGGCGTCGTCAAGAACATCTTGCTATCCTACGCCTACGTCGGCATATGGATATTCCTCAGCTTCACCGTCATCGTCTACAACAAGTACATCCTCGATCGCAAGATGTACAATTGGCCCTACCCGATCTCTCTCACCATGATCCATATGGCCTTCTGTTCCTCCATAGCCTATCTCCTCATCCGCGTTCTCAAGCTCGTCGAACCCGTTTCGATGTCTCGCGAGCTCTACATCAAGTCGGTGTTGCCAATTGGGGCTTTATACTCTTTCAGCCTCTGGTTCTCCAATTCGGCATATATATATCTATCCGTGTCATTCATTCAGATGTTGAAAGCCCTAATGCCTGTTGCTGTGTATTCAATCGGCGTTTGTTTGAAGAAAGATGCGTTTAAATCGGACACCATGGCCAACATGGTCTCGATCTCGATCGGGGTCGCGATCGCGGCGTACGGAGAGGCGCGATTCGATACCTGGGGTGTGATCCTCCAGCTCGGGGCAGTGGCTTTCGAGGCCACCCGATTGGTCATGATTCAGATTCTGCTTACTTCAAAGGGTATCACTCTGAATCCAATTACTTCGCTTTATTATGTTGCCCCATGTTGCTTGGTTTTCTTGTTTGTGCCGTGGATTATTGTGGAGTTCCCAATATTGAAGGACACTTCGAGCTTTCATTTCGATTTTTGGATTTTTGGGACGAATTCGTTTTGTGCATTTGCTTTGAACCTTGCTGTGTTTTTGCTTGTGGGAAAGACATCAGCTTTAACAATGAATGTTGCTGGGGTGGTTAAGGATTGGTTGTTGATTGCGTTTTCATGGTCGGTGATTAAAGACACCGTTACGCCTTTGAATTTGTTTGGTTACGGGTTGGCATTCTTGGGTGTTGCGTATTACAATCATGCCAAGTTGCAGGCACTTAAAGCGAAGGAAGCACAGAGGAAGGCGGCGCTGCCTGATGAGGAGGAGGCTGGGAGGTTGTTGGAGGAGAGAGAAGGGAAAGGGGAAGGGGAAGGAAGGAAGAGCGATTCTCAGTCTTGATTTATATGGTTAATTTAATGTTTTGTTCTTCGCAGAGTGGGAAGGAGAGAGGAGGAATTAGAAAATTAGATAAAAGGTTTCGAGAATGGGCGACTAATTCCGGGTATTTCAATTGATTTGCTCTTAGTTTTGCTCTATCCCTTTCTGTATTTCCATTTTATTGTCCATCTTCACTTCATGTTAATTTGGCCGAGGGCAATGTTACTTGCCACTGCCAATTCATGTTTGTTGCTAGAGAAGGACTTGAGAGACCCTTATCTTTTTATTATTCATGTCTTAGAACTCCTACTTTTAGATCTATTGATATGATTATAATTTATGGTTCAGTTGAACACCCACTTAGTTGCTATTGATGTTTTATTTTCATCTTAATTGTTTCTTGTTTTTGTGTTATATATAATGTGATCAATTCTGTTTTGAAACAAGAAAGACACGGTCTTTATGCAAAAGATAAATACATGATTTAAACACAGTGATTTGAAATATGAATAATGGAATTCACTATGAAGGGTATGTGGAAGTTTGTAATCTAACTTCATCTTGATTTTGGAACATTAAGGATGCATAATCATGCATTCAATTCTTTTGCAACATTAAATTGTCATATTTTTACAATGGATTGTTGGGTATTTTCTATGTTTCCAATCGTTTCTCTTTGTTCTTAAGATTCCTATTTATTTTTAATGAACTGTAACATGAGCATTCAGTCCTCTTCATAATAGAGTTTCATCATTTTGGATCAATGACTAGCGACCCAGTGCAATGTAGATCTGTTGCCAATTCACCATTGAAAGCTCCCTGGATTAACAAAATGACATTATGTAATGTCTAAATATTGTTTTAAAACAATTTACCCCGCCCCCAAAAAAAAAAAAATTGTTTTAAAGCACCGACTATGATAAAGGAAACAAATCCAAATACGGCCTTTATATTATAAAGGAAAACTTGTGTTTTAGTGATCAAAGTTATAAAAAATTGTTTTTATTTACTATCATTGTCTTCTATTTGTCATCTTCTTTCTCCGACAATATCATTTTTTGTTCCTTGATATCATCATTGCTGTTTGTGGAAACATGATTCTGGTTCTTATATTTCTAATCGATCAGTTCAGTCTCTTCGAAGGAAACCCCTATCATAAAAAAAGAAGAAAAAGAAGAAAAAAAAAGGCTGGTCCCTGAAAAGTATATCACCCAAATGCTCTTGTATGGAGCCAGAAAAAGATTTGCCACCTCTACCTGAGAAGTAATGGCCATGATCTTTAATTCTCCTTCCTTGAATAGAAGGCTTCTAATTATACAAATGAAGTTGTTCCTCAGTTTCGGTTTCATTGTAGGTCGATGACTAATTTTCTTTTTACACTCATTGATTCTTTTAACTTTTGAATGGTGTTTGATTTGTGGACTTCCTTATGAGCTGAGGTGCAGCTCTAGTGTCCCTCTTCAAACATCCTTGTGTTGTTTCTCTCCCTGCAATTGACTGTAAAAAGATGTCCAAAAGAATAGAAAACTTCAACGTTTTGTTTTTTTCTGACATGATAAATCTGGTAAAATGGATGGCGTGAAGAAACTGTACAATTAACTCAAAATGATTCTCTCTCGAGATCCTCTTTCAAGACCTTGCGCCATGAAAACGGTGCCCCGGCAGTTGTTCAATTTGTACCATTATGCATACATGTTTGAATGACTACTGAATCTGCACGTATTTTATTTTATTTTATTTTTTCTTCCTATGAGGAAGATTAGAAGTTTCAAGTTTAGTACAGTGATCATTATACATTGTGTTTCCTCTTTAAAGTAATGGTGTTGCGGTAGTGCGTGGATGGACTATTTTATTTGTACCAAGTGACTTTCCGGAGTTAAAACTTGCTTAAATTTGGGGGTTTCCTTTCTAAATTAGTGGTAGCTCAAAGGTTATGCAGTAGGATGGTCTAAGTTGTAACCATTAGACATACATATCCTTCTAAAACAAACCGTTTAAAGTGAAGCCACCCTATTCATTAGAACAGAAGAAAAATAAGACAACCAAACCCAAGCTAATTCTCACTGTATATGGCTTCCAACCTTATTTAATCACTAGCACTTATTCTCTGCACTGTGACCAATAACCAGAGTATCCATTTGCAGAGCCGGTTTGGGTTTTTGTGGCTTGTACCACACTGCACAAATTATATATATCACAAAGTTTATAAGGCTCAGTATGGCTAGAAGTCCATAGAAACAATCAAGCCTGCCGTAGTTTATATTGTCTGCCAGCCATCGTTGTCCGTCATTGCTCCCAGTAACACCCTTCACAACCGAGACCAAGAAGCTACTGACGAAGAAACCGAGTGATAGGGTTGTGAGAAAAAGACCAGTGCTCATGGTTTTCATTCCTTTGGGAGATTGGTTTATGAAGAAATCAAGCTGGCCAGTGTATATGAAGGCTTCCCCGGAACCCACCAAGAAGAATTGTGGGATCAACAGAAACACGCTTATGGGCAGAGTTGCGGTGGTGTTGCCCGTGGCTTTTGCCACTGACAACCGTCTCCTCTCGGCTAATGCAGCAGCTGCCATTCCAACTGTTGAGAGGATGAGGCCTATGGCAATTCTCTGTAGGTTGGTGAAACCTGTTACAATAATCAATGTTTTGTGTCTCAATATAAGCAATGAAAATACTTCCAGGAAACAGTTTTGCAATACATATATGCATAAGTATATATAGGCATCGTGCATATACAAAATGCACACATATTACCATTAGTTCTACTATATATATATATATATATCTTATTTCATCTGTACCTGGTTTTCCTTTCCATTTCTTCCAAAGAGGCATGATGAGTCGGTCATAAACTGCTAAAGTAATCAATATGGCCGCCACGAAGAAGACAGAGAGAGACCCTGCTGGGATTTGGAAATGCCCAATTGATCTTTCCATTGTAGATGCTTGCTCAACTGAGAAGGTAATCATCTGCGCATATGCAGTCCAAAAAATGATGGTTGTAGCCCATATCGGCAATAGTCTGGCCATCATCTTCACTTCCTCCACCCTTGTCACTGGGCATAGCTTCCAAGGATTTGGAGTAGAACTCACATTCTTCTCAAAATCACTCTCTGTAACAATCGCCGCCTTGTCCAAGAATCTACATGAAAAACATGAATATCATGAGTTTGTGCAGACTAATGTTAGTTACCTTCGTTAGCTTACAGTTTTTAATCTTATAGCTAGAATTGTAACTTATTGCAGTACTAGGTTTTGGTTGTTATTGCTTCCCATAAGCTGGTTAACGATGTGAAGAAGGCTTACTGGAACTGATCTGTGTGATGAATTCTTGAAGCTTCAGGGGAATCCTCATATAATAAGCCAACACTGTAAGGAAGTTCCATCTTTCTCTTCCTTATAGCTGCCACCATAACTTGAAAAATTTGAACCATAGGGCTTCCCAAGCTTTTCTTGTATCGATATCTTCTAGTCCCAGATAAGAATACCAAGATGGCTATAAACATGGAGACAGAACAAATTCCATATGCCCAGCTTCTACCCACTTCATCTTGTATGTAGACAAGCACGGTTACCGCCATCAGAGTTCCAGTGCTGATGAGGAAGAAAAACCTGTTGAAGAAATAGTCCATCTGTGCCTTCTCCTTTTCATCTCTGTCATTGAATTGATCAGTTCCGAATCCTGAAACACTGGATTTGAGGCCTCCGGTCCCTAACGCAATTAGGTACAGAGCCATGTATAAAATGCCCATTTGGAACGCGTTGGCCTGTTTGCAATCGTTAATGGCAGTAGTGTGACAAGGTGGTGGACGTAGCCGGGGCAGTTTTGTTGCAATTGCTAACATTCCAGTACCCTGAAATAATGAAAGCAAGCATACGATATAACTTATGCTAAAAAACAGGCTGAATTCGTGTTCTGATTCAAACTCGAGGACTAAGACGACGATCGATATTATGTTTGAAGAAGACTCACCAGTGTTTGTACTGTTGCAAAGATTGCGATTGTTTTGTATCTGCCCAGAAAAGAGTCAGCAAGAAAGCCTCCAAGCAAACACAGTAGAAAAGAAGTGCCCATAAAATCTGTGACTATATTGGCTGAAGTTGCACTAGGCAGATGCATTGTGCCTCCCAAGTATGTGACTAGGTTTACTGCTATCCCCATTGTTGAAAGCCTTTCGCATATTTCAATCCCTGTTAAATTTTCAAATCAAAATAAATTTCAATGTCCCTTTTGACTTACTTGGGGAAGGACAAGGACCAAAAGTCATGGTGAGAACTCAAGAAATAAAGAAATTGGAAAAATTACGCATAAATGAACTTTTGGGCTCTATTTGATGGTCACATGGAGTCAAAGTCGTGAATTTCTAAAAAACGATTTCTCCTAAAAATGCTGACATGTTTCTGTAAAATGGAGATCAAAATTCCATTTCTTTGTAATTTTTCCAAATAATTTGCCATATTTCAAAGGAAATGTGGTGCCAACTGTCAAGTAAAATGTGCGGAAGTCCCATAATTAAGAAGTTGTGGTATCACTTAGTCATCCGTAGCTCACGTGGTATGAGAGAGGGGTGCTCGGGGGGAAGGTTCAAGCCCCACACGTAGAGGTTGTGGTATCACTTAGTCATCCGTAGCCCACGTGGTATGAGAGAGGGGTGCTCGGGGGGACGGTTCAAACCCCACACGTAGAGGTCGTGGTATGAGAGACAGAGGTGCTCGGGGGGACGATTCAAGCCCCCCACGTAAAGGTAGTCGGTGGCTCGCGTGGTATGAGAGATAGAAAAAGTGAGCGGTTCAAGTCCCACATGCGGGTGGTGTGGTGGCTCACGCGGTATGTTGGTTCAAGTCCCACATGTGGGATAGTGTGGTGGCTCATGTGATATAATAAAGAGAAAGATAAGGGAGGTGAGCGGTTCGAATCCCACGTGTGACAGTGTGACGCATGAGAGTTTTGTGATCCAGAGCTGTAGGATTAAACCACGTGTGACAGTGTGAAGCATGAGAGTTTTGTGATCCAGAGCTGTAGGATTAAATCATAGAAGATGGGAATAAGAACATCGATCTCCATGGTTTACAAGAGTGCCCTGATAGAATATTGCATCACCCCAATGAAATGTCAAAAAGAGAATGAATTGGACGCAAGAAGACTAAAAATAAACCTTGGATGAATTGGACGCAAGAAGACTAAAAAAAAATACCTTTAGTGTCCCACTCAATCCCCTTCCACACCTTACTCTACCCCTCCTCCCTCCAAAAAAAGGAACAAGGAAAAATATAAATATATATATTTATATAGATATATATAGCAACAGTAATTAATTAGAAACTAATTAACAATTTGGTCTGACTTAATACTTCATCATAGTATGACCATGTATTTGGTGCTGAATCTGATAAATTGTGCTTATGGGCTTTTTCTCTTCTATTGACACATACGTGGTTCTGTCCAGTATATTATAGTAACAGATCAAACATGCAGCATGAATGTGAAGTTTATATATCCAACAGGCAACCAGTTTGCTTTCACTCTGCCCCCTCTCTCCATGGCAAAGACGAGCATTCGTCGTGCAAATAGCTAATCATAAACAACTATTTCAAGAAATATGGATTGAGGAAGCAAGTGATGAATATCGATTCAAAGCAGAAAATGGCCTCAGATTTCAACTAATAACAAACATTTAGTCCCCAAGTCCCATTCTTGTGGAGCTCATTAACGCGCATTAAGTTAGTATTCAAGTACTTGTGGCCTATAAGCTTGATTTTAGCTTAATGTATAGTAAACTCTAGCAATATTAATGGTGTTGTAGAATGCAGAATAAGCTTGAAAACAAACCTAAAATAAGAGCAGCCGGAGCCCAGCCACCGGTCTTAGTCCTGTCAGCAGGGGAGCCCTTAGAGTCTACAGCATCAGCAACTGTCCAACTCATCTTCTCATCCTGTGACAGACAAATTAACAAATGTGTATAATAATAAGTCATTGACAATCAAGAATCATTGATTTTCGAACTGAACTGCCATTGACCCTGAACGAGAGAGCAAGTTTGAAGCTCAATACTAACCATTTTTTGCTTGAGAGGCTGAAAAGAAAGCTAGGAAACTGACGATCCTCCAACTCACAAGCTTACATGTTTTCGGAGCTTGCATTGTCCTTTTATAGGGAAAGATTACAACCTTTATTTTTTGTTTCTTTATTAGATATTTTTTTAGTTAAATAGATAAGAAAATTTAAAGTCGATGTTGATTTGTCAAAGGGGAGGGCAAAGATTAAAAAATTTGGAATCTGGAAAAATATATAGTTACTTCATTCTGATCACCTGTCTTTTAAGTTGTATGGATAATTCTGGCTATGGAGGTTGTGAATCTCTCTCTCTCTCCTCTCTCTCTCTCACACACACACACACAGAGTACGCACGTCTTCTTTGTTTTGAGTGCATTTGCTACCCCACAAACAAAAGCTCCCACCTTGTGGTTTTTTTTCCCTCTATCGTCTCTGTATGGCCATAAAAACAGAAAAGAACTTTTTTTTTTTTTTTTTTTTTTTTTTTGCCTTGCTATTAAATGAATGAGCCTTTTTCACTTGTGAATCATGTTTAACTTGTTACTGAAAGTTGCTAGCTACCTGAAATGCAATGTCATTTTCTATAAAGTAGGCGTCGCCAACCTGTATTCATAATGGATGTATTCATCATTCATCAAAGAAGCGTGTCAAAGTTGCCTAGGTATAAAGTTTAAAAGCTAGACCTGAATAATATAAACTTGCCAGCACAACTCTTTGACAGACGCTACTCTGATATGGTGGAAGAACTTGATTTTTTTTTTTTTTTTTTTCCCGAAGAAACAAAAGAAGATAATTAGTATGATTTTTATTGCAATATGTTAAAACTGGTGCAACTAAGATGACCTAATTATCAAATCAATGAACTCATATTATTAGTACTCATGTTGTGGATCATGATGCAGTATCAAACTCCCATGGCTGACATTCCTGAGAGTTTCATCCCAAATAGTGTCATCAGTGTAATGATAGAAGCCATTATTGAAGTAAAGGTCCAGTTCTTAAGTAGCGGCATAAAGTTTAATATATATATATATATATTCTCACTGAACCCTAAAGCCTTTTTTTTTTTTTTTTTTCTAAATTATTATTTTGAAAACAAATTCATCATACTCTCTCTTTTGTATGGAGATAACTTAAAATCTTAACATTTCTTCTTTAGAATGTGATAAAGTAGCATTAGACTACTTCGGTCAACAGAGACAGAGCCAGGATTTAGTTTTAGGGGGTACAAAGTAGTAATTTACAAATTATATGTCTATATTTGTGAAAGAAATTCATTTTCAAGGGTATTTTCAAAAAAAATTAAATTTCAGTAAAGACACAAAGTAATATTTTATAAATATTGTACCCATGTATATAATAATTTTAATGGGCCAGCTTGGGCTCAGGGGCCCCCCAAGCTGGCTCCGTCCCTGCTGGCCAATGTTGTACGCCAACCAACTTGACAACACTAAGATTGAAATAATGTTCCACTTTTTTCGCATCTTATAAGTTGAGTGAAATCCCCCACTCATAAATCAGATGGCTAAATTACTTGATCTCTGAGACTCGAATCACTTGATTTCTGAGACTCAAAAACTGAGAATGGTGTAGAGGTGTCTTAATCACTCAAAGATAGTTTTGATAGACAACTGAAGGAGAAAACACAAAAAAGAAAAGATAATTTTACTAAATAAGGAATAGGTGATTTCATTTTCATTTGATTCTCGTATGCACTAAAAATTCTATGGACTATACTCCAACTGAGCAGAAAAATATCTAGATGATTCAATGATTTAATGAGCTATATGTGGAAACTATAGTGACAATTATTATAACCCACACACACTACAGAATCAATCAAGCAATTGGCTAAATCCCATTATGATTGAAATGGCATTTGACAGAATCATTGTAATGGATGTTGAGAAAAAAGATAAAAAAAAAATTAATGACAAAAAAATTTTAAAAAATTCATGTACATGCACATGGATTACTAAAGTTGGCACGATTATTTTTTTTATTTTATTTTTTTTACGCTGACAAAAAAACCGCCATACGACATCTATAAGGCAATGACCAAACACCACATACATAACAAGAACTACATAGAACATCAAAGAATAAAAGCTAGCAAGAACAAAACTAACACCTATGTCAAGATCACAGTCTCGACAACAACCAATGGTGTCAGTATTGCTGGGACTACTAGCACCAACAATCGTGTTATAAATTTGTTTAAAATTCATTTATGACATGGCAAAAATTTTTTGGCTGAAGAAGTGTGATGGTGAAGCTTCTAAATTAGCTTCCGAATGAAGCTTTGAAGTTCTTGGGCAACAAGTGTTATTTGGCTTCCCAAGGAAGCTTTGTAATATACTTGGACACTAAGTATATTTTTGGCTATAAATAGCTTTTCACTGATTCGATGAAAAGCATCCAAGAGGCATCCAAGAGTAAGACAATATTCGGATCAAGAGAGTATATTGGTTTTGTGTGTGTGAGAAAATCCTTTTGTGTTTACAATCTTCAAGAGAGAGTTGAAGTTTGTATTTAGGTGGGTTTTTCTCTTTGTGTAAAACATATACTATTTGGGGTATTTGTTGAGTGTTGAGTGAGTCTTCTTTGTTGGTGAGTGAGTGAAGTGAGAAGAGAGATTATTGTGGGGAAGAACCAAAACGTTCTTCAGTTTGTAATCTTCTTCTTTATACTGATACGAATCATCATCGCCCGTAGACGTAACCCTATTTGTGAGGGTGAACCACGTATAAATCCTTATCTCATTTGTGCGTATGCTATTTATTTTCTTGTCATTAATTTTCTTTTTGTTCTCATAAATTCATATTCGATCTTTTTTCATAACAAACTGGTATCAGAGCTCGGGTTCGTGTATTGTGTACAGATACTGTTCACACATACGGTATTGTTCACAGATACTATTCGGGTACTGTTCACATATACGGTACTATTCACCGAGAATTATTTTGGGGAGTTTTTTGAGATGTCGACCAGATACGAGATTGAAAAATTTGATGGCAATATTAGCTTCAGTCTTTGGCGCATTAAGATGCAGGCTCTGCTTACTCAACAAGGTTTAAAGAATGTGCTATTCGGGAAGGACAAGTTGCCAACAACTATGTCCAATAAAGACAAGGATGTGGTTGATGAAAAGGCGCGCAGTGCGATTATTTTGAATTTAGCTGATAAGGTGCTGCGTGAAGTTATTGATGAAGACACGGCGGCAAAGTTGTGGCTGAAATTGGAGAGTCTGTATATGACGAAATCTCTCACCAATAGACTTTACCTAAAACAGAGACTCTACACCTTTCGTATGAAGGAAGGTATGTCTCTTAAGGAGCATATTGATAATTTCAATTCTATTATCATGGATTTGAAAAATACTGATATTAAAATTGATGACGAGGATCAAGCCCTTATTTTGTTATGTTTTTTGCCTCATTCCTATGAGCATTTTGTCACCACATTGCTCTATAGAAAAGACACTATTAGTATGGAGGATATTAAATCCTCATTGAACTCTCAGGAGTTGAGGAAAAATGTGTTTGGGAATGTTAGAGATAAACAGGCCGATGGTCTATTTGTAAGAGGCAAAAGTGAGACAAAGGGTTCTGGTAGTAGGGGCAAAAATAGATCTCATAAAAGTGTGGAATGTTACTACTGTCACGAGATATGGCACATCATCAAGCACTGTCCCAAACAAAAGGCAAAGAATGAGAATGGCAAAGAGAAGGTTCAAGAAGCAACTTCTGTGGCAATTGCTACAACAAGTGATTCGGAAAGTGACGAATATGTTCTCATGACAACCTTGTGTCCAGGTATGTCATTTAATGACAGTTGGATTTTTGATTCTGGTTGTTCCGTTCATGTGTGTCCCAGTAGGGATTCCTTCTTTTCTTATAAAGAGGGGAAAGGTGATTTGATTTTGACGGTGGACATGAAAGCTTAAAAATTGGAACAGTCAAGATCAAGACGCACAATGGGTTGGTGAGAACATTGTCAGATGTGCGACATGTACCGGATCTGAAGATGAATCTTATTTCAGTAGGTGTGCTAGACTCCAAAGGTTACAAGGTTGTAACAGAGGGTGGAGCAATGATGGTCGTGATGGATTCTCTTGTGATGCTACAGGGCACCAAGGTGAAAATTTTGTATCTTCTCAAAGGGAATACAGTAACAGGTGAAGCTTCTACATGGTCTTCTACAGTTAGCAAAAATCTACATTCGGGTCTTGGCAAAAGAAGAGTTCGAAAGAGGAGTTACGATCCTAGTTCTCAAAAGGGTTGTGAGGGGACTACACAACGTGGTAGGAGAATGAAATCCGTTTTCAAATGGCAACCGAAATTGCAACAGTCCTTACAGGGAGGCAGACCCATGAGGACAGGTGTGATATTGACTTGCAATAATCTTAGTGGCAATGAGATAGTCCATTCGAGTGTCATTAAGATGCGTGGGAGGCAAGTAGTTGGTCACAAAAGAGATGCGAAGAAAAGTCAAGGACGTCCTATTCTCCATAAGGGTGAGAAAATGATTTTTCACTACCAATCGGTGGTTTGTGGGCGGTTGGAGATGGTTGCTGAAGGAGATGTCAAATTTAGAATTTCTGAGGGTGTCTTTAATAAGCGTTTAGAGTTTAATAGAAATACTGGAGGTATGCTCGTGGCTGCGCAAGACATGCATGGGTTGAAGAATGAGAGCCTGAGAGTTAAGTTTGATGATGACTCAAATTTAACTAAAATTCTTAATTAATTTGTTTTGTGGAGAAGACAGTTTGTTTAGCAGAGATACAGTAGCTCATTTGAATTTTCGACAAGGTGGAGATTTGTTGAACATATGGCTCAATTTGAGGCTTGCATCACCCATAATGTCATCAAGATTCTTGGCCTCCAAGAATGTGTGCCCGGCAAGTCTTTTGAGTGGTCCCAAGTAGTCTTATTTTGGTGTCCCATTTTGGTTATAAATAGCCTTTGCCTTCCATGGTTCAATGCATCCAAATCATCATTTGGGTGTTTGAAATATCAGTTGGAGAGTGAGAAATTTTGGGTGTAATTGGGTTTTGGGTGTGAGCTACTTTTGTCTTGTATCTCTTTATTTCCATAGCGAAATATTGTTCTGTCTTCTCCCCGTGGACGTAGACATAGCTGAACTACGTAAATTTTTATCTCGTTTGTGTGTGTGCCCATTTTATTTTTCTTGTCATTAATTTTCTTCGTTCTCATAAACTTTTATTCAGTCCTTTTTTCATAACAAATTGTATCCAGAAGATTCAGATCACAACCTAGTAGGTCAAAAACATAAGCATATCCATAACGCCAGGCAACATCCAGATAGTTGTTTGCCTAACACACAATGTTACCAAGTCGGCCTTCCAAAAAGCACATGCCGACCACTATAGCTGACCCATCCAGGAACCGCCGATCACGCTCTCTCGAACACCAATAACATTAAACGACGCCGCTGTAAAACGCAGAGGCGGTAGATCCACACGCCATATCTAAGTGCACCCTACAAGGATGTTCCTGAAAAGATCAGCCTGAGAGATCCACCTCCAGCCATCGAGATCAAAAGGATATAGCGGCAGATATCGGGTAGCGAGTCTGCTAAGGCACAAAAACCCCAAAGGAATAAGCCACCACTCACAGGCAACCTTCCAGCCAGACAATCGACAAGAGTGACGGACAAGAAAAGAGATGGAAGCCATCTCAGAAAACCCATACCTTCTTAGATACAACCCCAAACTCTGATGAACAGAGAACTTCGATATAATGAGGAATAAGTTGAAACTCGGTTCAACATAAAGTTGGCACGATTGGAGTAGGTATGGTGGAGTGCATTTTGTGGTGTTAAGCAGGAATAATAATGCCAAGTAGCCACTAAGGCAACATAGAACATGTACCAGTGCCCCACAGAGCAGAGAAGATGGACAAAACCATATGTTAGACCAATCTCTCTCCCATCCCTTTACTTGGGGTCTAATGGTCTACATATATATATATATATATATTTCCCCATTCCTCCCACTAACTACACAGTACACATGTATCTAGCCAGGATCTACAAACCATCACAAATTGTCTTGAATTTTTCGTTCATGTCAAATTTGGTCACGTGTCTCATCTCATGCCTTGCTATTACCAAAACTTCATTGCAAAAAAACTAGTACCAGACGCATCAAACATGAGAGAGGGGAGTGGACCAATCACAAAAACTGTTTTTTTTCTTTTTTCTTTTCTTTTCTTTTCTTTTTTTTTTTTCTTTTTTTTTTTTTTTTTTTTTTTTTAACTTTGGTCAAAACATGTGATGTACTCGGTATATGTTTGTACCAACACTACACATGTTAATTTTGGTCTTTACTTTTTTCAAATAGTTCAATTGTTTTTTTGCATTTTATATTCAATTAGTGTTAATTCAGCTTTCAGACGAGCATGTTCTTTTTTAATTTATATCATTTCCTTTCTTGCACAAAAAGAATTTTGACACAAGCACATAATTCTTTAATAATTATTTTGAAAGTGATGCTGGAAGTCTTAAACATATATATATAAACACTTGCATATATTGGAGAACAGTAAGTGTAGTCGCCACTGTTCCTAAAAAAACTAGGTCAGTTTGTAAGTCTTGGAGTCGCTGCTGTTCCTTAGCACACCTCATGTGCCCCGCTAACGCCTTTGCCAGAATCTATGCGAATTTTTCAACTGATATGTTTTGAGAATTTCTTGACTGAACGGATAAGAATAAAAAAAATTTAAAATAATTAATTTTTTTTATTTTTAATTGATTTGCTAGAAGTAATTCGTATAAAAGAAAATCCTAACTAATTTGATTTTAATTTATTTTGATTAAAAGCATGTCTAATTTTGTTATTTTTTATTAATAATATATAATAGTAATAAAAAAAGAAACAATTACTAAAAAAGAAACGCTGATAAATTAGTTACTATAGATTCTAATATCAGGATTAAAAGTGGGTATACTATTCTATGCTCACCAGGAAATAATTAAACGGCACTGTATATATATATATATGCATATATATAGTTGTATGATTAGCCAAAGAGTGAATACCTTTTCCTATCACACATTCACATCAAATAAAAGAATGAATAAATCATTTAGTTAAGTTAATAACCACTTGATAGATCATCATAGGTCCCAAACACTCGATCAACTTTTCCTTTTCCTTTTCCTTTTCCTTTTCCTCTTTGAGATCAAAGTCTTTTTTTTCATACTATCCATATTCCACATGAAACGAGTGCATACAAAACAGAACAGCCAACTGTCCGTCTATTGTGAAGTCTCATGATTACCCGCCCACTGTGTTTCAAAATATTCCATAGAATAGCCGTACAACGCTCAAGAAACCTCAAAAGCTTCCACTCATTACAACATGAACACAAGCTGTTCGAGAAAATTCCTCAGCCAAATAATTTCTCCATCCACCATTCTATGCTCGCATGTGTTAAAAAAAATAGTCAATTTGAAGCTCTTGACATCTTCAAGCAACACCTTCAGTTGAGTTCTATCAATGTCGACGAAGTTACAGTTGCCATCGCTCTCAAGGCTTGCCGTGGAGACCCAAAACTTGGGGATCAAATCCACGGTTTTGCTATAACTTCTGGGTTCATTTCGTATGTCACAGTATCGAATTCTTTGATGAACGTGTATTGCAAATCAGGACAATTCGATCGAGCATTATGTATTTTTGAGAACTTGAGCAACCCAGATATTGTTTCTTGGAACACTGTGCTTTCGGGCTTTCGAAATGGCGTTGATGGATTGAATTTTGCTTGTCGGATGAATTTTATTGGGATTGCTTTTGATGCTGTGACTTGTACTACTGTTCTCGCCCTTAGCACAGACAATGAAGAGTTTCTTTTCGGAACTCAGTTGCATTCTATTATTATAAAATCTGGATTAGAGTGTGAAGTTTTTGTAGGAAATGCGCTTATATCAATGTATGCAAAATGGGGTCGAATAGTGGAAGCTGAAAGAGCGTTTGATGAAATGCCTAATAGAGATTTGGTTTCTTGGAATGCTATTCTATCGGGTTATACGCAGGAGGGAAATTATGGATTGGAAGCTATTTGGGCTTTTATTGAAATGGTGAAAGAAGGGATAAAGCTTGACCATGTCTCTTTTACTGGCGTGGTTTCAGCTTGTGGCCATGAGATAAACTTAAAGCTTGGGAGACAGATACATAGTTTGACAATAAAAAGGGGATACGGAAAACATGTTACAGTTTGTAATGTTTTGATGTCAATGTATTCGAAGTGTGAGGTCGTAGAAGATGCAAAGTTGGTCTTTCGACACATGATTGATCGCAATGTAGTCTCTTGGACAACAATGCTATCTATAACTGAAGTAGATGCTGTGTCTTTATTTAATGATATGAGATTGGATGGAGTTTATCCAAATGATGTGACATTGGTTGGATTAATCCACCACATTACAATTAATAATTTGGTGGAAGAAGGCCGGATGATTCATGGTTTTTGTATACAGAGTAGCTTTTTATCGGAACATAATGTTGCTAATAGCTTCATAACCATGTATGCTAAATTTCAGTCCATGAAGGACTCCATGACGATTTTTGAAGAGCTTAGCTACAGAGACATTATATCCTGGAATGCTTTAATTTCTGGGTACACTCAAAATGGGCTGTGTCAAGAAGCCGTACATACATTCCTGTCAGCAACAACGGAGTCCCATCCAAACGAGTTTACATTTGGCAGTGTCTTTACTGCAATTGGAACTGCCGAGGCCATTTCTCTAAAACATGGACAATGGTGCCATTCTTACCTGATAAAGCTTGGACTGAACACACACCCCATTGTTTCTGGTGCTCTCCTTGGCATGTATGCAAAGCGGGGGAGCATCACAGAGTCACAAAGAGTTTTTAGTGAGATACACAACAGAAGTCAAGTTGCTTGGACTGCAATAATCTCTGCACACGCAAGTCATGGCGACTATGAATCAGTGATGGGTTTGTTTAAGGAGATGGAAAGGGACTTAGTAAGACCTGACTCGATCACTTTCCTCTCTATATTAGCAGCATGTGGAAGAAAGGGTATGATTGAAAAGGGGCATGAAATTTTTGACTCAATGGTTAAGGACCATTTGATTGAACCATCCCCGGAGCATTATTCTTGTATGGTGGATATGTTGGGGAGGGCAGGGAGGCTTAGGGAGGCAGAGGAGTTTATGGGTCAGATTCCGGGAGGCCCCACGTTGTCTGTGCTGCAAAGTTTGCTTGGGGCTTGTAGAATACATGGGAATGTGGAGATGGGTAGGAGGATGGCTGATGCTTTGATGGAAATGGAGCCTGATGAGTCTGGTTCTTATGTGTTGATGTCAAACTTGTATGCTGAGAAAGGTGAGTGGGCAAAGGTGTCAAACATTAGGAAAGGGATGAGAGAAAGGGGAATGAAGAAGGAAGTGGGATTTAGTTGGGTGGATATTAGTGGTTCCTTATATATGCATGGGTTCTCATCAGGTGACAAGTCCCACCCAGAGTCTGAGGAGATATATAGGATGGCACAGCGGCTTGGATCGGAAATGAAAAGTTTAGAGAGAGAGAAAGAGTTTTTAGGATTTAACCTCAAAAGACAAGTGTACTTGGATCTCTCAATGTAGAGTCAAAATATGCAATTGTTCGAGATGAAAAAATGAATTGAAAGTCCTTCCAAATAAGTGTCATATATATATAATTCTTTTCTCCTTCTCTTTATCAGAAGAAGTTTGACTGCAGAGGAGTGCTTTTTTCTACAGGTGAAACATATAAGAAAGTTAAAATCAGTTGAAAAGAGGGAAGAAAAATTCAACAAGGACCAAATAAAAGTCTTAGGAGACGAGCGTGGACGGCAGGATTCGAACCTGCGCGGGCAGAGCCCACATGATTTCTAGTCATGCCCGATAACCACTCCGGCACGTCCACTTCACATGTTTCCCACTGATATATGTTTAATATCAAATCAGTTCTCGGCTACGCAGTCAGAGAGCATTCCAATGTTTGAATAAAGAAATAGATTCTGGCCCCCATTAAAGCTATGTTTTGGTTAATTATTTATGTGTTTGATTGATTAAAGGAAGAATAGAAAGAAAAATATAATAATTAGAAACTATTTCGTACCATATTTTATAAATTTGATCTTTTATAAAAGAATAAGGGCAAAATTAGTATTAACAAAGTTTTATTAAAAAGACTAACATTTCCTATCCTTACCTTCAATTTTTTTTTTTTGGCCTTTCCTTCACTTTCCTCCTAATTTTTAAAGGATAATAACAGTAATTACTATTCATAACTTATTGTATTTATCAAAATCATTCATTTTCTTTTCTTTCCCTTCAAACATCGTCCGTTTCCAAAATCCAAACATAGAATTGTTCCCTATTCTTTATAAATTATGAATACCAAGGAAGTGGTATTACATGTGAGACCACATATCAATTTCCGCACGCCGACCCCCGCAAAAAAAAAAAAAAAAAAAAAAAAAAAAGCCAGAAAATCACTAAAGCCCTCTAAGAACCGTTGTTGACCCCCTTGCAACTCAAAAGGACCTTATCATATAAACATACATACATTCATATATATATATATATATAGGGGATACCATAAGTTCAAGACAGGAAAAGATGAGAAAACTTTGAGAAACTATGCGTGTAGAATTCATTTCTAGCAAAAATTCATTTGTAAATGATACAATTTATAAGAACATGGAGTTGATCTTCGGCTTCAATGCATCCAAGAACCCAATTAAAAGAAAATAAGAAAACCTGTTCATGCCCGTGGAACAAGCTACTTCACAACTTCTGCTTAAACAAAATGCAATAAGCACCATAACCAACCACATTAGCAATAAAATGGCATCCACGATTTTTCTGTGGGCAAGCTCCTAAATGCGCATCATGAGCTAAGCCAAACGAAGCTACATATCCGTAGAAAAACTTACCTCCTATACTTACCCACAGAGGATGGAGCTCTGACGCTTGCATAAATGAAACCCAGTAAAAGTTTTAAGTCATTATTTCAAACTAAGAAACCATAATTTAATCAATAGAATCATAACATACTGCATATTGTAAATCTATATTAACAAGTTCCTGCATAAAATGCCATCCGCAACTGTGTGTGGGGAAGTTCCTAAATGCTCATCGTGAGCTAAACCAGATGAAGCTATACAATTGTTGAAAACTTTCACACGATATTACCTGATACAGGTGGAGCCTTGTTGCAGAAATGGAAGTCAATAATAGTAGAGTCGTGACTTCTAAATAAGAAGCCAAATGTGACAACATATCGCATTACTATAAAACAATACCAACAAGCACACTACAACATAAAGCAACTTAATAAAATTGGTTTAAAGTACCATTCTCGTACACATTTGTAAATTTAACTCCAAGTTTGTTATTTCTCACATCGCATGAGATGCACCATGAGAAATATCTTGATTAAAAAAAAAAAAAATCCCTTAGCTAATAGCACAACTTCCTCAGTCAAAGCCTTCAAAGAAGTAACTCTTCCCTTCCAAGAGGCCCATCACACCGAAATCACATTCTGTAAATTCTTTTCAGATCAAGAGCTTCTCAATGGCATCCTGTGTTTCACAAACAAAAACTCAGAATCCAGAAACAAGTTGAAAGAAGATTGAAACTAACAACATAAATTGCAATAATGAGATGTCATATGGCAAGGTACCTTGAGAACATCTATGGATGCCTTCAATTGGCTTCCCTCGTTGCTTGTCACAGAACAAGCAATAACAGGCCTTGTGACTCCACAGGCTCGGCCAAGTGCTTGTTTTGAAGGCACAAATACATAGGGCACATTCTGCCAAATCCAAACAAGACATTGATTATCCTTTGCAGTCTTACAACTTAGTATGAAAAGATTCACAAGTCAATTGCTTCAACTATACTACAGCAATATAATTTACAACCCAATTCCTTGACAAAATTATCCCCTGGTTTTAGGGATATGGTAGTGAAATTTTGTTGCTTCATCTTCTTCTTTTTTATTTTATTTTATTTTATTTTATTTGGTGGGGGTTCTCCAGAATTATATATATACATATACATATACATATGTATATATTAACTCCAGATTTTGGGCATGATGGATAAAGCTGCAGAACTCTGGCTAATGGAAAATAAATTGGAACATATATAAATAAATGAAAATTTTAATGTTATAAGTTATAATGAAAGTCAAATTGTTAGTGGAAAATTCAACCATGTAGAATGGAATCCTTCTCCTTTAAGCCAAATTAGGGCATGGAGAAGCAAACTCAAAATCGAGACCTTAATCACTAAAAACAGAAAGAAGTATTGAATAAGAAATTGCAAATATTGGTTCAAATTTAATTAGAAGCCAAAGAAACAAAAACAAATACAGTTATCATTAACAACAGCAGTACAGTAATTCAGACACGATATAGTTCAGTTCAAGTGCGGAGCCAGCTTAAATACACTCCTATCTTTCGTCTTGTTTCACTGTGTGTGTATATATATATATATACACTATGCACCCTGAACCAAATTTCTGGCTCCACCCCTGGTTCAGTTCAGTTTTCAGCATATGTTCAATTGGCATGTTAACAAGGTAAGATGACGACATAAGCCAAAATGTCATGAAATAGATGACATTTTACTATTTATTCAGAGCAAAACAAACAATGAGATAACAAATCAATAAGCAATCTCAACATTATATGAATCACATTATTAGTGGAAAATTCACCCATGTAGAATGGATTCCTTCTCCTTTCAGCCAAATTAGGGCATGGAGAAGCAAACTCAAAATCCAGACCTTAATCACTAAAAACAGAAAGAGGTATTGAATCAGAATTGCAAATATCGGTTCAAATTTAATTAGAAGGCAAAGGAAAAAAAAAAAACACAAACAAATACAGTTATCATTAACAACAGCAGTACAGTAATTCAGACATAATATAGTTCAGTTCAAGTGCGGAGCCAGCATGGATTAATGCAACTTTATTACACTTCTATCTTTCGTCTTTTTTCACTGTTAGCTGGAATATATATATATGTGTGTGTGTCTACCATAACCCCTGAACCTAACTTCTGGCTCCACCCCTGGTTCAGTTAAGTTTTCAGCATATGTTCAATTGCCATGTTAACAAGGTAAGATGACAACATAAACCAACATGTCATGAAATAGATGACATTTAGGCAAAACAAACAATGAGATAACAAAACAATAAGGAATCTCAACATTATATGAATCACAACCTCCCAAATGGCAAATGGATGGTAAACAAATGCAACTGATGCAAAACAGTACAAGCAGAGGTAACCAATGGGCTAGATGCTAAATCAATAGAAAAATCAAACAATTAAACACAGAAATAATAATGAAACAAATATATATATATATATATATATATATATATATATATATAATGATACAACAACAAAACACAACAAAAGAGGAGGAAGGAGGGAAGGTTATGTAGCAAAAGAGTGTTCTTCTATCCTTAAATAATTACAATTTGACTTGGATGATCTAAGCTGCATTCAAATATAAGTCCTAATTTTAAGGGCACAGCAAATTATAGTAATGCAAGGTTGTATTTTTGGAGTACAAATTATTTGCAACAACTCCTATAAGCTTCCAATCCTCGTACAAATTTCACATGTCCTCAAACAAGCAACATTATCAATTTGGGGAAGCAACTATAGCAACTAAAATGAAATCAAATTAAAAAAACATACATTACAAAAACATCACAAATACAAATAACTATTATGCTCAAATTCAACAATGACAAATTTCCAAAGAATCAGGAGAAACCGAAAGATCTTTAAATTGGTTTCCCACAATACCATCAAACCACCCAATTACTTGCCAAAATGTACACCTAATAATAACGAAATATTGTTGTTAAAAGATTTAAATAAACAAATTTATCCTTGTATGTGTTTATGTTCGATGTGTAATTGAGTATGCGAATATATGCAAACCTTATCTTCTGCCAGCAGGGGGAGATGGAGAAGAATTTCAAGTGGCTCAGTGTCCGCCGCCATCACAACGAACTCCGAAATACCCCTGTTCAAAGTCTTGGTGGCTGAAATTTTAAGGGCATAAACACAAATTAGGGAAAATAGAAAGAAAACGGGATACATATTTATGCGCGCGCGCGCACAAAAAAAGTGTTTGTGTCGAAAACCTTCATTAGCGCCCTTTTTGAGCTGTTTGTAATTAGCAGCTTGTTGAACCAGGTCTAGTATGGTAATTGTGAGCTGCGCATCGGCTAGTGGATATGCTTTTGGATTCACTACTTCGCCTGTCTGCAAATATATACACAACAACAAATGTGTTAAACAGATCACAACAGATCAATCTAAATAAAAAGATGAAATTATAAGAGAAAGAGAGAAAGAGAGTACCATTTTTTTTGTGTATCGGAGCAGGAAGCTAGGGTTTTTGTTTAACCACCAAGACAACAGCAAAATCGGGGGTTTAAGAGCGAGGAAGCCGTTGACTACATTTATACGATGTATGGATGGATAATAATGGGCCGGGCCTGGTTAAATCTGGGCCATATTTGTTTTTTAATAGATTGAACATTTAAAAACATTAGATCATTCCGTGCCCAGCCCGCTTTTGTTGAGCTCTATTTGTGGATATCTCAATGATCCAAGGATCCGACCCAAAATTTAACAAATCTATGACACCATAATTAAATAACAATACTTGTACCATGGTGAGTACTTAGATAATCAGTGAGCCTAGCATCCAATGTTATTTGTATCGCGCCCAACCAAAGTAGTCCCACTTATTTCGAAAAATTGCCTCAACAACCTAATAAGATATTTTTTTTTTTTTTTTTTTTTTTTGGGTTCGGCGTATATATACACTATTGGTTGGTTCACTAAAGAGAGAATATCTTTTTATCTTTAGTGAATAAAATTATCAATGTGAAACCTGTTCATAATTTCAAAAATAAAATTGTGATTGGGGTGGAATGGAATAAGGGATAACTTTTAGGTTAAGCTCGAAGCTTGTTTGATAAACAAATCGATCCCAATTAATATTGGGTCAGGTTCGTAGTTAAACTTATGAACATAATTCCGTGTAGACGTCTACTAAGTTATGTTTATGAACATATATATATATGCTTATGTATACTTATCTTTTAACATTGTGTAAGTATATTTATGATTTCTCATGTGACTTTTTAAGGCTTAACTTACAAGATTATATTATATATTTTGTCTAGGTTTCATGAAATGAGATTATACTGATGGGATTGATAAGTAAGATGGTAAGTAAAGTAATTAATAATGTTCACTGGTAACTTCATAAACACAAGCCTAAACACAAATTAACACAAGATTAAGTTGGATTCATTTTGTTAAAGGAGTCAGTGCGAGGTCAATATTTTGAGCTCATTACAATTCCGTGCAAATTCGAACTAAATTCATAAAAGATTGACTTAGCTCGTTTTATGATGGTAAGATTAGTCCCCTTGTCAAGTTATCGATAATTTGAATGAATATGACCACAGTCTAGTTTCTAAATAATACTGTACGATGTCAAAGCGTTTTTTTGTTTTTTTAACTTGATCTAAGTTAACTTTTCTATATAGAGTATTAAATTGTTTGATGACTTTCAGAATCTTAGATTTGTTGTTAATTTGATAGGAATCTTGTCAAATAACTCTGCTGGGTAAGATTTGTTCATTGATAAATATTGATTATTCTTATAAAATAAATAGTAGGAATTATGTGTAATTCTTCCATTGTGCTTATTCCTGTCCATTAATGGCAATGAAAGACTATTGTCACGCACATTTGTCTGCATGTGTATGTATGGTCCGAGTTATTAATTGATATTTGATTCTTTATGATTTAAAAAAAAAAAAAAAAAAAAAATTTGGACATTTTATTCAAATCAATTTGGTCAATCTTGACAGGACAATAATTAATTGCATCCTTTTTGAAACCAATGGTGACTGAGTGGAATAAGCCTGAATGAAAGTGATAAATATTACTCTTCATATTGAAAGGGATCTCAATTATTCGATAAGCTATTAAATTGATTTTGGTGACAAGGCTCACAACACACCATTGTTAATGCTCAAGATTTTAATAACTTAAAATTTTGTCATACTTGTTTTTTTTTTTTTTTTTAATGTTTTTTAATAGCTTGGTAATCTTTTTTTGGGGGAAAAAAAAAATGTTTTTGCATCTTAATAAATGTCAGCAAACAATAAGTGGTAAAACGAGCCCTGTTTATGTCATGCAATTGTCAACCCCAAAAATACAGAGATGTTTGCTATTTGCAAACCAAAACAAAAAAACAAAAAAAAGGAAGAAAGAAAAGAAAAGATCAAAGAAACAAGTGGGTAGTATCCAATAGAAGATGCCAAGGCATAGTTGAAGGAGAATAATGAAGATTGCAGGACATCAGATCCTACAAAACAAAAGAACTCAATATCAGCACTTTAATCAACAAATGTATCAGTTTGTGTATGCATATAAAATTAAAAAAAAAAAAAATACACATTCATGCATGCATGTAATTAAATCAGCATATATAAAAGGAAGTACTAATAATTAGATAAGAAATTAATTACGTACTGAACATATTCAACATTAATCTTAGAATTGGAGATTTTGGAGATAGCATCAAAAGCTTTGTTTGACAGGACTAGGGTTGCTGGGCAGGGATTGGTTCGACAAGCATCAACAACCTGCACAACAATGGTTCCTTCTTTGCATGGCCTCTTTAGGCCACTGATGCACCTAATGCGATATCTCCGGCCACACGCAGCTCCGTTGTCCCACACCCCATCGCTTGCACCAGCAAACAGACCGCCTTCAGGAAATTGCTCTTGGTCGTACCCATTACATCTTGTTGCTGCATTAATTAACAACAATTAATATTAATTATTCCAATTTCTTTTTTTCTTTTTCTTTTTTTTTTTTTTTTAAGAAAAAAAAAACGAAACAAACATCAATTCATGTACGATATATTCAGAGTCATTATTTGTTATGTGTGCGAGTGTTTAATTAGTGAACATGTATAAGCAAAATTGGTCATAATTAAGCTGATTAATTAAGGAAAGTCATGGCTTGACCATAGGCCAATGTGGACATTTCATACTTGTGTAGCACAGTGATTAATTGCCTATTCCAAAATAAAAGGTCTAGAGTTGTTGAACTCCCCTACAGAGATAAGAGTGAGTGAGTGTGTGGGTGTGTTTCTTACCAAAATTAATATATATATATATATATAACAAAATGTGGTTGCGCCTATGGCAGACATAAGTCCGAACATCAATATGAAATGTATGTATGATGATGGCATTCACGTACGCAGATATGGAGGATTATATGTTGCAGCTGTTCCAACATCCCCAGAAACCAGAGGAATGCAAAGATATAAGCATCCAATATTAAGTGTAAGTACAGCTAAGATGAACCTCATTTTGGTAATGCAATTTGGCTGTATATATATGTGTGTGTGTGTAATATATATCAAGTGCCAAGAGGTTTTTGGGAAGCTTAAGGAGCTCCTCACAGCACTCTTAATGTATATATACTACTGCCAGTGCCAGATGATCAAAATAGCCGATGCACGGGGCGGCTTCTTTTTGCATTGGTGACATTAATCACTTCAATATTTAAACTAGCTAATAACATAATTATATGGGAGATGATTAATCCATAACCATACAATCTGCTGTCTCATCTTGTGGTTGAAATTGATGTCATCCCAATCTCCATATATATATAGTTGAGGTTTAAAGGCTTACGACAACTAAAAGGTTGATCCTCATCTCTATATATATATATACACACACATATATATAGATGCTAGCTGCACTTTGATTCTAGTACTGAAACTGAGTGGCCTTCTTCAAAAGATTGATGAATTTGTATAGTAAAATGGTCCACTTTACATTCCATTAATTCATTGTGCTCCAAGAGATGAGATTTTCAGTTCAATCGCCAATCTTTTCCAACCCAAAAAAAACGCACCTCAATCACTTTATGCACATGATCCAAGCTTTCTAATCTTAGTTTACAGTCAACACTTTAACATACATTTCTTATCACTTTCTGAGCACTAATATTATGGTGGCATCATTGAATCAGTGCCCTGAATTTAAAATTTAAATAGGTTTAGTTCAAAATTTGTACTAAATTTTTTAAAGTTTAGTTCAAAATTTATACTAATTTTTTTTAGTATCTCAAATATAAAAAGTTGATTCGGTCGCGTCAAACATATCATAAATGGAATTGGAATTACAATCAACACTTATAATATTGCAGTGAAGTGATGATCATTATGTATTCTTCACTTTTCTTATCTTGAGAGACCAATAAATTTTTTTTGGTGTGCCTATATAGACTATGATTAAGATAATCCACGTGTTAATCATTCCCTCACGAGCCTTGCCGACTTGATAACCTTAGTATATACTGTAATCTTTTGCATATATTAGGAATGGAACGATTGATCAACTATTGGTCAATTACCAACCATCAGATTAAATAAATGCATCTAATGGCATCTAAAAATGTTTAAATTTCAGTAGTGGGTCGGTCTACGTAGTTTCTACTTTCCACTTGATTATAGTGGGCATTTTGGAACGTAACAAACTGACAATACTCTAACTATTCAGTTTGATGATCAGTACTGATGATTTGGATCACACTTGCAGTGGGTTTCAATTTTTATGCTGTAATTGCATGCCATGAGTATGAAAACTTGAGTGTTTTGGTCAATATTATGCAACGAGGAAGTAAGAATGCCAATGGTTGAATTTGATGTCAAAGAACAAAATAGATATTGCGGTCCTTTTTTGAGAACGAAAGTGTTGGGAAATAAAATCAATTATCCACGCAGCAAATACACCAATCATTCACATAGCAGCAAATACACCAATCATTCACATAAAAACAAATAACATGGAACACACTGGAGATATACGTGGTTTACTCAAAGTCAGGGTTACGTTCGCGGAAAATAAAATTTCACTAGATTAATCGTACAAAATAATAGAGGATTACACAAAAATTTCATTCACTACCCTTTTGTTCCCCAATCACTCACAAGGATTATTTAATCTCCCCCTCCACCCACGAGGAAGAGAAATCACCAAGCACACCCGCATAATCCAAACTTCTTCCAAGTCCTTGGTTCCCCCTTCATAAAAGTTCATAAGTCTCAATGCACAAGACTCATACTTGCAAATCCACAAGCAGTCCATTCGGCCTTCTGTATACTAGCTACACATAACCCGAACCAAGTCCAAACACCTTGATTCCATGGCCAATGCTGTAACGTTTCCGATTTTTATCATTTTTCATTTTTTTCTGGAGATTTTGTCGCCACAAGGGTAATTCTGTCTTTTCACGTTTTGTGTACGGGATTGTGGTTGGGTCCAATTGCATTTGTGCAACTTAATTTATATAGATCAAATGGTATTTGTATGTGGTGCAATTATATGTTATATGGTGTAAATTAGAGGCTAAAAGAAAAAGGGAAAAGAAAATAAAATTGGAGGGGCCCACCACTCACATTTTTATGGTCCAGGGACCAGTCCTCTCTCCCTCATTCTTTCTCTCTTCCCGTAACTTCTATCTCTCCCTCTTCTCTCATTCATTTTTCTTTTCTTTTGGAACCAATCTTTGAAACAAGGTTTCTCTCTCAATTCTTGCCAGATTTAGGTGCCGTTTGAGGCAAAACGAAGCCCACAACGAGCTATACGCGCTAGTATGAACAATTTTAGATTCGGTGCTTCCTAGGGAGTTCAAAATTAGAGACCCATTTTAAGGGTTTTCGCATTTTAAGAGGTAGGGGTTCCTAATCCATGTGTTCTTGCTTCCTTGTGAGTTATTCCTTGTTAATTGTGGTTAAATGTGTTTAAATTGATGATTAACATGTTTAATTAAGTTGATTGCTTCTAAAATGATGTGATTTTGTATGTGAGATTCATATTTATGTGTATATGTGGATTTGTGAAATAAACATGCTTAGATGTTGATTTTACAGGTTTGTGTGTTTGTAACTTGGTAGAATTTGTTATGTGGAAAGCATGCCTTATTTAAGTTAATTACCTTGAAAGTGATACAATTGTTGAATTAGAAAATTATGCCTATATATGTGTAATTGTTAATTTATGTGGAGATCATGCTTGATATGTGAATTTTCCATGACTATGATGATTAATAAATTGTCAGGAAATTTGTGTGGATCTATGTTAATTGTGTAATGATAGTTCCCTCCATTTTCATAGTATAAAATGGGTGTGCATTATGCATCCATGGCATTGGGCATGAAGGAAAAAGGGAAAATGTTTTGAAAACAAAAAGGGGAATTTTGGGAAATAAGTTTTTGATAAAAAAGAATTTTGAGAAAACCCGGTCGCTGCGGAATCACCAACGGGCCGGTAGGTTAACGTAGCCTATAGGAAACTAGGGAGATTGCCCTAGCGTGGTTGAGTTATCTGGGCCCCTCGATGACGCTGCGGAGTCACCAAAGGTCTAGGGACAGTAGCTAATCCTTCTTTCAGCGCTGCGGGGGTACCCAAGGGGTTTACATTAACAGTTTAGAAAGTGACAGATGAATGATTTTGAAAATGGGGAGCAACATTTGACACTCATTGCATTCCATTGTATTGTATTGTCGATGTTGAGTTTGGATGTGATGTTGTACTTTCCCGACATAGTATGACCCCGATTCCTATTGCTCTATTCTTTATATGGATTTACGGGGACACAAGAGGAGTGTCTTAGGTGCCACCTACTGAACAACATGCTCACCCCATTTATTTAACTTTTTTTTCAGGAAATGGGAAAGAAGTGGCAAATGAAAATCCGCCGCAAGCTTGAAGATGATTAAGAGTTGTATTTTGTTATCTTTTGTATCTTAGCCCATTTTTTTTTTGTATAGTCTCAAAACTAAAATGTCTTGTATTCATTTTTGCAAGCCAAGGTCATGTATTGTAAATCATAACTCTTGTTGATATTTTGAAGAGAAGCAAGACTATGTAAATGCTTAAGTTGAATGGGATGACAATGATGGGCTAACTTGGGGAGGTTGTTGATGTTGTGGTATTGGGGAATGTATTATATTTCTTTTGTATTATGTGTTGGGACAGGTTGGATAGGTCTTGAAAGGCCATCGCATTTTTTTTCTTCATTTGAACAGATTGTGGTAGGACCCTTTTTAAGGGAGGTCATGCCGAATTTTTTTTTAGAATTTGGTATCAGTTTAGGGGCGTTACAAATGCATACGTACAGATGAACTAAGTTAACATGATCAAGTGACTCTGAAAGGAGACATCAAAGAGATCGACCCCTTCACAAGTAGAAATTTTTAACTTATCATCATTTGTCTGGAAGCACGTCATATGTTCAAGTTTTTTATCAGCAATCGAAATTTGAGTACCAAGGTACCCCTCACCAAATGATAGAAATCACCGCTGATCGAAATCCGAGTACCATTGGTACCCCTCGCCAAATGATACAAATCCCCCCCTTTTTCTCCTCACGTCAACACCATGCAATCCTTTGTAATCTTCATGACTCCCTTACAATGGAACACTTGTAGTCTATGAAATCCATCCAGCTCAAGGATATTAAATTACACCACAACTTCAGTACGTAAGCTACGTCTCCAAAGTGTGTTCCACTCCATGAAACATTAATTTTTACCATTCCCATATCATTCACTGTACACGTATCACCATTTGGAATAGTCAAAGTACAATTAAGTTCTTGAAATGAATCAATATAATGTTTCACGGAGCAAATATGGTTCGTAGAACCCGAATTACCCGAATCTAATATTCAGTCATATCGAGGAAGAGTGTTACCTTGGGAGATTATAAGTGCATCTCTAAAGCCCGAAGCACATATGATAGATGCATCATTCTTGCCGTCATCTTCCTTTCCCTTTTAACGGGGATAGTCCTTTCTGATGTGGCCTCGGCATCTATGGCACTACTTGCCACTGATCTAGACCTGTTATTGTTAGATCCATGGTTGTTCCTCTTATCATCAGACAAGAGAGTAGATTCCTCATCTTCAATGTTTCCTTTGCACATGATTGTCACAAGCGCCCAAGACATCAATACCAAAGTTATGATAAAAAAATCTAGATCAAGAATTTTTTATCAAACAACATGTGTGAACCTATGTCTCTGATACCAATTGTTGGGAAATTACTTGTCAATTACCCACGCAACAAATACACTAAACATTCATATAAAATAAATCACAGAAAACACACAAGAGATATACGTGGTTCACCCAAAGTCAGGGTTACGTCCACGGAAAACAAGATTCCACTAGAGTGTAAAATCGTACAAAATATTAGAAGATTACACAGAGATTTCACTCACCACCCTCAATCCTTTTGTACCCCAATCACTCACAGGGAATATCTAATCTCTCCACACAACGAATGCCCTTTTATATACAATTAAAGTAATCCTCTTGTTTAAGGTTTTAAACATTAAAACAACGAAAGTTATGGACTGCCTTAGATTATAACCCATCTTGGGTGGACCCAACACAAAAAAAGGAGACATGGGAATAGATCCTCTCCAATACTTTTTCTATCTCTAAGCCTTTACTCAAGGGATATAAAAACGTCACACTATTATCTTGCTTGGATTAAATTGATTGTGGTATAGTTAGATAGATGATGACGTGACTTTTTTTTTTTTCGTTGGGTAAAGTTTTAGAGATGCTTGGAGAGGAAAATTATTGGAGCCAATGCCTTTGCCAAAATTGTAAGTTGATAAAAAATTGGAGTCACTCAAATATAAACACGACTCTCATGCGATGTTTTGTGTTTTTTTTTTTTTGAATTGAATGACTTACCTCTCATGCGATGTTTTGTGTTTTTTTTTTTTTGAATTGAATGACTTACCAATAACGTGATATGCGCAGCTTAACCCCAATATGTTCGTGCAATATTTAGACAAAGTCCACGTGAACTTTAATCTTCTGTACCCTACCAAACCAAAAACTTCCCGTCTTGACCCTGTTTTGATTCGCCAGTTGAAAATTCTTTCGATTGGTTAAAACATGGGCCTTACCTTACGAATTTGGGCTTTGCCGTGTAATGAGTCTAATGACTATCTGTCCTTTGCATGTAATGGGTTTCCTATTGGGCCTACAATTTGGGCCTATGTACAGTATCTTATTTATCATAAACTTTTGACTGTCCATAAACTCTAATTAAATTAAATAAAACCTAAATTAAATAGTAACAAATCAAATATTTACAGTGTATTATATGTATATATATAAAAACCTAAAACCTATAAACCCTCGTTGCTTTCGTTGGTAACGATTGAGCTGCGCAGAAGCGGGTAGAGAGAGAAAGACATGATGGCTCAACAACAGTGCCAGATCGACCTCGGCAATCTCATGGCCTTCGACCCCCATCACAACTTCCCATCTATTCCCTCTTCCAGGTTAGGGATTTCTTTTGTTTTTTTGCTTCTTCATTTCAATCTGTTTAGTTTCTGACAAAATCGTAGAGAAGAAGGAAAAATAATATAAAAGTCTTAACTCAACGCTTTGGGTCGTCTTCAGTTTATTACTTAAGTGACCCAAATTGTTAAATTAAGCGACTTGAAGAATATATTATATATAAATTGTTCTTTTTGGTTCGATCTTAAACAATGAGAATGTCTATTTTTTTTATAAGAGACTAAACAGGGATTAATTTCCGCGTTTCTAGATATCTTGAGTTTTGATGCCAAGGTTTATTTATTTTTAATGTGTGTCTCTGTGCATGTGGAACATTTGAAGGTGAAATTGAATTGCTCTCCACTCCACTGTAATCAATTATCAATCATCTGTAATTATGAACACTAAAATATATTTTGAAACTAACCTCTATGTTGAAACATCCAAAACTGCCTCATTATTTATTTATCGGAAGAATCATAATAGAAACCAACAAGTAGTTTCACATTATAGGTGCATTGGTTAAGGTCTGATTGCATTTATTCACAATTGCTTTTCATTTTCTGGAAGTAAAGAAATTAAGTACGGAAAATACGTTTCAAGGTTTGTCTACAAATAAATGTAATCTAGAAGTGTTCAGAGAAACAATCATTTTATATGAACATTAAATTTTATTTTTATTTTTTTGTTTTGTTTTTCCTTCAAAATACAAAAAAGGGGAATAATAGAAATGGGGTTGGTTCTAGGAAGATAATGCACTGGGATTTTGTTTCTTTTCTTGTGAACTATTTGATTAATGGGAAAACATGGTATGTCACATGTATGGGTTCAAGATTAGCTTATTGTGTATATTGTTTTCCTTGAATAATTAGGGAGGAGCTAGTGAGAGAATGCCTACAAGAGGGCACTAAGTTAGTTCAAGCAATTGCAGACGCTGTTTTCAACCTACCTTCAACTGAAGATCCAGGTGGCCCCATTGTCAAGTTGCCTCCATCAACAACAAGATTGCCCAGAGAGAAGCCTGTAATTCTTTACCTTCATTTATATTAGTGTTTTCTTTGTGTTCACATTGCTTCATAACTTTGTTCTTGCTATATTTTTTACACAATTGATTTTGCTAACATTTTTTTAGTACAATATGGAAGGAGGATGACTTTATGACTTTTGCTTTTCGAACTTAGAACCATTTTCTTCATATTTGAAGTTTCGTTGCCGTGTTCTTTTTTGGTATTCCTATTCTGGATGGCAATTGTATATGTTCCAAACACCATAAGATTCATTTCTTACCAGGTCAATTTGTCAGGATTTCCCTGCTATTTGTTTTAGCATTCTTGCACCGTCATAGTTTGTTGTACTATCATGCCACAAGGTAAAATTCAGGAGGGTTATCTTTTGATGTCTGTCATAATAGACATACAAACTGATATGTGGTGTAGTACATATATAGTGGTTCAATGTCTAATGTAAGATAGGCCTCTTTGAGGATAAGTTTATATCTAATATCAGTTGATGAAGGTAAGTATAGTGGAGTAAATTACAGAATCTGCCCATATTTCAACCATAGTCAAATGATGGCTATTATTTGATTTATAGTTCTGTAATGCTTCCCTTGTATAGGCATAGCACATCTTGATGGAAGCACAAAAAGATGTTTCCTTTTGATGAATAGATTCAATAAAGGACAAAAGGATGAACCTTTCTAGGTGAAGTATCTAACAGTTACAAACTGCTTCATTTCTATGGCTAATCAAAAGAGCTATTTGATTGATCTATTACCGTGAAGTTTGATTCTTTGGGGAGAGAAGTGTTAGATGTTAGAATTTGATGCACAACAATCAAAAATATATATAATAGTTAGTGGAGATGTCAAGTCTTTTGTGTGTGTGTGTGTGTGTGTGTGTATTTACATGGGAGATTTCCTCTAAACCAATCAACCACACTTATATTTACCTTATTCCATAAATGAGCTTTCATAATTTATACCTGACTTTAGGTCAATCAACCTCTGTAATGTTTTTACAAAAATTTTGCAGGGACATCGACTAATCGTGTAGTAATAGCCTTTCTGTTTTATTTTTTTCTCCCCCACCCCACCCCAATAAGTAGTTATCATATCCCTTCTTATCAGAATGCCTTTCTTCATGTGGGGTAATAACAGTCGATGCAGTTTTAGTTCGTGAGATTATAGTCATTTGGGATGATGTTTGTTGTAAGGTAAAAGTCAAAAGAACGTCTACAGAGTTTCATCTGCAACTGCCATGCTATTAAATTTAGTAGGATTCCTGATAAGGTTCTTTGAAAGCTGTGCTACCTGATAAAAGGGCCTACCTTATAGGAAATTGTGCAATTCATACATCATATATAGGTATTTGTAAATACGAGTTTTTAGAGTTATTTCTTTTCCCTCCCGCTTGAGTTTTTAGGTTAAATTTATGTTCCATAAATGAGCTTTCATAATTTATACCCGACTTTAGGCCAATTAACTTCTGTAATGTTTTTACGAAATTTTTGCGGGCACATTGACTAATCGTGTAGGAGTAGCCTTTCCTCAGCTATCATCTTCCTTTTTCTTTTTATTTTTTTTTATTTTTTTTACGATAAGTAGTTATCATCTTACTTCTTATCAGAATGCCTTTCTTCATGTGGGGTAATAACAGTCAATGTAGTTTTAGTTCGTGAGATCCTAGTCATTTGGGATGACATTTCTCGTAAAGTAAAAGTCAAAAGAACATCTACAGAGTTTCATCTGCAACGGCTATGCTATAAAATAGAGTGGGATTCCTCATAAGGTTCTTCGAAAGATGTGCTACCTGATAAAAGGGCCTACCTTATATAAAATTGTGCAATTCTTACATCATATAAAGTTATTGGTAACTACGAGTTTTTAGAGCTCTCTCTTTTCCCTCGCGCTTGAGATTTGAGGTTAAATTTATGTTCCAATGGCCCTAATTTGTATTTGTTGAAGGTGTCCTTGATTATTGCTTCTGCTATCTGCAGATGATGGTTTTTTTATTCGTATAAATAATTTTTTCCATTTGCCGAACAACTTTTAAGGAGGCTTTGAGCATATAAGGTTTGGGGAAGAAGATTGAGTTTATATCCAAATAGTTCTCTTATCATAACTATTCCTGGGGAAGCTTCAGCCCAAGTTTTGTTTGGATTTAGGTTTTCTTTTTTTTTTTTTTTACCCTCTTTGGCAAAGAACTCCCACAATGCTCTTGGGGAGACTCGAACCCTCTACCTTTCACTTTGAAAGGAGAAGAGATACCACCAGGCCACAGGCCTGGGTGGTTTGGTTTTGATTTAGTTAGTTAGCTTTAAGAGGAAACATGATGGTCCTCCCCACATATTTTAATTGAAGAAAAAAGATGTCTTCAATTCATCTTTTAGAACATAACTATACTGCGGCATGGGGTTGAAGAACAAACTGTTATATTCTACAATGACTCCGCAGAAAGTTTGTTCTCCCAGTATTCCCCTATATACATCTTGCTTCCAAGTTCAAACAAATATCTTGCATCATAATGTATAGAGCCCAATTAAATTATGGTTACAGATATTCTAATGCAAGGACATCACAGTTGTTAAGCTGCGTGCATCTATGGTTTTGATCTTTCCTCAAGGTATTCGAAAACAGATATTCTAAAATGTAATGAATGATGGGCCTACAGAAGTTAATTGTGTCATGGAATTGTTAAAAACTTATAAGGTGAAGTTTACAGTTGGTGAGAAATAAATTTTCTATTATCAAGGAAGCTGCCATAAATTTGTGAATTGATTAGCGTGATGGTGTTGAAAAGTTAGGTAATTGCAAAGTGATGCTCTGTATATCTAAACATAGGTTGTAAGTTGTCCATCCCTGAAGTTATTTGATATGTCAAAAGATATCTTACAAGTACAAGATTTATAGGTCATGTATTTGAAGGATGCATTGGAATTATAACTATAATCATTTTTCCCACGTTGCGTAGTATGTAAAGGTTCTTATTCACCCTCTAGAAATAAATTCTTTGAAATGGAATGGGTACTGTAAATGATGGCGAAGAGGTTGAATGACTCCATTTCATGGAGTCTTTATGTGATCCACTCCTATGTTTGCAATGAATTAAGGCTTTTTTGTAATGTTATGAAAATATGGTAGACCGTTGCAGATGGTATACAAAAGACACATTTCAATTACTTGGGGACCTTCAAGCATGTCTCGAAATGATGTTTGAAGCAAAGTTGGTAAAGTAAGATGTGGATAAAGAGATGGTGTTCTTAGTGGAAAAGCCCGTCATTGGAGCCGTTCTCTCTTTGTTTCATGAGTCGGCCTCAGCTTCCACCTTGGAATTCCTTCTTCATTATGTGTAATATATTCGCTTCTTGTTGACCCACAAGAATCCATGTCTAGTCCTTGATTCTGACTCATGTTTAGTACATTACTGTTTTTCATTATCAGTGCATGATAGTGAGGTACCAAGCTCTTGGTATTTAATGACACAATAAAAGAAAAGGATGAAGAAGAAATTCCTAATAGTTTACTGGGCAACCCTATGATTTTTACAGCTGTCTAATAACTAGATCTAATTATACTACTCTGTTTTGGTCAAATTTGTTTGTTGCTTAATATATATATATATTTTCATGTTTAGCATTAATAATTGATTCTCAACTCAACCTAATAAAGCATTTTGTCAACAACTTGGGTTCAGCTAGCAGTAATAATTGATTGCGTATCTCAGATTCATTTTGTTCATTTCAGCTGCCAAAGCGTAAACCTCCAACAAAATGGGAAGTGTTCGCCAAAAAGAAAGGTTAGTTTATAATAATTTTGGATGCCTATATGGACCATCAAATATTTGACTATGAAAGAGGTTTTCTTGTCAAAATCTAGATAGGCCTAATCAAAGGCATTGAGACCATTATTCTTAGCTGGCTATATTCCTTCGATCATTTCCAGGTATACTAAACCGCAAAAAAGACAAGCTTGTGTTTGATGAACAAACTGATGCTTGGAAGCGCCGCCATGGCTATGATCGTGTAAATGATGACAAAGATATACCCATCATCGAGGCGAAGATGACTGATGGTAAATAATTGATTGTGTCATTCTTGCTATTTTCACTAATTATTTGTTGCCATAATTTCCTTTACATCGAATATGTTAAAAAGTCAATATATCAAAGTTATACACTATTGTATGAATTTTGATGATAAACTTCTATCCATATACGAGACCAAGTGTATCTTCCAGGATCAACAAACTGACGTTTTATACCAATTTGTTAAAAAAAATTCTTGGTTGTTACTTTTTCCAGTGCCAGGAGAGGATCCTTTTGCTAAGAGACGATCCGAGAAGAAGCAGCGAGTTGAAAAACAAGAGAAGAATCGATTGCAGAATTTGAAACAAGCTGAGAAAGTTGGTGCCTTGCCAAGGTTTTACCCTTTACATTTATCTGGGATGCTTAGAACAGAAAAAAAATTGTCATTGTTTTCCTTATATATGTCATAACCATCAAAGTTGGCTGTTCATTGATAGTGATCACTTTTCATTACGTAAAATTCCGTCATAGTTCCTCTATTCAGACCCTCGTTGGTACTGCAGTGCAGTTATTGTTTATGGTTACATTGAAAACTTTGCAATTCCAGAGTATAACTTTAGTGGTGCCTTTTTTCTTTGCTGAATTCCCAGATAGCCCCTTAGGCATTGATTACTTGAGGATTTTATTTGGGAAATTATCATATTTGTACTAGTGAAGGCACACAATTGATATAGACCACCAGATCAAGCTTTGTTGATACGTATCTTCAAAATACGTAAAGTCTCTAAACATTTGTGACTTTTATGTAAATTATGATTTGATCATCTAAAGTTTATAGTTATAGATTATTACAATTGGTATTGGGATATAATACTAGCACTCCACTTTTGTACTCTTGTGGTCCACTTGATTTTTAGAATGAAAGAAATTACCCAATTACCTCTCAAATTTGAAGTTTATGGGTACATTTTGGGATAATTGTGGAATGTGAGAGTGCTTTTAAAGGACAATTGTGGAATGTGTATTATGAGCTTGCAATAAAAGTGGACTATGGAATTCTTCCAAAGCTAATCTGGTAATTTTTGTCAACTCTGCTGTCTGAAAAATAAAAAGAAAGAAAAAGAGGGAGAGTGAGAACGATAAAGATCCAACACTACCAAGTAATTTAACCATTAATAGATGAACCAATTTCTTCCTTTGCTTAATAGTTTTTCCTTTTTTAGTCCCTTTTAACACAGTGCTGATGGATAAGATTTTTTATGTGATCTAGTCATGCTTTGAAGAATGAGAGAGAGGTTATGAATAAGGGTCCTTTGGTTGAACGAATGATCCAGGATAGTGAAGGCGCTCCTCAGTTGGATAGACTCAGTGTTCGTTAGTCTTGTTTCAGTGTTCTAGCTTAAAGGATCCTGTTCTTGGAGTAGATATTGCGTGCGCCAGGCATACCACGTAATTGGTAGGCCCACCCAATGAAAATACAGCATCCAATGAAATTGGTCCCGCCAACTTATAAAAATGTTGACAAGATGCTAATATGCTGAATTTTCATTGGGTGGGCATTACCTATGACGTGGTATTGCCCGGCGTACCCAATATCCACTCTTGTTCTTGGACTTTCTGTTGTATTTATTGAGATATTAGCAGATTTCATCTCCTTAATACATGTGTGGGTGGTTGGTGGAATGTGTATTACGAGCTTGCAATAAAGGCATCTTTTATCTACCTGCATTGTAACTTTAAGTTTTGTCTGCAGCCACGTTCAACTTGCTGCCAGAGCCTTACCCATAACAGGAACTCAAGCAGCACCTAGGAAAGTAAGTAAAGAAGAACTACAAAATGTAGCTGGAATGGCAGCAACTGCAACAGCTAGTGGTGGGAAATTTGACAAGAAGTTACCAGGAGAAAAGCCACCAAAACATGAAAAGAAGTTTCGCAAGGTTTGAACACTGATCCTCAAGTCTCTGACCATGCTTATACTTCATTGCAATTACTTATGGAATACGTTTTCTTCCTTTGTTGCATTCAGTTTCTTCCAGTCGCGGAAGGGTCGGGAATGGGCTCACTAGAGAAGCAGCAAACTGATAAAATTCTGAACAAGTTAATCTCCAAGAATTCCCATGAGATACTCAATGTTGAGAAGGTATTCCTGAAACATTTAAGTATACATATTTTGGTAGTTGAAAATATAAGCTTTTAGCTTCTAGAGACAACTGAAACCTTTGCTTATCGAGTAAATTTTCTATCCTTCGTGGAATAGGCTGTTAACATGTATAATGTGAAGAAGGAGAAGAGAAGAAAGAATCAACCAGGGAAGTCTTCAACCTCAAGCAAGTTGAAAACACAGAAGAAGCCTTATAACAAAACATCGAAGAAAGGATCTTCAAATAAAGGGAAGTCAAAATAAAATCCTGTCTTTCTAACTATGTTGTATCCTAAAGTTTTGTATTAGGTACCAAGTTTATCAATTAATTAGGATGATGATATTTCTACATATTTTTGTGGGCATAAAGCTTATTGTGAGCTTTAATTTTATGAGCCACTCTTTCTTGATGTAGCGTGAAACAATGTGAGATCCATTTGGAACAAAATTCTGATTTATTTGCATTGAGGTGTTTACAGATATCTTTTAAATGAGTTCCTGAAAATTGATTCACCTCCAACCTAATTGTAGTCGGGTATGCTGCCAGTCTGCCACTAATTATTTTGTCCAAACTATTTATTTGGATAAGCAGCGGCTGCAATTTCAAGTAGTACATGCGAGAAATGAACAAGTCTTATAAGCCGAAGTATTATATCAATTTTCAAGGCTTTTAATGATATATTGCCCTTTTTTCAATTCTGGTTTATTTATTTTTAAAAAAATTGTGGGAACTATGATTTATTTTACTTCTTTATTTGTGCACCCATTTTTCTCAATCGAGATTCAAGTCATCAACCTGTGAAAACGTGAAAAACTCTGCCCATCGAAAACGTCTGTGATTCTTTCTCATCAATAAATTGCTATTTTTTCCTACAAGCTGCTGCGAAAGAACAATTTTACTGTTGAATGGATTGGGATCATTATTCGATGTTGATAACGCATTGGGACCATTGTCAATATCGAGAAGCAACCCCAAGAGGAACAAGAGAGTTATTGGCTTAAGGGTACAAGAAATTTTTTTAGCTCAAGAGTACGAGAACGAGTACGAGAACAATGCGAGGTTGAGTGCAAGATTTTAGCTTAAGAGTACAAGAACAATGCGAGGTTGAGTGGAATATTGGGAGAATTCTTTAACGTATACCCCACCAACCACAAGAACAATAGCATAAAGGAAAGGAGTTAGGAACAACTTGAATAGCCAACCCTAACCGAAAGGAACTGGAAAATGAGAAAGGAACTGGAAAATGAGAAAGTAACCTTCGATCCAAGTCCACCAAGTTTTTCATGAAAGTCTCTTGATGTCAATCTACCGAGCACAATGAAGGTTAAAACATGGGATTTTCAACTCTTGATGCATGGCTTTAACAAGAAGCCAAAACTAATACAAGAAATTAAAAATCAAATAACAAAATTGAATATTGAATAACTAACAAGTATCTTCACAGCTACAAAACTCATTCTGGTCCACAGCACCGTAAATGTCTACAATTAAAGAAATTAACTGATTTTAGTGTTCCACTAGTACTAGGAGGTAAGACCAACAAACTACTACTAGTAGTTATAAAAGCCCTCTTTTAACTCTGCTCTTCACCATCTCCAAGGCCCCTCTCCCTCTCCCTCTCCCTCTCCTCAGCAGCAGCTGCCATCAGCTCATCAAAGTTTTCAGTCTTTCCAAGCAATATCTCAATCTGAAAAACGAGACAAACGGGTTATAACCAACTTCTCAAGGTGGTGAGATTGGAAGTAGAACTTACTACAAGAATGACTGAATAGCATTTTTCTATACATGAAGCATGCAAGAAGATAACCGACCTTGTGGGTAACTAAACAAAAAGAAATTGAAAAGGCGGAAAATGAAATTATATAAGAAAAACCAAATAAATGAACCAATTTATCTTATTACTTTCTGAAGTGGTAAAAGCTTGGGCAGCCAAGCTGACAAGTGATAATACGAGTGTGAGTCTAAGAGCTAGTGCCAAAAGACACCATTTGAAAGGTTGCACAGTCTTACTTTCCATGAGTTTGCATATGAACCATAGCATAGCTAACAAATAATAGAAACATCCTAAACTCACCTTGGCTTTTTGGATGGGCCGTCCTCTCGAATCATCCTTCACATCGACAGTAGAAGTCATGATCTCTGCATATCGTAACCATTAAAACTCAATGAACCAAGAATCAACAATTTGCTTACAATATGAAAAATTAATAAAATTATTTTCATATATAAAACATATAAGATCAAGAATCTTACTCCTCTCAACAGCAAATCCATTATTTTTCAAAATTTCTGCAATGGTGACAACCGTGGCAATAGCTGCAGATATAATAAAATGAACACATCAAACACTAGGAAAAGCATAAAGAAGCATTAAGACTACTTTTTTTTTTTTGGGTTCCGTTGTTCATGATACAAAGAACTAGCTAACAAAGGAAATATGATTACACAACCAAAAACAGAAGTAATATTCGATTTGTTGTTTTAAAAGTTAAATGCAAATTAACCCAGTTGCAAAAAATTATATGATTTTACATCAGAAACACAGCTGCACATGTTGTATTTATCAATGAAAGAGGAAAACAAAAAATTAGAGGACATTTAAGGGATCCACAGGGGTAGTGAAAGTACTTAAACAAGTAAGCCTTACAATCACAGCAGCAAAAAGTCATGTAGCCAAATCAAAATTACTAGAATCGGCACTTAGAAGCTAAATATTTAAGATTGAGAAACATACTTTTTTTTAGTTAACATCAATCTAAATTAAATTTGATAAACATGATCAACCCTTCATTGTTTAAATGCTGAAAACCATTCTATGGAAAGCTTGCTTTGAGCATAGTACCGAAGACCAATAAGTTTTGACTGTATCCCAAGAACTTCAACAACTATGCAGAGTCAATGCAAGATGCTCAAATTGGACAAGCATGTAATATTAGAATATTCTCTAATTCATTGCTGTAAAAAACCTAAAATACTTTGGACGACAATTTTTTTTAACAAGGACAGAATATAAGAGAGAAATGTGGAGAAGATGATTGTTAAAAGTTTCAATAGAAGGAATGAAACACAACTGCCCATCTTCCCCAGATCAATGTCGCGGGGAACTCTTTCGGACAGAGTGCACCTATCGTAGCACAATGCCGATACACACAATCCCTGCTTTGTTGAACAGTAGCTTTAACACATTAGACACACAATCACACATACTCAACACACACACACAGATGTTCATATAAAGGCCGTAACACTTTGAACTATAGGTAAGGCAAGGATGACATTCAAAGTTTTTCTTTTCCTATGAAAAAAAAAGGATGATGTTCCAAATAATAAAGAGAATGTTTTCCTTTTTCTTTTCAAACACCTAATGTTTGTAAGAGAGAACATAATCTTGCATACAAGGAATTGCAGATTAGAACTTCAAAAGTATATTCACAGAAGAGAATCAAGTCAACCTTCAAAACGTAACCAAAACAGTTAAATAAATGTGAAATCAATTCTGTAGTACCTTCAATCAATTTTATGAAAGAGGTAGCAGGTAAATTGAAAACGAGTGTCAAAGTGCACAAGCACATAAGATCAGGAAAAAATAAATAAATTACATAAAAAAATTTGCTGAATTAACATAGACCAAGGTAGGTATAAAGCCATTACAGAACACATGTAGCATCTAAATTCTCTGAATGAAGCCTCCATTTATGCAAAAAAAAAATCTAAGATTCTTCCATTGTCTTGTTTTCTTCTCATGACATTAATGTAAGAAGAATTAAGGATGGGCAATACTTTCTCGATCGACCCCCATCCGTTATGAAACCATCTACACCAAAGCACATTTCACCGAAGAGGAAAGAAGAATCTAAAACCAGTTTTTTCAGTACTAGGAAATGAAAGAATCAACACTTGATTTGGTGGGTGGGTGGGTGTGTGCGTGTGTTTTGGGGGGGGGGGGGGGGGGGGGGGGGGGGGGGGGGGGGGGGTGTTGGGGTGTGTGGGGTGGTTGGGTGAAGTTGGTGGAGGAATCTTCGAAATTTTAGCATATCAATTCATAGCTCCCACAAGACCCTTAAAAGCAGTGAAATTGAAGGGAAGATATGAATAACAGGGTGTAATGGCTTGAACAACTAACATATGTTCCAAAATCAATTAGTTAACTTATTTGCACAAACAATATTGCCCTTTTTCCATAATCTCTCGCCAAGGCATACCCGGAAACATAAATGAGTGATATAGTCAAACAATGGTTTACACTTTACACAGATATACAAAAAGTTACAAACCGGATATAGCAGTACCCCATGCTAGAGCCATGGAGCCAGACAATCAATTTTAAGCAAGCATCGTAACGCACTCTTAAGAACCGCACTGCATTACAGCACACTTGACAATAAAGAATTATCTACTCATCTCCCATGAAAAAACTTGATGGTATTACAATTGAAGAATGAAGGGCAAAGAAGACCATCAAACTATAACCGAAAAAAAGAAAAGAAAATAAAGGCAAAGACATTATGGATAAAATCATCAAAACCCACCAAAAAATAACATAACTAAATTAGATACATGTGTAATATATATCCATTGCAGGTATGAGAGACCATACCCATGCCTAGTGCAGAAAGCTCCACCTCGTTGTGCTGCTGCATATACCTCTGGATTTAAAATTTCCACAACAACAGAGCACAAGGATTTATCAGGAAAAAAAGGCCAGATCTTGATAGTGAACAGAAAAAATAAATAAATAAACAAAGTTACATATATTCTCCACTAACTTCACTTAATTGGATCCATATTCAATACCAGAATTCAGAGACAGAGAAGTTAAAGCCAAATAATGTCTGTGCATGTGTACATCTACATCCGTATATATACTACAGAGTGTATATTGAGAGATCAGGAAAAACCTTGGCAAGATTGACATAGAAAAACAAGGGCTTCTTGGTGTTGGAGACCTGGATACGATTCTTTGTGTGCTGATCGGTGATGTTTATGTTGTTTATTCCCTCTGTAATCACTTCCATTGCTGAGTGTAAAAGATTCGAGCTCAAACAAACCAAACCCTAACCCTAACCCTAAACCTAAACCTATGTCTCTATTATATACTACTATATATATATAACAAATGCAGAGAGAAACGCCGAGGCCCAGAATAGACTGTTAATGTATTATCAGATTATTTATGAGAAGGGAAGAGACAAAAAAGCTTCATCTCTGTTAATAGTAGATGGGACGCTCGAGTTTTTTGCTAGCTTGTTAGATGGCATACACTAGTTTTTCCTTTTTTACCCCTCAATTAGGGTTTTGTTATCCAACTTTTGGTAGGGAGTGATATCGAGGAGGAGTACCACATCAACGTCTCATAACACACGACCCTTTGTCCAAAACCTTCGCACGAACCACAAACTATGTTAAGTTTCAACTTTCTTTCTATTTTGAATGACAAAATTTGTTTTAATTGTTAACAATTTTGTCACAATGCGATATCTTTATAAGAATATAACAAGGACAAATAGCAAATTGAGGTACCCACTCTATGTCAAGTTTCAACTTTCTTTCTATTTGAGCAGAAACCAAAAGATAAATAAATCCTTTCACTAGAGGGAAAAAAGAGAGGATATAATTTACCTTTGTGTATTATAAATTACACTTACGTGCCTTGAACCGAAAACCATAAATTGGAGCAGTAACTTCAAAAGAATTTTGGTAATGTTTTGCTACTCCAAAAATTATAGTTTCGGCAAACATTTGTTAGCTTTTCAATGTCTCCGACTAAGTCAAATTTCGATTTCGGACAAGGAGTTATGGTCATTACTGTACGTTGTTCTAGAAAAAGACTCACGATAATCATATTTCAAGCTTCTTTTAATGGGATTTGAGAACAGAAGAGACTACCAAATCTTTCACTCGTATAACATTTATAGTTCTCGCAAGTATACGAAGTTTGTCGTTAAGAACAATTGTAGAGAGAGACAGACATTCATGCAAGTGTCTATAAAAAAAATTATATATATATACACACACTGATGGGGGAGATATTTTCTTTATGAAGTTTTCCATTTTGTATGCAGGAACCAATGATGCTTCTGTCTTGTGATCTCTCTAACGCTCCCTTGTAGTCTCTTTGATTGTTTCAGGGGTAAAAAATAAAAATAAATAAATAAATAACCAATGTTCCTTAAACTACTTACAACATTGATAATACCAGCGTGGCACTATCTTGTCTCATGTTTATTCAAACTTGTGTAAAATAAGGAGTGTAGAATCTATTATAATATATTATATACAAAATTAATATTATATAGTAACATATAATATACAAGATGCAATATATTAATATTTTATAATAAAAGAATATGTTTTGTATAAATAGTGTATAATCAAGAGGCTAAGTGCTTGTTATTGAAAATAATCACATAACAAGAAATAGTTGGGTGGTGTTTGATAAAATTGAAAATTAAATATTAAGAATTTTTAATAATTGAATTTAAGTCGAGGTGGAGATTATTAAGTTTGTAGTTTGATTTCATGTGCAGAAGATGAACATGTTCAAGTTATTATACATAGACCTGTTTACTTGGGGTGTGTTGCAAAAATGGGTGACCCCAAATGGACTGGTTAGTTTTTTGGAACCTATTCATCTTTGGTAGTGAGTTACAGAACGGTGATTTCATCAAGTTGCTATTGTTATGGTAACTCCAAGTAGTAGGCAAGTTATGAAATTCTTATCCAACAAGAAATTAAGTTAAAGACTATAAGTACAGATGGGTTAAGACTCGAGAGAGGGGAAGATGTAAGGGATTTAAGAGTGAGAATTGTAAAAAGATGAGAGAATATATGTGATTATCGAGCGTAAAGATGTACCTTAATGGTGTGATGAGTGAGTGGAGCTTTGACATCTGGTTGTATATTCTTTTTCCTCCATAATTATAGCCCAAGAGTGGGTGAAATATAAAAAATATTGTGGTGTGCATGGATGTGTATGATTGTTATAACCATTTATGCTTGTGTGTGATGTGATGCGATGATACGTGCTTTCATTGTGGATGATAAATGAATTATTCAACTTTCAACAAAAGTGGACCATGGAGTAAGTTGGAGTGAGTTAATATTCTTAACATTCGTGCCTCGAACCGAAATCCTCAAATTAGAGCAGCAACTTCAAATGAATTCTGGTACTGTTATGCAACTCCAAAAATTCCAATTTTTAGATACATCTTAATCCTTAGTTTTCCAACACCTCCGATCATGTCAAATTTCAAATTTGGATGAAAAAATTATGCCGTTTTAGTGATTGCATATCGTTGTGAAAAAAGTCCTACGGGAATCACCTTTCAAACTTTTCAAACTTTTTTCAACGAAGTTTGAGAACACAAGAAACCACCAAATCTCCACTCCTATAATTTCTAAGGTACCCACGAAAGAACGGGCACCAAACAACAGAGAAAAAACACGCTGATGGGAGAAAATTTTCTTTACACATATCTCATTGCAGTAACCAATGATGCTGGTGTCTCCCAACCCACCTTCACAGTCTCTTTGGTTGTTTTAGGGAACAAAAAATAAAAAAAACCAATGGTCCCTCAATGTTAAGCCTAGTTGCTACTTACAAAAAAAATAAAAATAAAATAAATTGTCCCATGTTTATTTAAACTTGAATAAGATCAAGGGCTGTAGGATCTATTATAATATATTATATACAAAATTAATATTAAATAACATATAATATATATTATGTAATATATTAATAAAGAAAGAATATATTTTGTATAAATAGTGTATAATTATATAAAATATTTTATATATATAACAAGAGGGATAAGATGTCTATTGTTAAATTCTGCATAATCAACGATTCCAACAGATTCATTCAAAGCAATCCATCTTTTTTAGTCATGCACTTGAGACCACCATGAACAACAATATGATGAGGTATCTTGTTCGTTTAGAATACATGAGGTATCTTGTTCAACGAATTTATATCTCTATAATTTATATTTAAAATTTAATTTTTTTTTTCTAATGCATTTGAAGAAATTGCTTGTCTAAGAGGATTAGTGGAGCGGTCAAAGAAAGTAACAAAATTCCACTTTATAATTAGGAAAAGCAATGTGCCTTCTTTTGATTGGTGCTTCATGACTTTGACTAATCCAAAAGCATGAGCATGAGGTGGCATAAAATTAACCCCAAACAAACTCTAACATATAATAAGTGTACACCTCATCACCAAAATGTCCGAACTTTCTAGTGCATCATCCAAACAACATTATTTTATTGTACACTTTCGTAACGCTCATTACGTATTCGATAATGTGAATATTACCATTTATTTATTGTTCACACCAGCAAAAGCTGCAAAATGTACGCTACCGACAATCCCGTGATCCCATCGCACTCCTTTGACAATTTCAAACGCTCTGCCACGTCTTCAACCCTATTCTAACCTTGCTTCTCTCTCTACACGTAAACAAAGTTTCCCATTTGTCAACAAAATGAATATCACTACACAATGATTGGGGAGGGGAAAAGGTTTGCTACATTGATTCGCAACACACATTATCACACAGTCACTGTGATTAAAATTACCAGCAGCATTTTCACATTGGACTTTTCAAGTTTGAGGCTGCATCAACAATTTTCATTTTCCCATTGTATATAAATGAGAAAAGTGAAAAAAAATAAGCCCACCAACCTAGATTCTCTACTCTTCCCATGTTGCTCCGTGAGCGAGTATTGTATGAATTTGGTGTTACCACTATTTAATAGTTTAAATTTTTAATTACATCATAAATACTTTATCATTTATCGTTATTAGTGTCAGAGTGAGACACAGTTCTTGATTCAAAAATATTTGGGCCAAGTAATCTCACTGCAACAAGAATGTCGTGACTCAAAAAAGATAAACTCATTATGAGTGAGAGTATATATTTATATAGAAATCACAATAATAATGTTCCGGTCAAATAAAATATTTAATTATGAAAGTCAAAACATAATCCATATTTGAAATTTCTATCCATCCAAATGAAAAGGACAATTTTTTTCCTTCTTTCTTTCTAGTGGACACAAAATCTTGTTATAAATGTGATTCAATATAATCAAATTTTAAGAATATATATATATGATCAAATTTTGTGACTACTAGGGATACACATTCGCCATTTTAGTAATGCTTCATAGACATATATGTCCGTCTCTCTATACAATACGAATAACTTAATCAATTTTCTACCATAAGAACTTCCCGGCATAATAGGCATACCCGGAAAAGTCGCAGCAATTGTTTGAATTTGTAGAGAGAGAAAGGAACGGAAAAAATGGGGGTTGTAAAGATCTGGAACGCCATGGAAGTTGCAGAGGGAGCTCGCGAGACTACCAGCTCAGAAATTCACTCATCGTCTCTCACCATCGACCACTCTCTCTCTCTTCCCCAAATGACACCTCGCATAATGTTCGTATCACCTCTCTCTCTCTCCCCCTCTGTGTGTGTGTGTATATATATATATAAATATGTTATTCGATTTGAATCTCTTAGCTTTATAACTATATATGTTTTTCGGTTTGAATATCTTAGCTTGGGTTCCGAATGAATTTATGTAGCTTAGAGCTTCTTTATTTTTCGTTCGATGTCTTTTTAGGCATTGTTTGGGGGCGGAGAAATTGAAAAACAGGAAACGGAAATGATTTTGAGGTCTTACATTCTATGTTGCTTAATTATAATGAAAACCAAATCATTTCTACTTAATTCAAGCAAAATATGGTATAAGGCTCAGTTGAAATCTTCTTCTTCTTTTTTTCCCCTGAATTCTCTCGAGGATCAAATCGATGCAAAATATGTGGTTCTCAAATTTTCTTTCCGTTTCCTCGGGTTTCTCGTCTGCCAAACGAGGTTTTGAGTTCGAGTTTTATTGTTATATTCTATTATTTTAAGTCGTTAGTATCGTCTTCCTCTATCTTTCTATCCTTACAATTTTGGTTAAATTCTTGTGAACAGAGAGCTATGCAAAGATCTGTTCAAGCAATGGTCGAATTTGGACAATTCACACTTCTCTCTCGATACAATCTCCGGAGGCATCACAAATCTATGTGCGTAGATTTGCTGTATATCAGCTTTGGTAGTTAACTTAGTTGCATTTTTTTAACCTGCTAAATCAAACTACGTTCTGCAAATTTGTAGCATCTATGGTCTTAGCAAAAATCTGTACTTCATCCCTGCAGTACTGAAGGTATCCATAAGGGAAGAAAATGGAAACACAGTAAATATGACGCTTAGATTGTATGGACCCAATACTGAATATGTCATCGATCGTGAACGGGAATTGCAGGTGAGTCGCAAGGATTTTCTTGTTGGATTGCTGTTAGTATTATCCATGTTATTGAGACCACTAATCAAGAGTCCAGGGCTAATTTGCTGAGCTATATTGATTTATTATTTCTTATATCAGAATTCAGAAACGAAATAAGCTTGCAATATATTTTTTTGGTGTGTTTTATATTAACAGAAATATTCTTGCACTGAATTGAGTAAGAATGGCATTAAATAAAATGGAATGGTGAAACATGATTTATGTAGCTGAACCAAAACACTTTGGAAAAGGCTTTGTTGAGTTGAGTTGAATAAGATATCATTAACATTTTATCCTTTGTTGTTTTTGTGCGGATCATATGGATTGTGTTTATTGTTGCGGTGTTTATTAAAGTTGGTTATAGTTTTTTGCTAAACTTATTAAATACACACCTTATTGTAAATGCTTCTAGTTAAGTTTAATATTATTTGGCATGATAGATTCATACAATTTAAATTTGCACTACATATCAGTAAAATATCATAGCATTACCTGTTTGAAGTTTCGGATAGGGAAATATGTAATTAAACCATAACTACCCTATGGAAAGATCTAAATTTACCATCTAAATAATACTGAGATTAACTTATTCATCTAATGATATTTGATCATTTAAATCTTGCCCAATATCGGTGTTGAAACTTGGAATTCTATTCATAGAGGTTATATGTGGTCATTGCCAAGAGAATTCATCTCACCCTTGTAGTTTTGTCCCTATAATATTTTAACCTTTCAGGTTATTTGTCGACACTGATTGCCAATAGACATTGTTCCGATTGAGCAAAGTAATCATGAATTGGCCTCCTTTTTGAGCATCCTATTTGTGCGTGCTTTGATATGCAAATACTATCTGAACTCTTTTTCATGGAGCAGAGTTTGTTAAGAATATTATATAGTGGAACTATTTGGAGGATGCTAGTGCCATTTATGCTGATATTATTTTCTATAATTGTTTTTAACTACATGAAAAATTGTGATAATTTTTTAGAAAACAGTGATTTGCACGAAAGTTGGAAATAGTTTTTCCATGTTCTTGCATACTCTTTGTTTTGCCTATGGCAAGTTGAAACCCATGGTCACATTGTTGCACAAAAGTTAATTTTATTCTTCTCTCAGTCTTCTTCTATTCTTTTTAGCCCTTTCTTCCTTGTAAAGTAGAAGATGATGCTTACAGTTTCAAGGTCATCTTAGTTCAGTACTCATTTTCATGTGTAGTCCCTTTGGTTGTTTGATCCACTTTGTAATTACTCACTACATATGGTTTTTAGGCCATTGGATATCTTTCAGCTGCAGGATTTGGTGCCAAGTTGCTTGGAGTTTTTGGAAATGGCATGGTGCAATCATTTATCAATGCACGGACACTAACTCCATTAGGTAAGCATTGTGATCATAATTTGAGTGAGACTAGTGATAGGATTACTCACAGAAAGAATGATTTCTATCAAACTACTTATTGGATTTAAAAAAAAAAAAAAAACAGAGATAGCATTTGGTTGTCTTGCCTGGCGTTTTGTTTCATTTGTGACTATTTTATCTTTAGCGCTTTAGGATTCTTAGTTGATTGCTTCTGCAGTCTACCATGGTTGTCATTTCCCGTAGATGCCACTGCTGGGAATTTACTGAATTGATGTTCAATGGTCAAAATATGAAAAAATGACTTTTGACTGTTATTGTTTCTGTAATCTGTTACTCCCTCTGTCCAGAAAAATAGGCCATCTTTCTTTTCTCGATATCTATAATAGATGTTTACTTTGTAAAGTCAACTTACAGAATTGGTCAAAGTTCCAAATTATTCTTTTCCAAAGGAAGATTATTTTAGGAAATTTATAAGTGTAAATGCATTAGATGTTTGTTTCCTTAAAAAGTTAGAATTTCTTAGATGGAGTTATTTATTTTTCTAATTGGTACAGAGGGAGTATATGTGTTCTTTCTTAATTTTCTATATCTATATGCGTGGAGATGCTTTTGAAGTTTAAAATCAATAACATTATCGAAAGTAGTTTTTTGTTCATGTTAAATAAAACTCAATTAGATGAAGCTTTACTATGAATTAATGAATAAGACATTAAGCATTTAGTTCTTTGGTGCTACTAACTTTCTTAAAGTGAGAACCTGTATTTCTTGCTTGGAAAGTGGATAAGAACCCATGAATTCTTACAACTATATCGTCTTGTCTGTTGGATGGGCCATAGTTTATTACTTTATTTTGGATTGTTCACTAATGCTTTAAGTCATTGTCTCTCCCTAGTTCACAAGTTGATAATCCTTGTTTACTGGCTTCTGTTCCATGGTTTGATGTAAGTGACAACCTCATAATTTGCAAAATTTTACTGCCAACCAAAGCCCGCTCATTCCTTTGTAGTGGCAGACTAGGTTCTTCTCTTGTATGTGAAAAATACACTATGTAATTGGATTTCAGTGACGACCCTGCTAAACCAAAACTTTATGGGTAAATTATGGGTTTGTTCAAATGGGACACTTCAATTATTCTTAATGCACTTCATGATAAAGTACTTTGCCATATTTGTTCCAGGAGTCAGCTAGAAGGGTAGGTTGCAGTTAATGGACAACAGAAAACAGAGACGTGTAGTTATGTCAAAAGGACCTAGATGCACTAAGAAGCAGATCCAGAACAGATTACTGAAGGTTCACATTGGCAAGACCAACACTTAGTGTGGCCTTAATGTTTTTCATGATTACGAATTTGAATATGTGATCATATTGAATATGTATGGTCATATTTATAGACATTACTTTTTGTATATAACACGATTCACTATTTCCTAAAATAAAACACAGGCTTCAGAAAAAGTTTAGTGCTTATGAAATGAATCTAGTCTGTTTTAAGCCATGCTCAAATACAATTAAGCTAGTAAAATTAAGACATCAGAACTAAATTACAAATTCAAACAGTTTTCGGTCGTATGTAGAGTAGTGTCTAAACTTAGTCCAAAGAAATCAAGAGTGTCAGTTGGATACTTGGACCTTACAATAGGGGATAGCGACATCTTTTTGACTTTTTGTAGCAGTTTCCCATAAGTTGAAGTGTGTGGTATCTTAGCGGTTGCCCCAAGGTTTTCTAATACCCCTTTTTGTGGGAAGAGATGCAGTTCATCCTTAAATTCACACTGCATTTTTTCACTTACCTGTACAAAGATTCCTTGTATAATTTCTAAAATAAATTATTCATTTAATGTCTTCTTTATTCATGTCATCCTTGTTTGTCAAATAGATGTCCTTGGAGGCATTGCCTTTAATTGCAACTGAAGGATGGCTCAGTAACTAAAGCCCTTTTCCCATTGAAATAACATGAGTTCCCATGGCTTTTAATGACTTATAATATGTTTATTGACATGATCATTTTTTATTAACAGATATGAGAAAGCCAAAGCTGGCTGCTGAAATTGCAAAGCAACTTCGAAAATTCCATCAGGTGGAAGTTCCAGGCTCGAAAGAACCTCAGCTATGGAATGAGATCTTCAAGTTCTTCAAAAAAGGTCTTTTCCTGATTAATTACTATCTTCCTGTACTCATTGTTGGATATTCACAATAGATATCCTATCAAAAGAAAATTAAAGGAAGGATATGTACAATATGCATCTTATACTCAAAAATTAATGTGTATCTCTGAATTTTGGCTGTCTAAGATATTCTTTTTCAAGTAAAATATTGTCACTCACTTTTCTTATGTCAACTTACTTCATTTTCTTGCAGCATCTGGTCTAAAATTTGATGATAATGAGAACCAGAGGAAGTATGAGACAGTCTCATTTAAAGAAGTTCACACTGAAGTTATGGAGCTCAAGGTAAACTCTCTTCTCACTTTCTCTAGTTGGTGTATTACTTGTGCTTGTTCTTTTTTTTTTCTATTAAGGATGTGAATATCTCTATCAGTATGTAGTTTAAGCAAAAGAATCTTGATATGAATTCTTTGTAAATCCTTTGGGGTTACACTATTTACATTTTATTTTTTTCCTTCTACTTCTGTATTGTTGTTGGAAAAAATTTACTATTCTTTTCCTTAGAGAGTTATATGTATAAGTTAATGCTAGGAATGTTCAACAGCACAGGAAACTAAGTATACATAAGTATAGATATGCAAAATTAAATATGGTTTCCCCTCTTTAACTTTCTGAACAGGTCTTGATGTTTTACATGTTAGCATTTATGCCATGTTAACCTCTGCAACTAACAATACTGTAATTGGAAGTTCTCTCAGAGGCACGCTTCATTATATGCCAGTGAAATTCTCATCTGTGAAATGGCTAACTTGAGATTCTCACTAGAATAATATATAAATAGATATCCAACTTCACTAAAATCCATATTGAGATGATCAAAGGAGGCACCATATGTTGTGCCCGAACTCGAGAGTTGGAAACCCTTGGCCTAGGTTTTTCCTTCTATATTTCTATTTTTTAACTCTTTTCTGCCTTGAATAAAATTGATTGCAAAAAATTTCTTTTCGACAAGATTTTAATGTTTTCTCAATTCTTCCACTTCAATGTCTGCCTGATACGATCAATCTGGTTTTGGAGCACGAAGACGTTATCGTTGCTACAATTGGATGATGTTTATTTTTGTACGATAGAATATATGGAGATTTATATCGTGGTTCTTTGAAATTTGGGGAACTTTTGTTAAAGGAGTTTTATTTATTTATTGTGGGACAGGAATTGACAAGCCTTCTTAATGCTCCTGTGGTCTTTGCTCACAATGATTTACTTTCTGGGAATTTGATGCTTAATGATGATGAAGGTACATATGATTTTAGCTTTCCATTATATTGTACACTTCTTTTCCTGAGATTTTGGCAGGACCATGGCATATTCCATCTACCTATTACAAGTTTCTCTTTCTGTCTCTCCACTCTTTTGTTTTTTTCATCTCTCTCGAACACAGAGGAACCTGAACATCTCCTCTCTGATTTGAAATTTGAACTGAATACACGGTCTGCTTCTGCTCTTTATGTCATTTCCTTTCCTTAATTTTTTTTTGGGTACTTAGGTCATGGCAAACTTGAGGTTATATGTACACCTACTAGGTCACTAGGTAAGTAAGATTGGATATGGAGTTATAGCAAAGTAAATATGCCGAATTGATAATGAAATTAACTCCCAGATGTACTTCATCTGAACCTCGTGGTGGCTCTGGTGGCCTGCTTAGATTTCTTGCCTAATTTTATCTGGTAAGGACAAAAAATTTTTTAGGTGTCCAACGAAGTGTGACCATAGAACAGATCAGAATGTGACATGTCAGTGCACAAAATATTATCCAATATACATTCGGGTAAAGGCTAAAATATTAGCATCATGCAGTGTGTGAAAGACTAGTTATTCCTCATCAATTCCTTATCATTTATTGCTATTATTTCTTTATCTTCTTACTGACCCCTATTGATTTTTGGTGAATGTTCAGAGAAACTCTACTTCATTGATTTTGAGTATGGATCATACAATTACAGAGGTTTTGACATTGGAAACCACTTTAATGAATATGCTGGCTATGATTGTGACTACAGCTTGTATGTTATCTTCCTTGTTCTTTTCTTAGTTTTCTATTATGATGATGACGTATAACAGAATATGAGTCATTTATTCAAAAATGTTTTATGTAGATATCCGAATAAGGATGAACAGTATCATTTCTTCAGACACTATTTAGAACCTGAAAAGCCGAACGAGGTATGTGAATAAAGCAAGCTTGTTAAATTTGAAGCTTTAAAGTTCATTAATTATGATTTTATTATAGCTTTTACTATGCTAATGTAAATATTGACCCAAGTGCATAAAGTTTCCTACTTTAGTTAGATGTGCATCTCACTTAACAAGTATTCCATCTGTGAAAAAATCACACCCATGAGTCACTCACAGAAGGCTCACTTAATGTTTTGCTTCTCGAAGGTCTTGTTGTATTACTATATATATATATATATATATATATATATATTTCAATTAGAATGCACTAACCACACTTCTGACTCGGCTTGGTTTTGGTAGCTATTAATGTTAAATGTGATTTATTGCATTAAATCACTTGTTGTTTGGAGATGTGGATCTCAATGGCTGGACCTCAGATTGTTGGTGCTAATATCATGCATATGTGTCCTATTAATAAGCAACATATTGCTTTTGGAACTTAAGGGTCTGTTGGTTTCAGATCTCTGAAAACATGAGAGAACTACAAAAGATCTCTTACGTTGCAATATTACTCTTGTCGACTTTCCAGGATTATCAAATACATAATAGAAATCTTTTCCTTGGTCATCTAATGCATCTGTATTAAATTTTGGCCCATGGCATGGTATTCCAAATTTATTGGTTTTTGTAGTTGCTTGTGCTGGTTCTGGAAGTTTACCTGCATATTCTATCTCGCAAAGAGCAACCTATCTGGCATAGAAAGCCATTATCTTCTTCCTGTGGTTTCCCCAAATTTTTTTTTTCTCGATTGAACTACCCAAGTGAAAGTAATTGGCTTCAAATTGTTGTTTAGTGTCAGACCATGATCCAGTTACTGGTGACAACTGGCATATCATTCAACCTCTCTTTTTTTTCCTTTAATATTCAAGCAGGATGTGACTTTTTCTCTTCCTCCCCCGGTTGGTCAGGACATGTTTATCATTGACCTTACGTAAGTGTGGTATAACTATTAGTTCAACATTAAAGTTGAATGGAAAAACTTAATATATGGCAGTATTGGTTCGGCTTAATGCTTGGACCAAACCGTTCCTGCCAACAAATATGAACTTAGCCATTTTAATGTATTTCGCTTTACCACATCAAATACAAGGCATGTGTTTGAATGCATGCTGCTGTGATATGCATGTTTATAAATTGAAGAGCTGTGCAATAATACTACTGACCTGTCTCTAATATCAGGTATCTGAAAAAGATCTGGAAGCACTTTATGTTGAGACAAATACTTTCATGTTAGCTTCACACTTGTATTGGGCTCTATGGGCTTTAATCCAGGTATTTCAATCTTCCTTATCAAGTATCAAAAAGGAAAAATGAAACAAAAAAATATGTTATTTAGCTGTGTCTGCTGTTTACAGGCAAAGATGTCCCCGATCGATTTTGATTATCTCAGTTATTTCTTTCTGCGATACAACGAATACAAAAAGCAGAAGGATGAGTGCATCTTGCTGGCGCAAGCTTACCTCTCAGGATCCGGGACTGGTTGAAATCTGTCATTTTAGGTGTCACTTGTATGTTTTTGTACTTCCATTTATTTTGGAGAGCTATGTGAGTCTCTCTGATTAGATACGATTGTAAAATATTCTTTTGTAGCAAATTAATAGAATAAGAGGAAAAAATTTAGACAAACAGTTGTGATATTCAGGAGTATGAAATTTGTATTTGATCAATAATTCCTTTGCTTTTGTTCTTGGTACATTCATGTTCCACAGTTTTGGAAATAGTTGAAAGTTGAGGGCTCTTTAATGCATAATTTGAACGTGTGAGAGATTGCTATGTGATCAATAGCAATCTCGTTTGTGCAACACTCATGTTCCACGGTAACAAATGACAGCGATTTAAGTCATCCTCTCAATGACACTGGAAACTACTCAAGATTGATTCTTACATGAGGACCCCCATAACCTAAACTTTCGTAATAACAGTATCGGAGCTTTTGACATCAAGTAAAGCTATATCACTCCCACAAGAAAACCAGCAATGAGTCATTTAAATGTGGAAAGCATATAATAGGGGCCAATTTTTGGAACTTCTTTGTTTTCTGTCAAAATTGCTCCCTACACCAAACTTGGTTCTATTACTATTGATTTTGTACTCCTTTCCAAACACCAAATGACAGTGCAAAGCAAAATAAGTCCTAATATTTAATGAGAATATCCCTCTCCTTCAATGATCAATGTCAATCAATTAATCTTTAAACATTGCTGAATACACTTATAAACTTGAAGTTGCAGCTGCACAAGACGGATAAAATTTGATGAATTGGGCTAAATTCATTCTCAAAACATTTTATATGTGTATCATAAATTTTTTTTAACACTAAAAACTAGGTACAAAGCAAAACAAACATTCTCATTGATCTAGCACCCCTAAGGGTACAAATGATCATTTAAACTTTAAATTACACTAAGAACAGACGCGTGTGCATGATTTGCCATCACCTTGACAAGTATTTGACTGTTCTTTCTATGCATGCCACGGCCACATTATCCTTTGATCCGGCCATAATTTACACTCTTCAAGCTTGAAGAACCTGGCAGTGAACAATGTGAGCTTTAAGGCGGTTCCTACCAGCAAGGCTCGACCAAAGATTTGTGACCAAAGTCTTGAACTGCCCCTTGCCAGAAATAGTTTCCCATATATGTCCGGCAGTAGCACCCTGTGTATCTTCGGATTTTGAAACATCAACCAGAGAAATACTCATATTATTTCGTATGATACAGAGTTTTCCATTGAGCGGAACAAGTGCCACAGCTTCTAAAGCCTTGGAATTCCCCAAATGCAACTTACTGTCAATATGCTTGCTCCAAGAAAGAGTCACTTCATCATAAACCTTAAGTTTGCACCCATCTTTGCAATCCAGAGCATAAAGATGCCCATTTAAAGAAGTACTTGGGTTCCTCCAGCCTGCAACCATTCCATCATAAACAGGACACCAGCAATCAGTTTCTGGTTGGTATGCCTCACTTAGAACCTGTCGGCGAGACCCTAGCCCCTTTAAGAACCATTTACCATCATAAACAACACCAATGAAGGGTACCATTGCAGTGCTCATATCAGAAATGAATGACCATCGATTCTTGTTGGGATCGTAAACTTCAGCTGATCTCAAGGACCGGCTCACTCCCTCGCTCTCACCACCAGCTACATACAAACAATTGTTTATGACACACGAGCCAAAGAAGTGTCGCCGCCTAATCATATCTGGAGCACGGTGCCATTTGTTAGTTCGTGCACTATAATAAATGACTCGTCTCATGGAACCCTTGTTTGGGTCTTTACCACCAAACAGATAGAGATGACAACCACTGAGAACAGCACATCCAAACCCAAGAGCTTCAGAATATTCTTTGGGAACAGGAGGGAGAGGCTGCCAAAGCTGGTACATGGGGTCGAAGGCATGCCAAGAAATTTTTCCATCTCTGTATCTCTTCATGATGTATATCCATTCTTCAGCAATTCCCAGGCTCTTGCGGAGTGAGTAAAAGAATTTACCAGCCAAAAGACGACGCCAACTTTTGCAGACAAGCCGTAGTTTATGGTGCTCGACCCTTGGTACCCGGATTAAGCAAGCAATGGCAAGATCGTCAGGCAGTCCTGGAAGCAGAGGGGACTGGCTCCGATTTCTGTCACTACGTGTTGGCGTCTGCCTAGTAGGATGAATGGATGGTTTAATGTCAGGCTGAAGACAGAGCTTTGTCCCAGGAACAAATCTCTTTGCTCCAGTAACAGTTTTGAGGCCTGCATCTACTCTACAAAAACATGCTGTTGAATCAACCTGCACAATACAACAACTACAGTCAATTCTAAAATTTTTCAATTCCCCTTTCAAAACAAAATAACAATTAAACACAAAAGGTACGCTAGCTTCAGCATCAAAGACGATAAATGGTATTAGAAGTATATGCACCACTTATAAACTTCTCTTTTCAATAAAATACACAAACCTCTGCAATCTAAATATTCTAGTTCACTTGCCTAAGCATGAAAGAGAGAATTAAAAAACTTATACAGCCTAATATGCTAAAATATTCGATATTAGTTTGTATAATTGTTTACCTTGGAGCTAGTTTGTTTTTAAGACCAAACATTTCACACGAGCGAAGAGGTTGATAAATGATCTTAATGAAAAGGGGTTGAAGCAATCAAACTACTCGCTTATCAAAATAAATAAAAGACTAAAATGATGAACTAAATCAGGATTTCAATATGGTGTAGCCCAATGAATGTATGATGCAGGATCTTAAAAGAGGAATGTTAGGCCCATGCCATGAGGTTCCTCTAAAGGCAGCAACCAAGAAGAATAACACAAGGATCATTCTAAGAAAGTCAAGCTACACAAGGATCACATATCATAGATTCCTCATCCATTGATGCCCTACTTGTGTCAGACTAAACCATGGTTAAAACCGTAGAACTGAGATTTACAATATTTATCTTCCTTTCTTAAGATAACTAATGGCAAACAAACCTTGAACCACGCATGCAAACAAGAAAAGTACAAAACCAGAGGGAAACAGAAAATAGATTGATATAAACAGTTTAAGAAATAGAGCAATATAACAAATATCTGGAGAAAAGCTTAAGTAAGATCCTTGGCTCCTCTAATTTAAAGTAATGAGCTCAGAAGTCTTCACTGGGCCACTGAATTTCAGTGTTCTGAACGCATGTTATCCTTTGACAACTTTAATATTTGATAATTTCGAGTTTCCAGGATAAGCAGGATACCACTTAAGGCGTTCCTACTTAACAGGAAAAGGCACAAGGACATTCGTAGTCTCCAGGCAAAGGCACAAGGAATACTCAGATGGGAAAGATAAAATAAAATAAAATGAAATCATCTTATTGTGTCAGAGATAGACTTAACATTAGTGTATTATGCCATTTATGCCTTATGATGTTATCTATAGTATCCTTTCTAGGATTTTGAAAAATGAACACTTACAGTTTCCATTGATACATCATGAAAAAATATTTTTCAGGAACTTCATATAGGTTCTTACTTATCTATAGTATATGTTCGGCCCATGCCATGAGGTTCATATGAGAGCATGTGGCAGATTTTTGCAAAAGCTGGAGGCCTTCAACAACAAGCTTAAATATTGAAATATAAACACAATCACCAAGAGAGACATAGTGTGAGCATGTTCATTAAGATTAGTCACTCAACTAAACAAGCTACATGATTTTCTAGGTTTGAGCAAGAAAGCACTCAAGCTAAACTTTTCAACTACATGCTAGCCCTATTGAAGGAGATTGTGCCTTCAGAACTTCAGAGACCCTTAATAGCAGTAATGATTCAATGGAGTATTGCACAATATACTGATGCATTCAGTAATAAACCCAAATTTGTCCAAGTTTATTTAAGAGGCTAGTATGCAACTTAAGGAAAATAATGGAATTCTTTAATTTGAAATTAATCAACAATGAAATACTATAGTAGAAAGAGTGGTCCAACATAACATATAGGCTTCCAAAATGCAAACACCATATAAATAAAATCCTGGATTAATAGTGAACTATAAGTTTCTAACACTGAAAATATACATAGTATTTATGGAAGCTAAAGGGGACAACCAAAAGTTTACCAGAGGAGGATGAATCACTCTGTCCATTCTTTAATATTTAAATGCTATGGATTTCCAATTTTATCAACACCAATGCAGCTTCAAAAGTCATCTTCGAAATCAAAATCTATCTCTCAACCATCAAACCTTACAATGAGAAGACATAAATCAGAGATGAACAATTCATAAAACAAGCTGTCACAATCACTCCAGAGTAAAAATTCAGAATCTTGCATTGAGTTTCCAAAGAATTCATACCTAAACTCTCAACTTGAGAGATCTGATCGGACGTTGAGGGATCACATGTCTTCATCTTAAAAACCCACCTAAAATAATCAAAAAAACCCATCTTAGAAGAACTCCAGAGTTAACCCAACCAACAATTCACGAAAAAATTGAAAACCCAACTCAAGAATATCTATTGCAGAGCACCAAAACGATAGGTCAGTCAGTCAACACAAGCTTATCAAAACAGATACCCAAACATTTCCAAGTCTCTCAATCGTCAAAACCCATGTCCCAAATAAAAAACCCATATAAAAACAACATAAAAAACAGTTGCCAAGAAATCTAGAGAGAGACACACACAAAAACCCCAAATCTTATCCTTCCATAAACCTACCACCCCAAATGCAAGACAAGAAGAAATGGGCAAAGAAAAGCAGAGTATAAAGAGATGAAAAAGACCCTTCTCTCACCATTAAGTCTTCAGCAAAAATCGGGGCCATAAACCAAACAGAGTTAACCTACCAAAGCACAACAAAGTGTTTAATGAGAAACCAAATAGTGACAGAGAGAGAAGGCGGACTCGGGGGAGGCGCAAAAGCAAAACTATGCCGTTAAAGGAGGGGAGAGAGGTGTTAAGTATGATGACATTTTGCTGGTGCTCTTAAATGGAAAGTTAAAAGAGCACAACTTGAAAAACACAATTTGATTGCACAACAGTGCTGGAGTAAATGTGTGTGTGTGTGTGTGTGTGAGAGAGAGAGAGAGAGAGAGAGAGGGGAAAAGTGAAAACAAAGGTGAGTTCTTCCTTTGACAAAATAAGGAGTTAGTATTTGTAATGGTCATATTTAATTTTTTTTTTTTTTTTTGGGTTAAAATGTAAGCTTGGTCATATTCAATTTATTTATACTTTACTTTTGTAAACCGTATATTTTTATATTTTAGCTTTAAATAGTGTGAGAGTGCATGTGTCCTTTCTCATGATATAAATAAATATTTATGCTAAAAATATATTTCTAAAACAAAATTTTATTTAAGAAACACATTTTTATTGAAAAAGTATACACTTCTGTTGAAGTCTGTCCTTTTTTTATTATTTTATAAAAGCGTGTTTGAGAAATTTGCCTTCATGAAACAATTTGAATTTGCAAAAATGAATTTCAAATCACTTTTACAGTATTTTAAAGAAATTATAAAAGTAGGAATGTCAAAGATCTAAAAGAAAATGTAATGGGCCTACCTCTCCGCAATTCCACTGCTATAAAAATTCTCTAATTTTGTGTGACCCACCACATCATACTTGACTTGCTGAGTCCACAAAGGCTATTTTAGTCTCTCGGAATTGGGCCCACCACATTGCTTGGTGTTGATCACCTTTGGGCCCTAGATTAGATTATTAAATCTTATGAATAAAAGAAGATAAATGTGATTCAATTACGATAGCACATCTAGAAGTATCTATGTTTTTCTTCTTTTTTTTTTTCTTTCTCGAGGGCAAGAATAAATTATTAATGAAAAATAATTCTCAAAGTGAATGGACGGGCCAATAGTCTAATCATTTACAACCCACCTTAGATCCCCTGAGTTAGTAATTAATTAGGTTAATTTAACTTGAGAAATAGGCATAAGTATAGTTTTTTTATGGGGAAAGTCAAATATGCTCCTCTACACAACATCCATCCGAATACGGGAATAGAAAAGTACCATAAACAAATGAGTAATGTTCTAAAGAGAGCTCTCTCTTGAAAGAGTTCATTCTCCATTTTTAACCGATTAAAAGATAAATTAATACCAATGAATTAAAAGATATATTAAAAGAAAAATTTCTAGATAGTCCTACTTTTGGAGTTGAAAGGCAATCAAGTCCTAAGAGAAATTTTCAGGGCTTATTTAATATATATTTTTTCAACATTACCCTTAGGTTTGCTTGCTTTTCCCGGCTCTCTTTATCTGTCTCTCTCTAAGCTCTCACGCCATCCAAGCCAGAAAATAACAATTGTGCTTGGAAATACCCATAGTAGATGATGTGACATTGCGCTTCCAGTCAAGAATAGAATTCCATCAGAAAAACAACAACTTAGGGAAGTAGTCAAAATACATATGCTCACCCCAGCAATAAGGGAATCAAATGGAGTTGATGTGGAAGAAAATAATTTATGTTTGATCAAGATGGATGACGATGGGTTCAGTGACTGAGCTAGTATGACCTCCGATGGAAGCAACGTGTGAATAGCACCATACAGGCTTCATAGCCCCGCCGAGTTGGGCCCGTGTGTAAAGGCCATAACCTACCAAATATAAGAAGATTAGTTCAAGACTCTAAGCAGATTCAGTAAGCCAATAATGGCAGGACTAATTAGAGTACAATCCAACCCCAATGCCAAGATCTGTCACATCCCAAACCCCATAATCCAAAACTAAAATGTTTAACCAAGCATCGGCGGTGTTGCTTCGTCCAAAAAGGCCATCAGAGGCGTTGCGCATCTTTCACCAACTATAACATTCTAATTGGACAAACATGATCCCCTTACTTCCAGATGTACCGATTGCCCTTGTCCCAATTTGAGAAACATCAACTAAGATTGTAATCCACTGGTGTTTCTTTACCTCCCAAAGTAAAATATTTGCTAGGATTCGGGTATTGTGATGTCCCGCAACGTCCATTAGGGAAATTATACGACTTTTAAGCGAGTCTTGACAAATAGAATCAGAGTCAATTCTTAACAAAAAAATGAGAAGAGAGTTGATTGTGACGTCAAGTGAGAAGAGGTGATTGTGACGTCACAAGTCCGTGAAACAGAGGTTGTTGGCACTTATTAGGGGAATGCCTCCTACATGTGTAAGCTGACAGAGAGTGCAAAATGAGAAAAAAGCATCAAATCCTGCTCAAATTGTCGATGACAACAAAATATGCAATTCCAACTCTACTCCAAACCAGTATCAGTAACTTAAATTATAGCACAAGGCCTACTACCAAATCCAAATAACAGAAGGTACGAGTAAAATATAACTTACATGCCAATTCCATAACAAAGGATAGATCATATCAGAAGATGTCTCATGACACATGAGAAAGTCACCTATTACACAAATTAAGCCAGGCTAGGTTTAGTCTCCAACTTGGTCTTTCCTAATAATTATACATGTGAAATGCATTCCATACCCTAATACAGTGATGAGGTTAGAATAAAAAAGAGGGATAAAATAATAAATTAACAATTCAGAAATCACAAAACTATAAATCCATGAATTCACCAAAACATGCAACTCTATACCTTTCCCCTTCCATAGTTTAAGATCTCTCCTTTTCTCTCTACGAGTTACAATCACACGTCAAACATTAAACGCTGCATATCTGGTCTATTAAAAATTAATCAACCCTCACCGGAACCTAATAATAATAATAAACGAAAACTTATCTCATTCCAATCTATTATAGTGGTGTATAAGGTTGAAGGTTGATGAAGCTGGAACATTTATGGATTAGTGTAACAAAGAAGGACCAATAATTGACAATCAGCTTTATCTTTCTGTTAGCACCAACATCAGATGGGATGCATCAACTACAACAGAACAAAACTTTTATCCAGCTACAAATGCTACCAACCATCCGTATCTGATATACAAACTCGTCATTTAAATTGAACATTATGTTTTGTCTTGAATCCAAGAAAGCTTAATCCATACGAAGCACATCTGTTTGCCGTCTGAATGTCCCATGCATCAAATATGGCAATATAACCATGCAAGCCATAAAAAGTGTAAACTGCAGAATGATATAATAATCAGTTATTTCTAGACTCTCTAAAAACCAAAATTTTAACACCTAGAAGTAAAGAAATAAAAGCAAAAACATGTATAGTGTACCACAAGAGGCAGGGTCAAGAAACTCCAAATTGGCCACAAAGCAAAGGAGAACCTGCATAAAGTTCAGACAAATAGGTGGATGAGTCTCAAAGATGTGAAAAAAGCAAATATATAAATACAAATTAAAAGACAAGTAAGTTCCTCTTACAAGCAAAACGATATGAGCCCGAGTATAGTAATAAATGGCAGGGCAGATGCACTTGAAATTTCCCACATCTCACTGGACTTCCGGACACCCCAGGCTGACATACTTGAATATAATATGAAGAGAACATTCAAAACAACACTCAACATCCCAAGGTACAACGGTATTCTGCATTTAGTATACAAATGATAGTAAACAATATGAAGCAGAAAGATATTCATATATAGCATGCATTTCTAACGACATAATGAAACTAGTTTTTTCACCCATATTGGACAAATATGGATTTTTTCACCCAGATTGGACAAATATGGATGCAAACTTGTAATAGCAGGCATAGCATTCGCAAAATTTCAAACAATCCTTCCATAAGCTAAATGAAAGAGGTGTGATGCAACATGTAATGATCTCTGTAAGCACGAGGTGCAAGCCTGAGGTGTGGACTGAATTAAAAATAACATAAATACTAACAATTGCATAAATCATTCAAATTGATTGGAAAATGTGCTGCCATTAATATTGTGCATTCTGCTAACTAAAAGAAGTCTAACTACACCATAGTTCTAATTAGTCCAAATTTTAAGCAGTCTTACACCATAGTCTAATGATCCAAATTAATGAAGCACAAAAAGGCTTAAAAAATTCAATGTGGTTAATGCCAAAAATTATCTATCTGACTCTTTCTAAAAACTAAAGAAGAACCATATTTTTCAATAGTCTTATGAATTGTATAATTCATACAAAAGCCTGAGATGAAAGCCAGAGTTCTTTGACTAACTTTTACCTAAGACTCTAGGGTGATAAACTTTTGTGATCATGCTCTCAGCACAAGCTAAAAGACGCAAGCCTCGAATGTTATTTAAAAATCATTATAATAATTTATTTATTATAAATCATTATAATATTTATTATAAATAAATTATTATTATAAAAATATTAGTTCTTACTGAAGTATTGGGACTTTGTAACAAATGTTGGCAGATGCCATGAACAAAATGTTAGTTTTATTGATTGGTTGGGTCAATTAATAGAGGATTATGATAGTTCAAACATTGACAAGGAAGCTAAGTCACATCTATTGATGCTTTGTCAAGTTTTGATCATAATGTGACACTTAGAATGAAAACTAACGATGACCATTATCTATTGATGCCTTGTCAAGAATGCAAACCGATGATGAGTATATGTGACACTTAGAATTTAGAAATATTGTATTAGACACTGCTCATCCAAAATAGGTACTGAGATCTAATAAATTCCATCAACATAAACCAGTAAATTTTAACACATAATCATCCATATATAGACCAACATACAAGTAAAGCTTTGCCATAAAAAGTACAAAAAAGTTTAATCCAAAACTTTATGAAGGTTAGGAACCACATCATTGTGAAGCTGTAACATCTTTGTATTTTCACATTACCAAAAAGTGTCGGTTTTTCTTTCCCAGTTTTTCTTTTCATACCATTTAAAATGGATCCATTTGTTTTTCCTTGAGCTTTTTTTCCTCACTAATAGAAATTCATTGAAATTCTCTGCAAGAATCATTTCATTTCCACAACTATTACACATCATTTATGTAATTTTGGAAATAAATAAATCAAAACTCTATGATTACATTTCCAAACACCCCCTACAAATTGGAAAGTACTCCATTAAAAACGTGTTCCTGAAAATAAAGTCTCAAGAACTGCCAAGGACTAGGACAATGATTCTCATCAATTTTGATGTCACCAAGAGTGCATTAGTCTAGTCATATTTTGAAATCATTAAAAACTAAGCAACTAATTCATTCAGAGTCCCCTAAACAAACTAAACATTACTTTTGCAATGTCATGCTTAGTACATCAAACAACTAAATGATACTTTTCCATGAATGTTTTATATATAAACAAATTTAAAAAAAAAAAACTAATTAGATAACAACAATAATGGATGGGAAAAACTTTCAAAATCAAGAGAATCATTTACCTTCTAATCCGAGCATCATGCCATAAGAGGTAAATAAAATTATAGTGCAGATCACCATAGTATATGATAAAAACTGCAGAAGCAATCCAAAGAACAATCTCCATAACCTCGACCCATGACCGAGGCCCTGGAAAGGATGGTGATTGAGGGGCTAATCTTGAACATGCATCATCCTCAAGGTCATCACCACTCGAGGCATATCCCTGGCTGTGCCTCTGCCTCATGAATCCACCCCCTACCGGAGTTCCGCCCGACATATTCACAAATGATGATACTATAAGAATTCAATCCCTTCAAAGAATCAAGTAAGGTTTGTACTTCTTTGTAATTCCTAAATCCTGACTAAAAAATCATACACCGTAGCTCACATACAAACAATCAAACAGTGTCTCCTATAACACAGTATCAGAATCAACGTATCACTGAAAATTGAATGCACAAACCATAAAACTCACTCCATCTATAATCCACAAATCATATCTCATCATCACCTCAAACCCAAAACCCGTATACCCATTAAACCGAAAAAATAATATCAGGAGTAAAAAATCAATCCCGTCTCCAAAACCCACATCAAAAATTAAACTATCAATAAAACCCACATCAAATATCAAATTTCTCACAAAACCATATCATCAAAAGTGAAATCAAAGATCAAAATTGACATTTCTCAACAAACCCATCTCGCGATCCACACTGTCGAGACAACGCCAATGCCTTCAATTCTTCACACCCACGCACCGATTCGAATCCTCTGGTACACCCAAATCGCAGTCTCTTCAATTTCTCAGATTAGAGTCACCAATGAAAAGAAATATTTGATAACTAAACGACTGCAATAAATGAACCAATCCAGGAAAGGTTTCAGGTGTTTAATGGACTATCTTGCTGAGGGCGACAAGAGGGATATGTGGAAGTGTTCACGCCGTGTGGTACTCGAAACTACAAAGATGATTTGCAGTTCGATATGCCTTATTCGTTTCGTGTACCCTAGTGGAATGTTTTGATTTGAACCTCTTTTAAATTTTCTAGATATATATACTAGTATATCTATAAGTTTGTATACAAGTATTTTGTTTTTAGCATTGCTATGTTGCATCACAAATGGTAAATAAAATTTGTATTTTATCACAAATGGTAAATAAAATTTCGCATTTTTTCATCCATATCACTCTCTCCTATTTCTCAGGCTAATTTCTCTCCCTCCAAAAATATAAAGATGCATATCCTCTCTATACTCATTACAGATGTCAAACTTTACATTCTTTTTTAATTCTAATGTGACCAAAAATATATATGATGCATAAGAACCTAGATTAGCCAAAAAAATTCTACAATATTATTATTTTTTGGGAAGTAAAATGTAATAGTTCTTTTTGTGGTATAGAATACTAGAAGATTTATTTTAATATTGAAGCTCATCAGAGAAATATCCACCGTAATGCATTAAACAATTTTCTATGATCAATTTCCTTCATAGGTGTTTTTTTTTTTTTTTTATTATTATTATTTTTTTTTAAGTAATCATCAATAATCTTAAGCTCTAACTATACAGAAGAGATACAAACATAATCCTAAATTTTAGAAGGAAAATGATTGTTACACAGAATAGGTGCAGTGAATTACTAGACTTACTTTTTTAATTGGTCAATTATACAACAAATAAGGGAGCCGAGTATCCATTTAGTTGTATTTGGTATAAATAGTCAATTAAAAATTATTCGATTAGGCAATTTACTGTAAGTGTTCGGTGCGAGTATCACTACTCATTTTTTAGAATTATAGCTTCAGACCAACATATAATAATTATTTACATATCCTCTAATTCTATCCATGTGGTTAATTATATATATATATATATATAGGGTGAACTACATTAAACCCCTCTTTTTTATCTGTGTTTTTTACTAAACCCCCTTTTTTTATTTTTTTGTCAAAAAACCCTCCCTCAACTATTAGAGGGGGGTGATTTAACTAACTTCTGTTAACTAACTATCAGAGAGGATTGATTTAATTCTCAAATATATATATATAGCAAATAAATTTCAAGAAAAAAAAAAAACATAGATTTATATTGGAAAAGAAAATGAGGCATTATTTTTGGTAGTGTCCCTTTAATAAATCTATATAAAATAAAAATCAATAAAAACCAAATAAATGAATGCACAATATAATTCTGAAACATACATATATATATATATAGCAAATAAATTTCAAAAAAAAAAAAAAACCTAGATTTATATTAGAAAAAAAAACCATTGCAACAATATGTACTCTTCTTCTTGTTCTCTTATTCTTGTTCAACTTCTTTTATTTACCCATCATTATAATATAATATATAATTTGTATCATGATATAATGGTATATATAATATGTATCATTAAATATTATTTAAATATATTTTCATTTCCATCTAGCCTTCCGATCAATATAAATCTAGGTTTTTTATATATTATTATTTAGGAAAAAATTGCTATATATATATATTTGAGATTTATATTGTGCATTCATTTATTTGGTTTTCATTGATTTTAATTTTATATAGATTTATTAAAGGGACATTACTAGAAATAATGCCTAATTTTTTTTCCAATATAAATCTAGTTTTTTTTTTTTCCAATATATATATTTGAGAATTAAATTACCTTCCTCTAATAGTTAGTTAACGGAAGTTAGTTAAATTACCACCTCCTCTAATAGTTGAATAGGGTTTTTTGACAAAAAAATAGAAAAGGGGGATTTAAAGAAAAACATAGATAAAAAAAGGGAGTTTAATGTTGTTCACCCATATACACCACTGTATTTAAGCAAACATCTATAATTAAGCAGTTATTGTTGTCTTTGACAACTTCCAAAGGAAAATCTAAGAACAATCCAAGGAAAAATAAATTCACTCCCAAAAGAAAATTTGAGTAAGGGTTTCTCTTTCCAGCTCCTAAAAGAAAAGCTAATTATGTCATATCATAAAATCATGAAAAATACTTCATTATGTCTATCATTTTTTTTTGGTAACAAATATATATATATATATGGTGTACTACATATTATTTCAAAACTTATTTACTCCTATAGTCGTATCAAAAAAGTGGATTTCTCTTTTTTTCTATTGAATACCATGAAATAAAGTTTTTCTTTTGAAGAGTCAATATAAAAATTGTTTAATTTTTTTTGGAAGTAGAGAGAAAGAAAAAAAAATAAAGTATTTCTTTTTTAATAGTCTGCGAGAGCAACACCAGTGGAGTATATTTTTATGTCATTTTTTTTATATTTATTTCAGGTTGAAAACATGCCCTCTTTATATTTTTGTTTATTGGGTTTGAAAGAGTGCGTTAGAATTGGAAATTCAAGATGACGTTAGATTGAAACAGTTGGCAGTTTCGTAGTGGGTAATTCAACAATTATACATCACTATCAAATTAGTTAGGTTAAACTGGACACTCAAGATGACGTTAGATAGGGACACTTGTTAGTTTTGTAATGGCTAATATATGTATATGTATGTATATATATATATATACACAACACTATATTATTAATTAGGATGTTTTCACAACAATGACAGTAGACGTATCGTGGACTTGACAGAGTTGGTAAGGTAACGATTTGAAAATCATGACGTTCCAGGTTTGAATTCGTTCATTTTTATTTTAAAAATAAATAATAATAATAATAATAATAATAATAATAATAATAAATAAATAAATATGACAGTAGACTATGCAATGAATAAATTTACATCACCAAAAATAAACCGGAGAGGATCTAACTAATTACTATTGGTCAACCCGGCATCAATAGATTTCAGGGCTTCTGTCCCAACAGTTGAGTTGGTCCATATGACTTCAAAGTATTTTAAGTAGAGCACGTATACTTTTAGTGAAAACAAATAACTGATTGGAGAGCTGAACGCCAATTTTTAAGCTTTTTGAGGTGGGATCCATTTTGGCGGAGAGGCGTTCCTTATGGTTATTGAATCATTTTTCTTTTTAAAAATAAAATAAAATAATATAACATTTGAAAGTCAAAAACATTTAAGTATTTTATTAATTATCATAATAACATCATCTTCCATTTATCTATTTATCACAAGTGACACATTCACGACATTAAGCCAGTATAGGCCCAAGAGGGGCACATGCCCCTTGGCTCCACCCACTATAGTATATATAATAATTTTTTGTATGTCCCTTAAAGTTTGTATTTTCTAAAATTATCTGTTGATTTTTTTTTTCTTTTTTCTTTTGCTATTTAAATTCGTATAATTTCCTTAAAGAAAAAGTCAAATTTTCCTTTTAAAATCAAATTTTACTCTCATTTTTCTTTCTTTTTTCCTTTCGTATTATTTTGCAATAATTTCTTTTCTTATTTGCCTCTTGCAAGGATTTTGTAATATTCATTGAGTTTTTTTATTTTATCAACACTGTGCCCCCATTTCCCTGCATATATATATACATTTATATCACAAACCCTAATACCCGATTCACACAATCTCTCTTAGTGAGTTCATAACAAGTAGCATTTGTTCTGCTTAAGGTAGAAAGAATGGTCAATTCAGCTGGATATTGTGTGTATTGTATGGGTAGAGAATGCGGAAGCTGCACAAACCTAGAGTAAATCAGACCCATACAGGCTTCGTATATGCCAAAGAGCTAAAAAGAAAAAGAAAAAAGAAACAAACAAAAATGTTAAAACCAATGCAGATTGTAAATTTGTAATGCTCCATCATGCCAAGGACAGCAGATCCACTCCAGTACTGGAGAGGGTTCAGCATACCCCGAACCCGAACGGGAGAGGATCCAAACTCCAACCAAGATACCAATTCCTGAAAAACTGTAGTTAAATTCTGCAAGCTAATTAAGTTAGCTGCCTTGTATCGCGGAAAACATCCCTATAAGTTAGCCCTCTTTAATAATACCATCATTGTTGCTATCAATTCATCATAAATCCGAACAATAATTAAGTTCCACCACCCTGTTATCATCATTACGTATGCTTTTAGTAGATAATAACTAGTCAATTAGACATTTCATGGTAAGGTTAAAAAAAAAATTAGCAAAGCAATAATGCACTTCAGAAACTTTGCATTTCACAACTAGCAATACAAGCACCTGTCTGGTGCAGCAGAATCAATGGCTGCCAACACCACTGCATAGGCTAACCAAGTCCATCAATGTTGAATATAACACATCCAAAGATAAGTAACCCAAAAATTTCCTACTTTCAGATACACCACTAGAAACATCTGTGTGCAGTCTGTGTTCCCCTGTGAATCCATCATCCATCACCAGCCACCAGGAGATGCAGCCTTGGGTATCTTCTGGGTCCACGTGTGCCACCAAACCAAGTGTTTCACCTTGCTCCAGCTCGAAGGACAAGCACAAAAAGTCCCTGTTCCCTTTCATTCCCACCAAAAGAGCTTCCTCATGCAGCCACCGAACTACTTGGCTTGCAATCTACAGTAAAAAGTTCATGTATGGCAATTTTGTTTAGGTGCAAGATCAAAATTGACTACCATAGGGGTACAAAAATATAATTATAAACATCTGCTATTCAATATGCATCCACCATACATTCATGCATACCCATTCACATTGATATATACATTTTTATAACTACTTTTATTTCAAAATTCTTTTTGGAAAAGGACAAGAAATACAATCAATCAAGGGATTAGTTAAAATCCACCGCTCTGGTGTTGATGACGCTTTGTTCGATCAACCAGGCTTTGCAAAAATTGAGTTTACTTGTCTAATTAAATCTCTTAAGCCCTAAAGTTGTAGGGTTTCTAGGCTCTATATAGATACGTCTAGTATTCAGAAAACCTAAATGGAGCAAGAGAGTACATGCATCATATAACATATAGCATATACAGAGCTTTTGGAGGGCACGCTAGCAATCTATTGCTAGAGATTTTGTTTTGCTTGTCGTTCATCATTCAAAAAGTCTGGTGAGTGATCATATAGTGTGTTCACAATCTATTGTTGTTGTGCCTACGACAAGTTCAACACAAGAGTCAACAGAGGTTTGGATTGGACGATTGGATCAGAGATCAAAGTGTTTGTGGAGAAGTAGATCCTATAAGGAGCAGAGATGTTGACAGAGGGAATGAAGGGTGACAATCGGACTTTTCTTCGTCTCTTTCTCCTCCAACACCAAAATAAATAAATAAATAAATAAATAGAGGAAGAGGTGAAGGAGTCGGCCGTGGAAAGTCTTGGGAAGCTTCCCAGATTAAAGGATGTGTTTCAAAACCCTACATTAAGGAACATGGCACTAACCAGGTTCATGAGCATTGCATAAATCTCTTTCTCGTACAATGGTTTTGACCTGACTCGACTAAATCTCGTGATTTTCCTCTTGGGGTTGTCATGCAAAACACGTGTGTCCATTGTGCTATTTAATTTACTTCTTTTTCTTTTACTGTTTTTTGGCTGTTTCATTATATTAGGGACTGAATGATGGAATGATCAGATTACTTTAGTACTGTGTTAGTTTAATTTTTAAAGAATCATAAATTTAGCTAAATTTCAAATATAAATTTAGCTAAATTTCAAAGTTTTTATTCACCCCCCTCTAGGTCTAGATCACGGGCCTTCCACAACTCAGTCTAGACTCTATAGTTATGGTCCTATAATTCTGCCCTGCATTATAAAAAAGAATACGATACATGTTACATGTGTAAAATACAAGTAGGACAAGTAAAAAGTTCACTCATATGATAACATCAGTCTCTCTCTAGATATTTTGAAACATATTATTTCAGATCTTTCCCTTCATCTAAATTTATTTCATATCTTTCCTTTTATCTACAAATTAGTGCATCTTGTGGTACATAATACAATAGAATACACATGGAAAATGCAAAACAGAAAATCAAATTAATTTATACAATATTTGACAGGATTACAGATTACTAAACAGTAACTAACATTTTATTGATAAAAGGAGCACCAATCTCCGTGTTAGCTTTAGAAGTTCAATATGTAAGTCTCATATTTACAATTATAAAATTTATGTGTACCATATCAGAAATTGTAGAAATAGACATACCTGCTGCAGCAGTATCATAGGAAGATCTGCCAAGTCACAGTCATATCTGTTCATAGAACAGATATTCTCACACTTCCCTTTGAACAGGCCAACAACATTAGGAGCACCTTCTCCTTCTACATTGATGCAATCATCATTTACTACCACCTTAGTTCGGAAATGTGACTTTACATCCTTCACGTGGTAGATGTCAGATCTCTGGGTATGATGTCCAGCATGAAGAATGGACTGCGGAACATTCATTGAGAGTGTCCACGAAGATGTCCGAGAATGCCATGTGGGATGGGATATCAAATGTACATAAGGAACCCTTGAAACCTAAGGTATCAAACAAGACAATAGATAAAAATGAACTACCAAGATAATGACAAACAAAAGAACTGTTCATTTTTCATTTTTTTCATTTGCTTTCTGATTCATAAAAAAAGTATAAAGCTAGTACCAGAGTTTCTAGCTCTGAAAGAACTTTGTTTGAAAAGATCCTGTGTGCCAGAGACATGCAGAAATGACCCAGAAGATTTTGCTCATTCTTCGCAGGTTGACCAGATAACTGAGCTCTACCAGAAGAAACTGATCTATCCTTTGCTCTTACAAACACATGTTCGTGAAAAATTTGTTGTAAATAAATTTCAAAACTAATTCTACTAGGGAATCCTAAATTCTTTTCTAAGTTGACGTATTTTCCATCTGCTAACTTTGACCCATCAGATGTTTCAAAAGTTATAAGCGCAGTTTCCAAATTTTGAGAGCTTGCATTATCTACTGTTTGATTATCTTGCCCAGATGGCACAAGTGAAATAAACACGGTGTCTCCTTGACCTATGCTCAACTGTAAGTAGTTTTCTCGTATACCAGTCACATTGACACCAAAGGATATGTTGAATGCTTCGCGATTTACCAGATCAAACACCTGTGAACAGATGAACCAATAGAAGTAAACGGCAATAAGTAGAAATATGAAGGCATTTAAAAACAAAGACAACACTCGCTTACCAGGGGGAAAAAAAAAAAAAAGACAATACCTGCTCCTCAAAGATTGTCCGATGAACTTTGCGGAGGACTGAGTGTGTTTCTTTGACACACTCATCATCACTTACAGGTTCGCTCTTAGTCTCCCTTGAAGGATCCTCAAGCGAGCAATCGGTATTCCGTTTACTAGATTCTATATGTGCACTAAGAAACCCAAATTGAAGAGACCGGCTTGAATTCGGAGGTAAATTTATTGCAAGCATCCCAGCTGGATCATGCTCTACATGAACCGTAGAGACAGAAGATGGGCGAAATATAGCTACTGGGTCATATAATGTATTGTCAAAAAGATCAATGTAGAAGCCTTCATTGCCAGGAGCAGAAGAGACAACGCGCTGCCGCTTAACTTTCCAGTTCTGCTGCAATCTATTCGCTTGTCAGAAAATAAGATGGAGGATGTGATCACATATATACTCTTATGAGCTATTATTGCTTACAATCTTCTTCAATTCATATATAAAAACCAAGGAATTAATAAGGAAAAAATATATATAAATAAATAAATATATATATATATATATATATATCACCATCATTTGTTGTTAGCTAATTAGAATTTTTGTGTCCGTATGAGAGAGGATGGTGAGATCTGCTGAAGCACTCACAGTAATATATCAGGCTTATGCCAGGACAAAATGAAAACAAAAAGGAAACTATTTAATTGCTTTACTGAGATCCAGTATGCAATATAATGTGACACCAATGTAGATGTAGAGTAGCCACTATAAAGATATAAGATACATTAGGCAATGCTCACCTGATGAGAGCACCATAGAATCTCGCTTCCCTAGCAACCTGCTGTTCCAATGCTTTGGCTGATTGCTTGAAATATTTTCCAAGATGCTATCAATCAAATGCAAAAGAAAAAGAAGAAGAAGTGAGGGCTTGGCCCAAAGGATGAGAGAAATTAGACTGGCCTATCAAAGAACTTTTTGGTTCTCCTCATCGTCCAACTTTGAGTTCATTTGCATAAATGATCTAACATAATTCAATTTGAAAAGTCAGGTGTTATACTTTGTGTATGCAAAGTTATACTAACTATGCATTCATCTATCACATATGCCATATTTCAAAGAGTGAAATTATAAACTTAAGGGAAAAAAAAGAAAAAAAAGAAAAAGAAAAAGAAAAAGAAAAAAGGAAGAGTACCCGGAAGCATTGTAGCTTGGTTGCCGTTGAAACGGCAAGGTCAGACAAATGTTCATTAGGTAATTGCTTTGGTCTGGTCATGCCAGCCACTGTCACTGCGTCATTAGTTTCTACCTGCACGTAGCAAATCAAAAGTAAATTATAAACACCAATCAGTTCTCATCACCTCTCAATAGTTCTGTCTACTATCGAACCCTTTTATGGTATTGCCGAAAACATCATACAAAAAACTAACCCAAGATCAAGCACCAATCAACAAACCTAAACTTACGTGAAAAAAAATTCAACTCAAAGCAAATTGAAAGCAAGAACCAGTTCAAAATCCAATAAAAAACACAAGTACCCGGAATTCCACAACTTAAAAACCCTGGTGTGTTCGGTTGTATGGAATTGGAGCCTTGGAATTGGAATTTGAGAGAAACTAAAAAAATTGACCCAAAATTTCTCAAATCCCACCAATTCTATCCAAGGCTCCAATTCCATGCAGCCGAACACACCCTAATTGTTGTCTAAAATACAAAACTAAAACCCCAACACAACAATTATATCTAATATCATCACTGGTCATCTGAACAACAAAATAATTAACTTCCGTTTACAATTTAATTCAAAATATTAACTCAACTAGAGTTTGTATTAAAACTAGTATATACTGTTAATCCACACACAAAATTGTAGATGGAATAGACATGAGCGACTCACGGTGTTGATAAGATCAATGATGACAGAAAGCTCTTGATGAGCCAACTGCAGATTCTCGACCATGCTCTGCCACGGCCATGGTTTTGTGGTTTCCTTTGAAGAAGAACTCTTCTTCTGCTTCTTGCTCGGGTCTGCTCTCTCCACGGCCCATGCAAAATCTATTCGCCTAATTAGGTTCACTCGCTTCTCTTCGTAACCTACATCACTAATATATATACATATATACACATCAATCAACACAGAACTATAAATAAATTAGAATGTAATTGAAATTGAAAGAGGAAACACGTACGAAGGGAATCGTTCGAGTCCATGTTCTTCAATGGCTTCTAATCGCTTGATTGGAAGCTTGTCAAGAGAGATTTCTAAAGATCCGTCCATTTTCCCCGACTTTTTTCCAAGAAAGTATCAGGGAAAATCTTAATGGAGCCCTAGGGGAAAGAAGGCAGCAGGGTGTTACTGTTAGCAATCTTTAAAAATACGAATGTATCCCCACACAACTGTGGGATTGCAATGGGAAATTATCTCATCGCCAGTAATAGAGATGGGCAAAAGAGTAACTTGACGTAGGTTTTAACTAGTACTCGTATAACTGTATAAGTAGTGTTTTTTATTGAGAAAGGGGTAGTCCAATTTGAAACCAGGCCTGAGCTTTACCAAATACTTAACTCCAGAATTCTCATTATATTTCGACTTATATCCAATTGGATCTCTTACTTATATTTTTATTCACCAAAAATATTTTATAAAACTCTTTGACCATCGAATTTGATGGATTCCCGAGTGGCTAAGTTGTATATTTTGATGACCTCCACCCAACTACAAGGTAAACTCACCTTCTAGAGGGAGAAAGTTGGTTTAAGAATCATGGCCTGCTTGGTTTGTAACTCTGAAAATAAGTCTCAAGAATTCTGAAAATATAAAACTTTTTTCAAGGAACTTTAAAAGACGATTAGTTTAAAATAGGCCTTTTTATAACTAAGTTTTCATAAACCAGTTTTCAGAAAATTGAACCAAGAAGAGTTTTTGTACAATTTTTTAATTTTCAATTCTTTGTAAACAGAAAACTGTTTTCAGATTTAAAAACCGAACAGACCCTGGATGTTTTTATTTTGGACTTAAAAATTCTTTCATGTATCAGAGTGGACTGGTGCACCAACAAATAATTGTGATTGGCACAGTATGTGATAAGTCCCGCCTCACAGTAACAGGTCTCACTTAATGGTGGCAATCACCACCCAAGGCCAGCCCTGAGATTCCAAATATTTTGAGAGGCCCTAGGCGAACTTCCAAATGTGAGGCCCTTAAGTTTCACATGGGCAAAAAAAAAAATAAGAGTGCAAAATTTTCAAATTCTATAGCTAATATAATTGTGCGCTTGTGCATTGTGCATAAGACAACTAACTAATAACTAGAAATTTATCACCACCAACAAATAATTGTGTGCCTATACAGTGTGCATAAGACAACTAACTAATAAATATAAATCTATAACCACCAATAAATAATTGTGCGCTTGTGCAGCGTGCTTAAGACAACTAACTAAAAACTATAAATTTTTATCACCACCAATAAATAATTGTGCGCATGTGCAATGTGCATAAGACAACGAACTAATAACAATAAATCTATCAATTAAAGAGTGCGAAATTTCCACAGGCACAAAATAAAAAATGAAGAGAACAGGTTACTAGAGATTAGAGAACAGAAAACTGCAGCTTCTTGTACATTCATTGTTTATATAGCTACTAAAATTTGATGATTACAGATGACAAAAATATGTTGAGATGAGGTGACTATATATATTATAGGAGGCTTAACTTGTAGTACTGAAGAAGTAGTGGGACTTTTAGGTTATATGTGGCCTCCACTATCATATATAGTATTGTCTCACTCTTTATATTAACTACACTACACTTTGCGTGTGTGTTTTTTGGGCCTTTCTTGATTTCAGGATGAGGAATCAACTTTAGTAGCAGTGATTGATTGATCATTGCTACAGAAGATCTGTGCAAATTAATAGAAAAACCATTAACTTTTGTTTTGTTAAAGCCTGCTCTTGATTTCCATGTGTTTGTACATTCTGCTGGCAAGTGCTTTGACAGTATTATTAACTGAAATTCTAGCTGAGCCAACTTCAAATAAAATTAAAAATGGTGGTTTGTATCCTCATATAAAAATAAAATATAAAAAAACCCTTGATTTGGCACTTTTAAGTAGGAGCATAATTTAGAGATCGAAAAAGTTAATTATTACCTCAACGGCTCAACCCACTAGAAGGGATCCTTAATTTTTGTAGGATTGAATGCGAAAATGCAAAAAATTATGAGGAAAAGGGGTATGGTTGCTGCTGTTGTGAGATTGGAGTAGAATTAGGGAGAGGAAATAAAAGAAGTACCTGCCATAGATTATGTACTCGATCGCCATGAAAGACACGTGTAGAAAAGCACACATTTATTAAAATACTAAGAGAACCATAATATATTCATTCAGCTTTTGATAGCCATCACATACAGTGACACACACACACACACACAAAACCCTAGTTTGGAAGCTACATTTCACTATTGGAACAAAGGTAAAGGCCCGAATCAAACGAACCAAAGTTAGAACAAATCAAATGATGAGATGAACGAAAGAAAGAAACATATATAAAAGATCGATTCATGCAAAAGGAGAGAGAAGAGAGAGAAGAGAGAGAGAGAGGATGAACATCCTTGTCACCTGAGGCGATAGCGTAGGCTGCGCCCTGCGGAGTGTCGAAGCAGATTGTGTCTTCTGAAACTTGCCCTAACTTAAATTTTTTTTTTTATTTTTTTTATATCCCCTATGGGCCTCAAAATTTGACGCCCAAGGCGACCAAGATTTGTTCTAACTTAAATTTTTTTTTTTTTTTTCATCCCCCATGGGCCTCAAAATTTGATATATCTTATTTCCTCCTCATTCGGTGACTACTGGACCAACAGAGAGTGGTACCGTCCAGCTTAGTTTGTTTAGAACTGGAGGCTGCCCAATCCAATGTAGTAGCCCAATAAATGGTAAAGTGCAAAATAAATATCCAAAGCTATTGCTCTTTTACAAATAATCCCTTTGAACTACAAATTACTTACCTAAATTATTAATTTATTACAATTAAGGACAAACACATTATAAAAGATTATTTTACCCTTTCTAATTAAATTTATCATTTCTTATTAAATTATTTTTATTATCTTTTTCTTATATAAATATTAATTACACCATTTACCTTAATTTTATTATTAGTATCAATTTATCATAAACAAAGGAAAAAATAAATAGAATTTGTAATTATCATTTTTTTAAATGATTAACTTATTATTAAAAATTTACTAGTTTAAAATTTTTTATAGTAAAAATTACTTCTTTTTTGTGCAATATATTCATAAAATATTAATAAATTACTTAAATAAAAAAAAAACCTTATTTTTATGCAGTATATGAATGAAAATTTAAGATATTACTTAAATTATTTTTTCAAAAAATTATTTAAGTGATTTATTTAAACAATAAATTTAAAAAATTAAAGATAAATTTATGCAAATTTGATCGGAAATATGTCATCATATTAACATGAATTTTTTTTTTTTCAAAATTACTTTCAATAATTAAAATAAATTAAGTGTAATTCAATTATAAAAAAAAGGTATTATGGGACATTTTATAACAAAACGTGATAATTTTAAAGGTAATTATGCACATAATATATTTCAAAAGGGATTTATGCAAATTCAGATGTACTTCAAAAAATTTTACACATCACCTAATAATAAATAATAATAATAATAATATTTATACCCCTCTCTTTCTCATGTACAGTGTTTATGGGAGGAATGGTCTCCCCTTGCTATGCTTTTAGGCCACAAAAATCCAGAAAAAGTGGTAGCCATTGAATGATCGAAATGTAATAATAAATTATTTCAAGATAAGAAAACACCCCCCATTAATGTCACCACCACCTCTAACAAACATGGCAACCCCACAATCTCTCTCATTAATTTTGAAAACTACCCAATTTCCACTTGAATAATTTTATCTATTTTGTCTATGTGGTAATGGTTGAAGATATGAGATATTATTATTTTATAAGCCACAACATTACAAAAAAATGAACCAACAAGGCCGTAGAGGCATACAAATTGTCCGATACAATTATTTTGATTAATGGGGCCATTATGATTCACCATAAAAATTGACACTCCAATTTGTCTAAAAGCCACACACCAAAACTACTTTATCATCGTATTAGTTTTCTTATACATTCATTCACACAAGCGTGTGATAAGTGGCGCAAAATAGGAATTAACTTTAAAGGTATAACCATTACCACATAGATTAAAATTGCATATAATATGCACCAGATATCACACATCAAATGACAATAATGCCCATCGACTCCATCCCTTTCACTCACCATCCAGTATTAATTACCCCCACGCCAGGTACAGAATGGAATGACAAAACGAAATTCTAAAATTTGTCGTTGTCTTATGAGTTAAAATCAAAGGAGAACAAACACCAATATCCCATTACATACAAAAGAATATTTATTATCATATACTACCATTTTACATCATATATATTTGACACCTTTTAACAAATCCAGTGAACAATCCGGAATTTGAACTTGTATTTTCATAATTGTCACAACTTTTACCTTGAACCGAAAAAAAAAAAAACCTAGTTTGGATTTGTCCGTCTTTTTGTCCAATGATTAATTTATATTAAGAATCCAACATTGGATCCAAAAATCATCTAACAATTCACTTTATAAATCTAAATATCAAAAGAAGTAGAAAATCTCAAGTGTTTTTATTTTATTTTATATTGTGACAACTTTTGTGGACGGATGCGAGACACTAAACGAGTTACACATTACTATATATATATATATTCAACACTCTTATATAATATAACGCGTTTTAAAGTTGTGATGATCATGAATTCAAGTCTAATCTGGGTGAGTCTCATGGGAATGATTATGACTATTTTTGTGGGCGAGTGCGAAACATTGAACGAGCTATCACACCCGCAATTTTTGCCTAGATCGAGAAAATAAATATGAAGTGTTATATGTAGCACCAAATAAAGGGTAGAGGAGACAGTGGAGTGGGGCCGTACCTTCTCATGAGGAGAGGGTGGGATAGTAGGGGTCCTTGCTTGCTGTCTGTATAGAAACAAACATATTAGGAGACAAATATGCCCCAACATTTTAATAATCACAACACACCATTTGTTGAAGGAACTAAAACAAAATATATCAACTCACAAAGACACCATTAGTTAGGTGAAGGAATTAGAACAATATATATCAAGTCTCTCCCAAGCAATCCCCCAATTTATTATCCAAAATCACAGGCAATAACACATGGTTTGTTGCTTTAAATATTATTAACCGGCCACTTTCTAGTCAACATTATTTTTTTTATAGTATATATATATATATCATAACCATATATACATATACCAGACCTACCCACCAAATTGAGTCTAAGCAATGGATAGCCATGAGAAGCAAAAAAAAGGAGTGAGGTATGTTTACAGGTTTGGCACCGGAGATCTGAAGCCGGAGTCTGACACGAAAGCAGCAAAGAAAAAGTCCGTTTGGGGACTAAGAAGATGGAAAACTAGTGGAGAAAATGAGCATAATAATGGTGCAGCAAAGGGGATAGAAAATGGAGGGAATGTGGTTATTGAGACAAGAAAATCGTCGGTGTCGTCGTCCATGGAGGGAAGAAAGTCAGTATCTCAGGTGGAAACGAATGTGGCGTCGGTGGCTGCATTTCTTCAGGTGAAAGTCCTTGTTACCGACATGCCAGGGCTCATGCAGGTCCATGCATTCCGGTGTGCTAGGCGAACTTATGATAGTTTGGAGAAGTTTAGCCCTAAACACATGGCATATAACATCAAGAAGGTATGTACGTTACACACATATATATTTTATCACAGTTGCACATATACACACACACATTACATGTAATTAATATTTGTATTTATAATTAATTCTATGTTCATCTTTAGAGTCCTATATATATAAGAAATATTTCACAGCTCAAATATGGCACCAAAAATACTTTTTCCTTTTGTTACATACATACATACATATATATATATATATATATATATATATATATATATGTCTGTGTATTATTACAAGGTAGCTAGACAAAATTTTTGTGATACAATTATTTCCTTGACGTTTCTTTTTGGAATTAAACGCCTAGCTTCTTGAATGATTGAATTAAGTTTGTTCATGGGACTCCCCAAGGATGGAGACAATACGTAGAAGACCTCTGAATCTGGACTGTCTCCTTTCCCTTTTTTTTTTTTTATTATTTATTATTTATTTATTTACATTTTGGTGAAAATGATATGGGACACAAATCTCTTTCTCACACACACACAAACACACCCCCCTCCCTCATGTTGCACATGTGATGTGCATGTTGGGTGACTCTGACCAACACGTGAGAAGATCTCACAAATCTCAACAATATATGTGAATCACTGCCATCTAATCTCTGGATATATATATATCCTTATCTTGACCAAACAGCTTACTATATCGTCCACAATAATTAACTAATTGCACCTTTAATTAAAATAGATATGGTTAAATTCATTCTAAATATTTTTTAAAGAAAAAGTTGAATGTTCGAATCTTATTTGTTTATTTTTTTAATATTTTTACTGCATGAATTCCACACCCTAACCATTTGTATGATAATAATAATGATAATTAGCGACATACAATACTCCTATGATTTAAACTGATCGTGCATGAATAAATGTAAAACTTTCTCTCTCTCAACGTATTAATTTTTGCAGGAGTTTGATAAGGTTTATGGGCCGGCCTGGCATTGTATTGTGGGCTCAAGTTTCGGCTCATTTGTGACCCACTCAACAGGTTGTTTCCTTTATTTTTCAATGGAGAAATTGTATATTTTAGTATTCAAAACAAAAATTCAAAGAGCTTTGGAATGATTATTTATAAGAAAAAAAAAAGTCTTGAGATAATTAATCTTGAAGATTGATGCCAGTGTAAACGTTATCTTTAAGGCTCCGTTTGTTTGGGTGTAAAATATTTTTTAGAAAATATTTTTTTATTTATTTTATGCTGTTTGATTGTCGTAAAATATTTACAAAAAAAAAAATATTAAAATCTAACAAATATACCTTAACGATCAATTTTCAGTACGTTATTTTACACGTCCCGCCCGATGGACTCGACTTCAATCTCGACTTAGACCTCTGCTGAACACCGGATAAGTAAAAATAAAAAAATATTTTACGTCGAAACAAGCGCAGCCTAAAAGTTCTTAATTATAGATTTATAACGTAACATGGATCTATTTATATACATATAGCTAATACGTACTTTTGAGCTAGTTCAATTGTTGGATTGAATGTCTCTGTCATGTTAATTTCAAAAATAAAATTTTATATATATATATATATATATATATATATATATATATATCTTATTAGCACCGCCTTTGACCTAGAAGTTTATGTTAATATTTCACTAATCCAAAAACTTATTTCACTTACTTGATATTTGCATATATATATGACCTACAGGATAATTAAAGTACAAAGTCCATAGTTGCACTGATAAATGACAAGTTCAACTTCTACATTAATTATTGAAGCAGGTAGAAGTTTTTATTAAGGGAAAATTACATATAAATGGAGTTAAAGTTCCATATTTACTTAGAGACTGAGTCAAAGTTCCATATTTCTCTAAAATGGATTGCTGAGGTGGCACATGATTTTTTACTGTTTAAAAAATTATAGTGCCTAAAATGCCCTTCCCTAACAAAAAAGTAATACCTTCAGTTCAAAAAAGTAGTACCTTCAGTTCAAAAAAGTAATACCTTCGGAGAAAAAGTAGTACCTTCGCGGATGTTTAAAAAACATGGTACCTGGACGCCAAAAAGTAGTACCTTCAATTCAAAAAAGTAGTACCTTCGAAGAAAAAGTAGTACCTTCGCGGAAGGGTATTTTAGGCACCACAATTTCTAAACAGTAAAAAACTATGTGCCACCTCAACAATCCATTTTAGAGAAATATGAAACTTTGACTCAGCCTCTAAATAAATATGGAATTTTAACTCCATTTATATGTAATTTTTCCTTTTATTAATGGGTCACCTATATTTCTTCATATTTGTGCAAGATTTACTATATTCTCATGTGGTATGCGACACGATAGAGGTTCGTGCAGGTCAATGAGTTATTTTTCTTTCAATTTTCGTTGCAACAACTTCAATTTCAAGTACTTACAGCAATAAACATATATAATTAAATTAACATTCTAGCAACCACCAACTCTTTTTATTAGTAGTAATTAATTACCAATCATTGTCATAAACAGATTTGTTAACAAATACTCTATTAGACACGCCTTTTTGAGAATAAGGTTATCTTAAATTAAAAGACAAAATATTTTTTTTGAAGTGGATTTCTTAATAGTGATTTACTTGATGTATAAGTTTTGATGGATCGTATATGTAAAATATAAGGAAGTAAGATTTTTTATTTTTTTATATTCGATAAAGATGATAAATTAAAAGGTATAAGCCAAATAATTCACTTTTGAGCCCGGATAAAAAAAAAATTGTGTCCACCTTGGCTTGTATTAGGTCCGATAAACTTCATTTTTTTTGTTACTAAGTAATGTGATAATTTATGATTGAAATAAACATGAGTGATTTTATTATTTTATTATTGAAATAAACAAGAGAGATTTTATCTTTGATTGAAATAAACATGAGAGGTTGGTGCAGGTGAATGAGATTATATGATTTTTGTATTCTAATTGACAAACTGGTTGGGATTATCGTTAATCACGGTGAACTAAGCTAGAGTCAAACAAGGAGCGTTATAAAGACAGTTAATTAGATTCGGTTGAAGAAAAAAGAAAGGGTAGCCCAATAATAATCAAGTATGGTTAATTTCCAGCTGGTTCTCTGAACCTTCCTTCTTGTGTGGTCCCACTGTTGGAATTGGAGTTGGTCGCTGAATGCGCTATATTTTTGGCAGTGTGTGTTTGTGTGTGTCCAAATTAACACATTAATGGAGGGCGGTGGTTTATCTTGCTTCTTGTGACCTACTGGCGGCCATTCTATATGTGAACACAATTCTCATTGGGACCATTCAGAAATGCCTACAATGTATATGTGACTCCATGATTTCTCATTATGTTTCTTATATACAAGTCAAGTGATAGGAGAATGCGAACAAAACATATATACACACACACACACACACATACACATATATATATGCACACATACATAAAGGAACAAATATTGCGACTGGAAATGGTAGATAATTTTAGTAATGTTGCTCAAGTATAACCGACTAGTCCTGTCAATATTTATCACATATAAAGCTTGTTAAATTATAAGAAAACGTTGTTGAATGTGACCCATAAGGCTGAAAGTGTTAAACAATTAGTTTAAATATGTCAATGATTCCGTAATTCAATGGTTGGGTTGTTTTTCATTGTTTTTGAGAATTTGACGTTGAGCTTCTACACCTCTAATTTTTAATATTGTCTTTAAAAAATAAAAAAAAAAAAAACTAATTTAAATATAAATATTGTAAATTTAAATTTAAATTTAAATATTTAGTTGTTTTATACTTCTTGATCGTCTAGCATAACTTCAACTACATGCAAAGGTGAGTAGATTTATTTATTGTGTAAGCCAATAATGCCTTTTGTAGGAATAGTGATCGGGAATCTTAAAATTAACCTCTAATAAGTAGCAAATTTGACATATTTTTGGCCACCTTATCTATATAAATAGTTTTTAAAAAATAATTATTTAACAAATGACAAGTATATTTTTAATGTTTATTCTTTACTTTCTCTCTCTAAATTTCTATCGCTTCACTTCTCTCTTTAAAATTTTACTCATATTCATTTTCTTTCTCAGATGTGCTGCAACCCTCTAAAAATTAACCAACCCTCTAAAAATTAATGCATCTCTTTCTTTCTATGAAATTCTCTCTCAAATTTGAAATGAATTTCTATCTTCTCCATATCTTTGTTCTTCCTATCACCTGCCCATTTGTTTAATATCTCAAATACCTTTAAATTTGTTCCTACTTTACATGGCCACCATCTTGACCCATAACCATCATCATCTCTCTTCTACACATAAACCCAAATCTCTAAAATTCATCAAAATGGGCCTATTCATGTTACTGTAGTTTATTAACTAGGTCTTCTTAAAAGAAACAAAACAACAAAAAAAGAATAAGAAGATGAAAGATTTATCGGTGTAATAAGAACTTATGAATTGATATATGGTGACAAATTGACAATAGAAGAGACATGAGAGATTATTTTGAGAATGAGATTGATAAATTTGAGAAAGAGAAAATGAAAGGTACGTAATAAGTGTAAGCACAAAAACGAGAAAAAGATATCTGAATGTAAACAATAGAAACTAATGTGGCCAATCACGTCAAATTCGGTATTAATTTAGGAATTTCTTTTTGTTCTCCTATCATTACTCTTTTTGGGTAGTTATGCCCTAAGTCACACAGAACAGGAGCGAGAGCGAGAGCGTCAAAGTCTAAATTTTTTGAAAGCAAAATCGTTTTGAGAGCCTCTGTATATTATGTTTAAATAAAATTATATAAGGTCATGACATATATATTTTATATATTTTTTATTTATTTAAATCCATATGCAAATATATTTATTATGATTTATTCCATTAATGATATATATGTAATAAATATGTTAACTTTTCTCACTAATAGATGCATGGTTTATTTGTAATATTCTCCGATTAGGAAGTTTTTTAGTGTTATATTTCCAAACATATATAATTAGTATATATATATATATATATATATATATGGTAGTATAACAATGCTACATAGCTAGGGCACACATTGAGTTTAAGTAATTAATGTATATATTGAGTAATAGTGCAAGTAATAACTGCATATATGGTAGTATAGGTGTTCCATATCATTGGAACTGCAACAAATTTAACTATATAGAGTGAATTTGTATGAAAATCGCGAATTAGGAAAACAAATTCCTAATTAACATTGGCGTGTAGAACTTAAGAGCAAGATCACTTTGGACGAATTGTGTGACTAAGGTTATACCTTAATTAACATAACATAAATGGTGGTAAATGGCTTTCGCACTAATAGGGTAACAATAATGCAAGGATTTTTCACCTCACATATGCATGGTTACCGTACATGATACTATTCAGTGACTGAGCCAAAAAATAAGGTGAGATAGGGATAATAATAATTTTTTTTAATAATTTCAGGAGAACAATAATAATAATATTTATTGGAGTATAATTGAAAAAATCAAATTAACAAGGATATATAAAAAAAAAAAAAAAAAAAAAAAAAATAGGGGTTAATTGCCCCCACTGAACTACATGTAGCTCCGTCCGTGCTATTACTCATCACATAACCGTGCCTAATACAACAGGCAATCAAGGTCGGCTTGAGCCTTAGGCGAGTTAGGTGGTTGCCTAAGGCCCCAGCCAATAAGAAGGCCCCATAATTTTTTATTTCTTTATATATTATAACTTTCCTAAAACAATTATAATATTTCTTTTAATTATTAAACTTTAACGTATAGAGAAATTTGACAATTGGCTTAAAAGATTTCAATTATTATTATTATTTTTTTTTGAGGCCCCCAATTTTTTTTCCTTTATATATTATAACTTACTTTCTTATATTATTAAACCTCAACAAATACAAAATTTAATAGTGTGCTCAAAATATTTCTATCCTTGTATTATCTTCTTCTTCTTCTTCTTCTTCTTCTTTTTTTTTTTTTTTTTTTTTTTTTTTCTCATCCTCATTACATCAGCATGTATACACAGACATTAAAATTAAATATTATATATATATATATATATATATATATAAATATATATATATAAAAGTGAAAATTGGTGAAACTTTTTATATTTTTCTAAGACTCCTATTAATTTTTATTTTATTTTATTTTATTTTTTCTTATTCCTCACATATTTTTTCTCCTCTCTCATTATAAATTTTTTTTCTTCATCTTATCCGAAGTTACAATTTACAATTTCATAATCTCACTCCGTAAGAAGATTTTGAATACACTTATATTCTATTAAAGAATTTATTGGAGCATTAGACCAAATTATTCGAAACAGTTTTTATTATTCTATAACTTAAATTAGTTTATAGTTTTATTAATTTTTGTTATCATAAGATTATATATTTTGTTTATAATTTTTATTTATATTGTTAAATATGACTATTAGAAAGTACATAACCAATTAACTACTGATAGAATTAGAGTTTAAAAAAAATTTAATAATAGGTTTAAAAATAACTAAACAAATCATTAGTATATTAGTAACATAAATGTATAGATAGATTTAAGTAAAATACCACTTTTTTTTTGTGATTTAAGACCTCAAATTGTATTGAGCCGCCCCTAGAGGCAATCCAACTATTTTTAAGAAATATTTGAATATTAACATATGACGCGAGTACCCAATGTTGTAATAATTGTCTCCTAGTGCAAAGAATCACTTCTAAGAAAATTTTCGACAATTGACTAGAATAATTGATCACTTATACAAATATTTTAAAATATCTGTTTAACCATAATGTCAATGGTGAATAGGGACGGATCTATTGTATGCCCAATGGGGGCATTTGCCCCCACTGTTTTTTTTATAATTATTATTATATATATATTTTAATTACTATTATATCCTAATACTTTTAAGATTTTGATATATATATTTATAAAATTATATTATTACCCCCACTAAAATTTTAAAAATTCCGTCATTGCCCCCTTATTTATATTTCTAGATCCATCCCTGTGGTGAACAATGGAGGGTTCGTATGGCTGACGTTGCTATTGTGGAGGGAGGGGAATTTTTAGTTTATTTATTTATTTTTGACCCCTTCACTCTCGCGCATAAATAAGGACATTAAGATGCAACTTGTGAATGATTAAGGATTAAGTTATTAGATTGGAGTGGGGATAGCAAAAACATTGCCGACGACAACTAATTAATAATATTTATGGCCGGTTGCTCGCCGTCTTCTTGGTGGGTTACACATCAAAATTTAGAAAAATATTAAATGAAGACGAAGTTTGTACGTCACTAAGCAAATACACTAGTATCGGCCGCGTATGCATGCGCTGGCACAATTATAAAAAATGATATAGAAATATAAATCGATTCCTTCATCATTGTTGATTATAGTACTCCATTACTGATGCGTTTGTGTGTAGAGATGTTATTTTGTTTTGGACCTCTTTTTTCTTTTTTATTTTTTATTTTTTATTTTTTTCCCGTACAGATGCGAGTTTCAAATCTAGCTATGGGTCTACTTCATAAATCATAATTACCAAAAAATAAAATATAAATTAAATTAAATTAAATTGTACAGTAATTACTATGTACTTAATGCTTAATAGTCATGTTAGCGAAATGCGTGAATGATGGTGGAGGCACTTTCCCAATTGAGGCGGAGTCCTCATTCTTCCTCCATCCCCCTCCTCTTGCTGCATAAAAAAATAAAAAAATGCGACAAGAAGAGCAAAAGTGCAACCGTTGCACATTTGAATAAAGGCCCAGAGAGCAACGAATATAGTCAAAACATTTAGACCACAATCTAGGAGAGACAAGAGTGTCCAAACTATAAGGAATTGAGTAGTTGTTTCATTGAAAACCAAAATCTGTATCAAACACCAGTATACACAAGAATTACATCAAACAAACGAGAGAAACAAATCCAACCCATAGAACAAAAACCATGGAAATGACACGATACACATACATGTGGGTTTGGAACAAACAAGTCTCAGTTCTCAAACATCTAGCTAAATTTTTTGACATATATATATATATTATGTTACCTAGTATCACACCAATAAAAGGCCTAAAATAACAAATTAGAGAAAAAAGAAGCAGCATGCACAAAATGAAACCATCCCATCAATTGTGGATTAATTTCACATCTATGCAGCATATCCCGATGGATCCAAGAAGATATCACACAGTACTATGACCTCCTACGCTTACCTGATTTGGCGGGTTTTTTTTGTTGAGCCACTGGTTTTCCAAACATGCCACCACAACAGCCAGAGACTTTAGGAGAAGGTGGGTCTATTAATTTGGGTTCAACCTTCACCGTCCGATATGATTGTTGTTCTCGAGATTCAACCTTCCCTCCTCCTCCTCCTCCTCCTTCTTCTTTCCCCTTTTCTTGCTTCAATTCTCCAGATATCAACTTGTCATCCCATACCAGTCCTGATGATCCTGATCTTCTAAATGATATTTCTGACCTTTGCAATCCAGCCATCTCTCTCTCTCTCTCCTGATATGATCTAGGGTACCCCTCTCTCTCTCTCTCTCTCTCTCTCCGGCTATGCTGTGATGAGAAATTTGAGTCCAACCATGTGAGTTTTGGAGTTTTACAAGTACATTTAAAGAGAGGGACAGAAGAAAATGACAATTGAAGAACAAGAACAGATGAGGTCAAAATATGGCATCTAAATGTCAAATTACATATTTCTCCCTTGAGATTTATTAACTTAATAATAGTCTCCCCCCTCACTCTCAAAATTGTCACTTGACCACGACCATAATTAATGTTGTCCACCTATATCTATATTACCCACAGCTGAAATTAATGCCTTCATTCTATAATACTCGAGGCTGACTCAATAATAGGGGATTATACAATTTTCTAAGTGAGAAGACTTTTTTAAATAATTAATTTATGGAAAATAATAGTATTATTTATGAAGTTATGAATAATTTCTCTCTCTCTCTCTTCTTTTTTTTTTTCCCTCCGGATAATGGCTGAATAAATTAATTTTTATAACAGGATATAATTTTTGAAATCTTATCTGTCATAACAAATGTAAAAATTTATTTGTTATAACAAATTTTAAAATTTAAGGTTTTTCCGTACTATCAAACATAATAAACATCAACCTACCATCATTTAAATATATATATATATATATATATACAATTCACTAATTACTACGTAAATATTTAAAATTAAAGAGAGAGTAAAAAGACGTCTTCCATCTACCTTCCAAGGAAGCAAATGTGGATAACTAATAGGTAGATGTCAATTACCCCACTAAATGCTAAGCCGATCTAGTGGGATCCAAATATGTCATACATATCAAATATATATATACACACCTATATATTATAGCAGTCACCTTTGAATAATCAAAAGAAAGAAAGCAACTAGGAAGGAAGAAATCAAACTAATATGATTATACCTAACAAATGATTGATTGCTCTTCCGTTTTCTTCCTAAACTCTTGCTAGTCAATTATAATGTCTAGCTGGTGTTTTAGGTTTGATTAATCCTTTATCTATTAGCTAAACTTGTTTGACTTAGTCATGGTAAATACAAAGCTACCAATATACAGTCGAGACATGATGTAGTATCAACATATAAATGTGTGCTAAATGTGATTGTTTTATCGTCGACACCACAACATAGAAAACCCTGTGCGTACACTTGGACAAGAAGACAGCAACATGAGAATGAATAAAAATGAGCTCCCAGCAATGGAGCATTGAAATTTACACTATTTGTGACAAGTTTGCACAAGTGCTGTATTGCAAGGGACAAATCACAATACACATAATCACATATTATGTATACATATGAGCCATCCGATTAGATGCGGTGCCTAACACGAATATGACACTAAAGTAATAATTGCATGAATCTATTTTAGGACCTGTTCAAACAACAAATATCACAGATGAATCACATGAATTGATGCGAGGTCATGGATTCCTTTGAAAATGTCATCAAACCATAGATTGAATTGTCCAGACAGTGCAAGATGAAAGACTTCCCAACAAAATTCAAACAGACAAAATAAACCCATTAAGTTTAATTCAACTCTAAAATTAAATTAATAGCACATACCGACAAATGGAGCTGGTGGAGGAAAACATTAACCAACAAAATACCACCTCCAACAACATATCAAATCTGGTGGGAAGACGATATATGTAGTAATCATCTTTGACAAGTAAGAAAATTACATACATTTCAACATGATAGTCTTTGGAAGAAAACCGTACATACACACACCACAACAAAAAGCACCTGATTTACTTTGATTTTTCAGAGACAACAAACACCTCTCTCTCTCTCTCTCTCTCTCTCTCTCTCTCTCTCTCTATATATATATATATATATATATATAACTATATATAAATAGTTAAATAGACACACACATATGACACCAACAGATGATTGATGATAGGGAAACAAAAAAGAAAGAAATACTACCAGGCAAATATTTTCTCAACTTTTTCAATTCATGAGAGTTAAAACAGCAATCACTGCTGAGCAAAAAAAACCATCTCAAAAGATCCATCAATAGCAGTTTCGCATGGTTTTTCAATACATATGCACCAACCGGAACATAAATTTTCATGACAAGCTCTACACAGCGAGACAAGCTCAATGGCTCCATAACCATGGCAATGATATCAAGTCCCAAAAAATCTAGATATGCAGAAGACAATTACTAGCCTATTATAGTTTAAGCTTATTGTGTAAGGAGAGTGTTTAGGAGCAACTGGAAATAGCTTGAAAAAATCCAGGATGCTGGTGACCTTCTCAAGGTGACAAGGCCCTCATGTTTTGTAACTAGTAACAAGAAGCGAAGTTGTCTTCTGTATTAATAGAAAATGGCCAGATCCCAGCATACAAGAACACAAAAGATCACAAGAGTTGGTTCTTAAACCATTCGTCGTCATTATCTTTTTCGGCAAAACTTGTTCTCGTTTTTGGCTACATCGTCATAATTCTGTTTAGGCTCAAGTCTAAGTTTTCCAGATACTGTCATTATTACTCCACTACTGAACCCACTCCCCTTTTGTCCTTGAGAATTTCACTCAGAGGTTTAGGACCCTGAAAGTTTTCTAATGTAGTTCTGCTTGAATCCCCCATTTCCCTGTAGGAATACGCATTTTCTCTGGCTTTCTTCTTCTCTTCTTTGATTTCAGCAAGGGTCTTAGGCCCTTCAAACACACCAGATTCCTTGATAGATCTTCTCTTCTTTAAAGGCTGCTTCCTTGAGGCTTCGGATGAAAGAAACTGCTGTTCAGCCTTCCTCTTTTCTTTAGAGCGCTGCCTAGACTTGTTAATACGAGTCTCCCTAAACCTGCCTTGCTTGTCAACACCATTCAACAGGATTTCACTCCTAACATGTGATCTAATTATTCTGTTTTCTGCTTCTAATGCCAATCTTCCATGCAGTCGTTGTGCACGTTGCCGTCGACCTTCCCTGCTTCGACCAGTCAGTCGAGTTGAGTCATGCCTCCTTGAGAGATCAGTCACTAGATGACCATCAATCATTCTGCGTTTCTTAAGATGGTCTCGAAGATCCATGTCCCTCTGGCTGTTAGTGGCCAAATCTGTAGGAAAAAATTTCCTCCTACCAGGCAAAATAGGATCCAACATTCTTTCCCCTGAGCGCCTAGGAATTTTGCAGACATAACCATAAGTATTCTCATCATCTAAGTGGCCATAAGTATCACATATATCTCGTTCAAACAAAGTTCCTGCATCTAGGTAAGCAGGATCATACTCAACATGGTCTTCATAATCAAACCCGGGGAAATGACTACTGAGCTCCCTGTCTTCCTCATCAAGGGCCACGATGTACTCCAGATCATCTTCATAACCTAGGTTCTCCGATTTATTATTTACAAGAACATCAAAACCCGGGGAAGATTCTAACCACTCCTCTCGCTCAATAAGGTCATCCATTTGCTCCTCTGAGCTCTGATCCATGAATATAGGAGATTTGTCCTTAACAAAACCTTCTGCTGGAAGCAAGGAGTCTGAACTAACTGCTGCAGCTTCTTCATACTCAGAGGCTGATACATGTGGGGAAGCACTTCTATCCGTGACAAATTCAGCAGCTGATTCATGGAGATCCTCTGTAGGCTTAATCTGTATTTCTGCTACTCTCTTGGGAGCAGTTTCACACGAATTAGGATGTGTCTCTATTGGTGCTGACCCTGTGTCACTTCCAGCAAGTGTCTTATTTTCCAATGGAAGTGCATTGGTGACTGCGGAACCCGTCTTTAAGGATTTCAAAGCAGATGTTCCATCATCAGGCCCATGTAGAAAAGAGCATCTGTCACCTTTATTACAAAACCCATTGAAGAAAAAGTAACAGGGAACATTGGTCTTGTTCACAGGTACGGAACACTCGTGCTGTGGTTGTGCAGTTTCAGAAGATGCCTCAGTACACCCATCCAGTGGCTGTGGAAGAAACAAACATAAGATCAGGTGGGGAATTCAGCATCATGAACACAAACAGTAATATATATGTTTAATCCACAGCAAGAAAATCATTGGCTATTAAAAGTTTCAAGACAGTAAAATCAGAGATGCACCTAAAAAACCATAGAAACATTGACACTGCTTTAGAAGGTATTTAATGCCTAAACAACTACTGACCCAAGATTTCAAGACATTTACTGGCCAAGCTAAAAATGTAATTAAGACCATTCAAAATCATGGATTCTGGTTAACATTCAACAAGCAAGAACCAATTCCTTGCTTCTCCATTTTCTTCTCCATCATTCTATTTTCTCCTGTCCTTACAATAAACTTTTAGGGCGATTTTCGATTAATCTAAGTGATGATATCAGACAAACGTATCTTCCCAACATTTCCAATTCTATTTGCCAAAAACCATTGTTTTCTGCCGTCTCCAAAATTCACTGCAACACCCAAAAAAACTCAAGGTAGGTCATACATACTTCTAGAGTGAATTGGAAACACATAAATAACCTAATATGTAATGAACCATGGTCCCCAAAATATACATAATACATTTGCCCTACAATAAAAAATTGAAGTAGAACACAAGGCTTCAAGACACATGGTGATCACATCCTACTTTACTAAAATAGTGCTAGTCTCCATCTTCATCTATGCATTTTAATAGATTCATCCAACACTTCTTGGTTAGTGGTCATGAAGTCAAGGATTCCATTTCCAACAATCAAAGCTTTTACTGTTGCCAAGCTGGAGTTAAACCCATGACTATAAATATCCTGTACAGTATCACTGGTTTATTAAGCTAATATACCAAAAAGATCTATTATTATTGGAATTCACTGACTTCACTTCACCTATATAAGGTTGTCTATTAGAAGGGTATGTTTCCCGCTTTGAAGTATACTGAGAACTGTTCAGGCTGCTTTCTACTTCATGGAGGACTCCATTCATTGTGCCAAGTAGTGCATGTTGCTGGCAGACAGACCTATTCCTGATCAGGTTAATCTGGGTACAGTCCAAATTTTGGGTTCAAAGAATCCAGGTTGTCTGAACCATATACATTTACCGCTATTACTCCCCCTGTCCCATGTTAGTAGTCCATCTTTCCATTTTTACCTGCCCATTATATATAATACTGATTTATATCTCCAAGTAATATAATTCAATGCAATTCCAACAAGCCAAGTGTTACGAGGGGTACTTGTCTCACATTGGATCCGGATAGAAAGTGAAAGGGGTATAAATGGGTGAGTATGCATCACTCCCCAATAGCTTAAGCTTTTGAGTAAATGGACAAGCGTCCACCCGTTATAGTTGGTATCAGAGCCAGACCCAGTCCTTTAATCGGTGCCACGCCAAACGCCCGGCCCAGAAGACGTCTGCGTGAGCCACCCGGGTAGGTAGGGTGGCCCACCGCAATGAGGGCGTAGTGAGTTCGGGTGGGAGAGAATGTTACAAAGGGTACTTGTCCCACATTGGATCCGGATGGAAAGTGAAAGGGGTATAAATGGGTGGGTATGCAGCACTACCTAATAGCTTAAGCTTTTAGGTAAATTGGCAAATGCCCACCCGTTACAGGTTAGTTTCAGATTGATTAAATCCGGTCAATTGATAGTTTCAGATTGATTAAATCCGGTCAATTGATGTTTGTCAGACGTTCTTCTACCCAGGTTCATGCAAGTAAATGATCCAATATTAACACCGCCATCCTCTACTTTTAATTAGATGGCCAAACAGTCCACCTCCTACCGTCCAAAAAGGTAAAGGAAGAACATAATTGACAACTAAAGGATTTCAACTCTCATTAAATTTCCTACATACTATTATGCAAGTAAGGGAGCCTTTTAGGTGTGCAAGTCTGTGTGCGCACACATAGAAATATTTGATAAGTAGTGTTATTTGATTAGTGTTTTTCATTCACTTATCAAACAACAGGATCCCAAGATCCATATAGTGCAAAACTGAATTTTACAAAAATATTATTCTCAGGGTGTTAATGTCTTCGCCCAGAGATATGATCAACCAACAAATCAGGATATGAAACTAGCTAATGATGCATTGCCATTTAAAACGTACAATAATTTGATAAGTAGTGTTTTTCATTTACATTTCAAACAACAGGTTCCCAAGATCCATATAGTGTAAAACCGAAATTTTCAAAAATATTATTCTCATGGTGTTAATATCTTCATCCAAAGAAATGATCAACCAACAAATCAGGATATGAAACTAGCCAAATGGTGCATTGACATTTAAAACATAGAAATATTTAATAAGTAGATTTTTTCATTTACATATCGAACAACAAGATCCCAAGATCCATAAAATGCAGAACAGAATTTTACAAAAATAATATTCTCGGGTTGTTAATATCTTCATCCAAAGAAATGATCAACCGACAAATCAGGATATGAAACTAGCTAATGGTGCATTGCAATTTAAACGTTACACATGTTATGGCAAACCAAATAACAAGATATCCATATTAAATTTCAACCAAGGTATATTGATCTTAAAAGCAATGGCAGCTTACAGGATGACGAAAAGCACAAGTTGGATTGAGACAGCTCCCAGCCAACCAGTACCAGCAATCCCTTGGGTTGAGCCTCACAATCTCACTGTGCCGATACTCACATTCAAGCCCCTGAAAAAGGAAAATAACCATTATCACCTGCAGGCTGCAGCCCTGCTAGCCTCTCTAGATAAGTAGATACCTAATTATTCAATTTAAAAGAAAAATATGCCAAATAGAACATGTGCAACAGCATGACCAATACTTGAACCTTACACCTCCCCTCTTCGGGAGTGGCAAGAGATACAACTCAATCTAAGCTAGGAGGCATGGACACTCCATAAGGGATTGTCGTGGCTGTATTAGACATGTTTCCGACACGGATACACCCGGACAGTCCGATACAAGAAGCCTCCTGATCTTTAAAATCTACATGTGTGTGTGTGTGTATATATATATATATTCAAACTGGATATGGCTGTTGTAAGGATTTGGGAGGTAAACAAAGAGAAGAATAAGAGGACGAGGAGGAAAAGGAGAAGGAAAAGAAGAAAAAAGGAGGAAAAAACTTCACCACAACTCTGTTGACCAGATATTTATAATGTTTCAGCCTTCTAATTTCTAGAGTTAGGATTTTCCATCATCTTCTCTTTCTTTTCTCATCCCTACTCAGGTAAGGGTTAGACTTTTCTTTTTGTTTTTTTTTTCTAATTTCTAGATTGCTGCTTGATACATATGAGAGCTTAATATTTTCTTCCTTTTATTATTATTTTTTTCTTTCTGTTTTTTGCTTCCTATAAAATATATGCTGTATAATATGCTACTAGAGTGATGTGAAAATGCTGTCCAGAGGTATTGCTCTCCATTCTTGTCCTCTGTCCACTGTCCTCTGGTAATTTCTCTTCTTTTTTTTTCTTTTTTTTTTTTTTTTTCTTTTTTTTTTTTTTTCCCCATGCTTGCTGCTACTCAGCTAGATCGCACAAAATTGTCTAAACAACAACCCTTTTCCTTTTGATTCTCCAAGATTCAAGAATGTCTTTTGATGTCGTATTATTACATTCAATGCATTAACTACTACAAAAGTTGTCTTCGAAATTTCATGCTCTGCTTTCATCATCTAAATTCTAATCACTTTTCCCTTTCTAAAATGTCTTTTAGGATACACAATAAATGAGTCCATCTATGAGGTCAAGCTCTCATCTGGTGTAACCTTAAAATCTTGGCACATTAGTTTATCAGTTCTTCTATTTAAAACAAAATTCTAACTGACCCCATTTGATCCAATTTTAAAGGATATAAAACATAAATCTCTTTTAGCCCAAAATATGTATCACTATCACAAGATCATAGCCCACTGAAGTCCAGGATAGTGTCCCCATTGTCATTACTATCTCTGTCCACCATGCACCATGTCATACCCTCTCCGATCTTTTCCTATGTCCTACTAAAAGCCGTCTCCTATAACGATTTTCCCTTCGTATGGCATACCTTAAATAAATTCATCCACATTTCCTGAAATTGCAATTTATCAGTGTTCATCTATTTCCATTTGGACTTGGATGCATTAACACTAATTATAATAAATATATTTCTCGCATTATGAATTGTGAATCTTGGGAAAAAAAAAAAAAAAAAAACCTAAGGAGACATGGACGCAAATGATTTTCATGTTTTGCTCCAAACATAAACCCTATAATATTAACACTACTGTGATGCCCGAGTATGCCATTTTATATTGTGTGATAAAAACCCTAGATCACTGCTGATTGAAAAGGCGCTATGAACCAAAAGATAGTTTCAATGAAGGATCAACACAATCGAAGAATGAATACAAACTCGAATCATGAAGCAAAAATACACAAACTCGAAATTGCAAATAAGAAAGAATTTGAAGAAGCACTGGAAATATATATGTGTGTGTGTGTGTGTGTGTGTGTGTGTGTGTGTGAGACGAACCTTCTTGCAGGTGAGAGGAGAAGCGAGGAAGTAGACGCAGTCGGTGTTTCTTTTCTGTAATTCTTCGTCCATTTCTGAAGGAAGAGAGACGTGTTGGTGTGTATATTATAACCACTGCATTTCTGTTTGTAGAGAGAAAGAGAAGGAGAGAGAAATTATGAAGAACGCATCACATCACATGAGTTGTTCCAATTTGAAGACATGCTGTAGAGATCGTATCATCCTCAACTATACACACACAGCGACACACAGCGATTTGTTTCTTTGGGTTTTCTTGGCGTTCACGGGGTTTTGAAATTGGGTTTCTGACTCAATATTTATTTTATTTACAGAGGTTATTTTCTTTTCCTTTTTTGTTAAATTTTTATTTTATTTATGAAGCACTCGATAATTCAATACTCCGACACTTGCAGCGTTATAGCATTTATCCAAAAAAAAAAATTGTATTATTGTTCTGAAGTGATAAAATGACATAAATGTTCTTACAAAATAAAAATAAATTGGTCTTACAAAATATAAATGAAAAATATATATTTGAAATAACAAAATTATTTGAAAATGGAGGTAAATGCTTAAAATGTAGCATTAAAAGGACATTTTGTCATGTCAGTTGCATGACTATTTTTATTTACTTTTTTTTTTTTTTTTTTTTTTTTGAATTTTTTATAAAAGTAAAGAAAAGGGTGGGGAACTATTTGCGTGATTCTACCAAATACTAAAAATAACAATAATAATAAAATAAAATATAAATAAATAAATAAAACTATATATACGTTATTGCCCAATAACCGTATTAGAATTTGCGAAAAGCTTCGGGAGGGATTTGTTTGGAATTTTCAATCAATTGCGAATTATAATATCCCTGATTGTAAATTGAAAAGATTAATCAATAAACCTTTATTGGACATAACAAGATTTCAAAATACTGAACTTTTAATATTACTAGCAGATGCTTAAAGAATTAGCCAATAACCATTATTTTTCTTTTCAACAAGACCATTTAATTTTCTGCAGCTCCTGGAGGCTTTTTGCTCAAAACACCCAACAATCTCTTGCTTCTACCATTTGACCATTATATCCAATATGTAGAGAGGAGTACATTGGATGGAATAATTTATTAGATGTATTACCACATCTTAAAGCCTTAACAAAGATCTTCAGAAGCATACATTCATCAGACAAGGGCTCTCACAAAATACATTTTTTGTCAACTGTCACCTGGAATTGGAAATCATTTTTAAGCCCATTCACTCTCTTGGTGTTTTTTTTTTGAGTTCTACCTGTAATTGTTCCTTCGAAAATTATTTTATTACAAAAATTTGATTTGACATAGAATATGGACGTTGAACTGCCTCGCTCCATTAAAATTTGTAAACCATTTCCTCTGTAAATCCGAGATCTTTGAGTATGCCAGTGAGCTGCAACAAAACAAATAAGAGAGGATGAAACATGTTTGTCATCATCAACATCAGCAAGAAAAGTGCAGAATGACTGCCATTTCATACCTCGCCTTGTGAGTAGTCTTTGGCCTTGTCACCGGATATATATTTCATCATTCCAGGGGGACCGCATACCTGGACAAGTAATAGAAAGTAATTCAAGTTACCAGGACAGATTATGATGATAATCTCCTAGCCTCTGCTCCAACTACAGGAAGCTTTTTAATATTTGAAATTTTGAACACAAACTTATACCGTATGCGGGATTGTGGAGTACATGGAGACTCTGATGCAGTCAACTTCCAAGGACTATATATTTTTCAGTTACTATTTTTTAAGCGATTCCTTTTTCTTTCTTCTATAAGTTCTGTTTCTGTTAAGGACTCTTTGGTTGTGAAAACTTTTCAAATTAAACGAGCAAGTTAGAGTTTGAACTGTGCATACCAATTATTAGGTAAGCGTTCATTGTGCAATATTCCTCTCTCTCTCTCTACGTATACATACATATATATATATATATATATATATATATATATATATATATGTATATATATTTTAATTTAACTTTTTTAACACCTTGTTAAATTTATGCATCTTAAAATTGCACAAGTAGTTCAAACGCAGAATAAAGGAACCTCCAAGACTGCTTGTTTCAGACAATTTCGACATTTACCTTTTTCTTATTCTCCTCCTCATCTGATTTAGTGCTTGAGACTAATGCTCCAGTGGGCACACAGGATGAAAAAAATGATAAGAAAGACAAGGTCCGATAATTTGCCGAATGCTTTCTCGGTATAATGTATGGAAGGTAAAGGTAAGAAATGAGATTACTTCCCTTTATCTGGATAGGGAAGAAAAGAATGACAGATGCAGGCTGTTCTTCAATTACACTCGCATGTTATATGTCACAATGAGGGTGGTATTGTTGGAGGACAAAAAATATAAAACCAACCCCCATCCCCCTCCCTCCAAAGAAAACAAAAAAAAATTCTTTCTTTAACTCATCCATCATTTTGGAGTGGATTGGTTTTGGCGGGCTTAAAGGCATTCCCTCCCCTTTCAACTTCCCACCCCTCTTAGTTTGTCCTACCAAACAAAGGATTAAGTTGATATATCAAATCCAAATCATACACGGAAATACATGCAATGTTCGGATATTAAGAAACTTAATGGATAAACAGCAGTTTGCTTCATGCATAAGATAATGCCCTGTTTGATACAATTCCATCAAGGGGATCCATTAAAAACCATGTTTTGAAACTTGGTAACCTGTAATCCTAGAAGTTTAGTCAGACAGGATCCAATAAGTGAATTGGTTGGACTGTGAACCGGCCCCTTAAGTGACTGTGCCTACTTCATAACATTGTTATTAACAGATATGGAGAGTGCACCAAAATGTAGGCAGTTACAAAGCATATTTTCAACATAAAGAAGGGCACAACAAACCAGAGTAAATTCATTTTTCTTTTCTGTTTTTATATTATATTTTTATTTTTTATTTTCTAAATTTGAATTGTTAGACTTGATGGGGAAATTATGTAGAATATGGGTTATTCATGGCATATGTAAGTTGATGTCATATTTTGATGAACTAGCTAAAACTTAAGACAGTTGAGATGAAGTTGTAAGACTTACGAGGATAAGAGTATCATCACTAGGACCAGGTAAGCCTTTCACGGCCATATCCTTTGAGATGAAACCTGTACCTCCCCTCCAATCCTTCGATGGGTTATCTACAGTGTAGAATACCTGGAATTTTCATCAGAATATAGGACTCAGTTCAGAAGAATGATTTCAGGACATAAAACTAAATGTTTTCCTACCGAACAGCCAATACCTTTAAATTTGGGTGGCTAGCTGCAAGAGCGTCAAGTTTCTGTTTAAGCAGTATGTCATCTGGGGATACATTAGCATAGAGCAATGAGACCTGAAAGGCATGTGGTCAAAATCAAACTGTCATTACAAATAATATGATCTGATGAGAATGTAAACATCGGGAATGAATTGGAAGAACATGGTCTACAAACTACAAATATGTACCTCTTAGTCACATCACTTGCGCATATATGACCAAACGTCCTAATAGTTTTTCATTTATTGATGGCCATACATGCCATCACTAAATGGAAATATTAAAGCAATTGATTTACGTCTTTGAATAACGATAAAAGCTCAGGCTGTCAAGAATTTAAAACATGTTTCAAATCTTTGGGAAGTCAATAATGATGACGGATATGCCTATAACCAGTATGGTGTACTGTTACCCCTCTTAACAAGCCCACAAGGCAGGATCAGCGCTTAAAAGGCTGCCTTTTTTTACTGATATTCTTAACTGTGTTCAAACCAAATGCATATTTAGTCTAGTAATGACACGGTAAAATTGGCCTGTGAAACCTTCAAATTTAGGGAAAGATACTCATTGGAAAATACTTATGTATTGAAAGATAACTAGACAATAGGTTTACCTGGGTGTTGTCGTCAGGATTCTTTAGAATATAATCAATTATCTGAAGCATTGGAGTAATGCCCGAGCCACCTGCAATCTATATGAAAAAGAAATATAGACTTCGGACAAAAGGGATAATGCATATCCATGAAACTTATTATTAGATATAATCATACACTCTTAATCAATCTACACAGCGATTAAAGATAGAACAATCAACTGAAAATAGAAAGCAAAAGTATAAGAACCAGATTAACAACAGTGAGCAAGCAACATGAAATTGATTTGATCACCAAGAATTTCCTATAAACTTCATTAATAGTACTTCACTCTTCCAACTAGCATCCTTTAGTTATAGGGCAGGGACGAGAGGCCACCTTGGACCAAAAAAGTTCCTGTGTATTTCTACAAATTTTCAACATCAATATAGATATATCTCTTCCTTAACCTCCCTCTATAAAGCATGAAATCTACCAAAAACAACGTACTTTATTACTAGATATACTTTCATCACAAGATTAATTTATCTAAATATATTCATTTGGAATTGAATTAAGAAGAACTCTTAATCTAAAAGGCTTGTTCTTTCAGAAATTCAAGATTCTCCTCGAAAATAAAACTAAAATCCTTTGATCACATTTAGGATGCATGGATGTATAAGAATGACCTCTTCAAATCAACCCATTTGCGCTTTTTTTTTTTTTCTTTTTTTTTTTAGTCCGTATTCCTAGTTAAAACTTAAAAGCAATTTTGTATTTCTTTTTCCTTTTTCTTGTATTCCTCTGGCTCTGTAAGTTCAATTAAATTATTTCTAGATACCCCGACCTTACCATGCCAATATGTTTCTTCATATTGGGAGAATATCTGAGCTTTTCAATAGGCCTGCATAAAATAAAATGAATGCAATGAGGTTGATCAGTAAAATAGAATCCAATTATAGAAAAGTTCTAAGGTAAATAGTTGGCCAATGATTGCTTGTGTAATAATTTACCCTTTCACTTCTAATACATCGCCTGGTTTTAAGCTTGCAAAATGCTGACTCATCTTCCCTTCTGGATACACCTGAACATTTTATAAAGCGCAGAGACAATTACAATTTGTAAGAGTAGCAATAAATCCCCAAGGCAAGGGTATCTCCATAAAAGAGTAACCCGAATAAAGGAAAAAGAAACAAAATTGATGAAAATAAGCAGACCAGTAGGAAAAGGCAAACCTTAATTAATAAATCAAAGAATCCCTTAGAATCTGGATCTGATATAGGAGTATACCTATACAAATAACATATTTCAGAATGATTTCTGCAAGCTGACTATTTCAAAAAAAAAAAGGTGCAATTAAAGATCTGGCCATTGATGCAGCATCAATTTTTTTTTTTTTAATCACATTCTACATAAGCTTCAACGGGGAAATGCTCTAAGTTGTCTCTTCTCACTCATGATGAAATGATTGGAGTTTAAATCTTCGTACTTTTAGATATTGAAGTTGTATGGATGCAATCTAGGGACTTATATTATTACCATGTTAAACAGGGTTAAGTTTATATAATAATCATGTGGTTTTTTAGGAATTTATAAGGCCTACAAAAAGGCACCTTAGGGGGAAGATGTGGTAACTTCAATGATGGATCAATATTACTGAATAGTTGATAAGCTTTGCCTATCTCTTGCTTCCTCTCTGTCTCTTTCCTACCCCCCTCTTCTTTCATACTCTACTATTGACATTAAGTGGCCTTAAGTCGCATTTGTCCCCTTCAACTCTTACCATCCTTCTCTTCTTCCTCTCTCCCTTTTGATTTGTAAAATGAAAGGCTTGGAAGATGTGAAGCGTGTTCCCAAACTTATCTTCTTTCTTCTATCTTCTATCTATTTCTCACGTGTTTTCTCTCTTTTCTTAAAATTTAAAAGATTAAATAAAATCAGCATCATAATCAGCCATCATCTTTTCAAATAAATTCATCTGAAACCACCACTTCATAAACACTACAAAATTCCCATTACTACCTAAATAATTTATTACTTGGAATTCATGAATGGGTAAAGGTTTTTCTTCTTCTTTTACTTTTTTATTTTTTATTTTGGGATCAATCGCAAAGGCTTTATTTAAGAAAAGAGTGCTTATATATTATTAAAAACATATGTACGTATGAAGTGCTCTATTCCAACCTTTTTCATTTAAAAATATCCAAAATATTAATTGACTTAAAAGACTTCAAGAAGACAAAGAAAGGAAAAAATTTTAAATGGCTAACATTAAGAACATCAGGAACAATTCAACTTAATCGTTGCTAGGCTTAACAATGACCATATCTTAGTGAATTAGATCATGGAAGTTTAGCCCGCTAAAATGTGAATTTCAAAGGGTACTGAAATGTGTTCAATTGAAGAATTGTATATTACAAATATAAAATATTCAGTCTTATAAAAGTCAACTGAGACTATCCACAAATCGATAGAATAAGAAAACAAAAACCCTCGAATTTATTTTTAAAAGTTACCAACCCAAGAGCACGTTTAAAGAAAAATAATAATACTTCAAGTCAAGCATGTCAGGACCTATAGGACAGGACTTACGGGCGAATGACATATTTTGGTTTTCCTTCAGGATCTTGTCCTAATGGAGCCCTGCAATAACAATAATGTGTCAAGGTGATGGCCGTATTGGTATCATATCCAGTGACATCAACATGAAAGTTCATCCTAATCCCAAAAGTTCAAATTTCTTTAAAAAATAATAAATATAAGTGGACGTACCTTGTAATGATGCACGAGGCAACATCAAGACCCAGCTTGGCCTCAGGATCAAATGAGAACCTGCCATTTTGTAAAGAAGGAAAACAGTTACACAGCCAAGTTGATCATATGACATGACAAGGGACTAACTAATATCACCAATTTGACATTACGAACTCAACCATTTGTGAATGTAATTCATGTGAGTTAGTATAACCACTTGTTTGTATCACAGTATTTTTTAAAATCTGTACACACTCCAGTTTTTAGTGGTAATTTATCAACCTTTACTTCTTCTTCTTTTCCCTCCTGCACTCAACAATGTCTTCCTTAAAAAATTTCTGGCATTACGTGTCTTATTTGTTTGATCATCTAAGTACACATATACAGGGTATCCATTTCTCACCTTTTCAGGCATTTCTCATTAATTGATTATACGAAATGATACATAGACAGCCAAGCCATATGCAATAGTTTTCCATTTTTTGGGGAAAGAAAATAGTATACATCCAGGTTTAACTTATTAAAAAAACACAGCCAGGTTGATTAGACATACTGCTATCGCTTGTTTGCCATTTGAATCTAACCATGGTTGTTAAAATCCTGATCTGGATCATAGGATCTTACGATCCTACAATTCCAAATTGCAAAATTGATCCAGATCGCATGGAGAATAGCTTGGAAGCAGCCTGCAGGATCACAGTAGGATCATAGAATCTTGTAGGATTGATCCTACTAAGTTGTGTTGTTTTGCTCTTTTTTCTGGATTTATTTGGACCTACAAATCATTCTTGGAAAAGAAATTTAAGGTTTTTAAGTATAAATTCCAACTCTTTAGCCTAATTGCATTTAAAAATAATAATAACAAGAACATAAAGTGGAAACCCAGCTTCAAAGGTAAACACGATCCAGCTCTAAACTTCAAAGGTATGACTCAAAACTTCAAAATTTTCCTCTAGTTTGCTATACTTTTCTTGATTTTTATTTTTTTAAATCTTCTCAATATCCCCGCCTATTATATGCCCATTCTGGACAAAAAAGAGAGACGTAGTTTTGGATTTGTATAATATGTGTTGTGTATAATACGTGATACATACGGTTCGAGTAAAAACTATGCATGTTCTACAGCTTGTTTGGGACCTTTGGGTTTCGTACAGTATATGCGATTTTTAAAAATTTATTTATTTCTATTTTACATACAATTACTAACCATGAACATGGCTTACAATATGACGACAAGTTGATCGATTAGTTTGCAAGTAATATGAATCTGAAAGAAATAATTAAGGGAAGAGGATAACCTGAATAGCTGAGTATTGTGGCTGGCCTTTGCAGTATCTTGCAACTTAAATTCAATCCACTTATCTGGATTAAGCGCTGAAAATACACAGTGGCTACTTTAAAACATTCAGCACCATGTCTAGTTTTACATATATAATATACAATATAAATAAACCAATTACATGAAACCAATAGAAAAAAAATAGTAAAGAAAAAAAAAAAAAATATATATATATATATATATATAGAGAGAGAGAGAGAGGGGTGGGGGTATTGGCTTATTTACAAATTACAATACTCAAATTGATTTGAATTCTATAAGAGATAATAATATCCCATTAAATTAGACATTCTAACTACTTTCTAAATGTCTAACTAAAATTGCAATTCAATTATTGAATTCCAACGAGGGGTCAAGTGCTTGGTTCTAATGGTAAAAACTCGGGTTGACAAGCACGACGATATAGATTCAGGTCTGAAAGCAACCATTTTACACAAAATAGTGCCAAAGGTAAGCAGGATCAGCACTAGGTAATGGCTAATAGTTACCTGCCTAGAGCTGCAATGACGAAAAGCTTAAATTCCCATCTCTTTCTTATTTATCTCAAATGGCAACCACACTACACCTTTGAAATCATTTCATAGAATATACAAAGGTGGAAGTTCACTCATCTAAATTTAAATAAGGTATGTTCTAAAAAGTGAATACTATCAAGTTTAAACTAGAAAGAAATATCACTGAATTAGAAACAGGGTATTTAAGCATGTCCAAATTCAGTCCGTTACAGGAACCGTTTCACACTGATTAACATCCAGTCTTATGCCATTCAAAAAACATAAATAGTTTCTTATTAGGTTAGTTGTCATCATGATGAAATTCATCCAAAGAGATATAGACTCACCAATTTTTCGACCTGTTTCCTCATTGACTTGATCTAAATAAACCTGTAATACATAAAAGTAGATAAAGATACTAAGTCCTCAAGTTAGAAGAATAATGTGCCATTACAAGAACTTAAATGCATTTATAAGATAAGAAGGCAACCAGGTGCCTAAACTTCTCTACTTATCCAAACATAAACTATTTCATTTACTGGGGGAATTTAACATCAATCTGCAAACAGAAGGTAATCAAATATTGAAAAAAGAAAGGGTAACTTGGGCAACAATAGAATTCAATAATATCACGGCAAAAACAATAATGTACGGAAAAGGAATGGATCAAACAATCATAAAATAGTAATGGGGGATACATGGAAAGACACTCCCCACTCTGGTTGACAAGAAAATGTTGGCAGATATATAGTCAAGTCCCTAGTGAATAAAAAATTGACAAATAAAATTTTCTAAAAAGAAAATCACTATCCCCACTATCCCTCCCTTTCTTTTCTTTTCCTTCCAATTCCATCAATCCAAACGAAGCCTTAAAGTGGCATAATAATGAGGAAATATACTGGAAACACTTTAAACTATCCACCATTAAATCATTGTCAACCCTACTGTGCAAATGTATTCATCTAGTCATATGAAAAAAGCACTATCTTAATCAAAACCATTTTATGAAAAAAGCAATATCTTAATCAAAATCATTTTTCATTCTGTGGGTAATTAGAAACAACTTCATTGAAAAAAATAAATAACAATCCTCACATGGAAACAAAGGCATCACATAACCTAGTTATACAAACAACACTATTTCAACAAACACCACCGTCAAGTCGTCAACATCTTAACACCACATTTATTGAGATGTGATTGATGATGCTAAAACATGCATTCTAACCCACCATCATAACCCCATATCTAACAAATATGAAATCAACCCATTACAATTTGCATTATCTCAAACAGACCCATAACATTCCAAAGCCTCAAACAAACATCTAATTTCCAAGAACCCAAAAGTGAAGGAAATACGCAGTGTTCATAAACATAACCTTTGCTCATATTACTTACAAAGTAAAATTAAAACCGCATAGTATTTCTAAAATAATCAAAAAGAAAATGAAACCGAATAAAATTAGGACGAACATTACCAAATTGGGAGAAGAAAAATAGTAGTAATATGAGATTCCACTAGAGATTGCGGCAATTGCTCCAAAGGGGACTTGAAATTTGGTAAATCCCGACTTGGTTTGGCCTCCAAATGCGTGAGTGAATGCGATCGGTGCAGCTTTGGCCAGTCTTTTGAATAAAAAAGCCATTTTCTAGAGAGCGAGCGAGCGAGTTGTACTGATAGGCCAAACAGTGAAACGAGGGTTTTAAGCTGGAGAGTTCCGTAGACTTTTGTTTTGTTTGGAATCTGATTCTTTTGGGATTTGGAATTAATAGTTAAAATGAAATTCTATTACACATTTGGAATAAACTGAAATTAGTAAAAAGGATTTGAAACAAAATAAATTTTGTAGGATTGTAGAAGTAGATATATGAAAGAGGTTTGTACAACAATATCACACTCGTCAGTTGCGAACAAAGAAAAAAAAGATCATCTTTAAAGTTTTATTTTGGTTTAAATAGATCTCTATCATATATTTAAATTCTAACTTTATTAAATTACTCTTCTGAAACTATTTTATAAAATATATAAAAATAAATAATTTTATAAAATGATAAAAAAGATACTATCAGGATTGTCCCTAACATACAAAAAATATCCTTAAAGTTTTAAGTTTGCGCAAATAGATTCCTCTCATAAATTTAAACTCTAATCTGTTCTAAACTTTGAAAACCAGTGTACATTAATATTGATTTTTTTTTTTTTTCTTGTTTAATAGTATTAGTAAGAAAATAAAATAAAGAACTAATTTCACTAACACCCCTTCAGATTTGGCCAAATATCACATTGAAACATCTTTAGAAAATAACTACCACTTACATTACAAATATTTGTTTCATTTTTTACTCATATCCTAAAAGTTACTTTTTAGATGTGTCACATATATATCTTTTTGTACGTAAAATGATATTATTATTCTTCTAACCATCTGTTCACTTAAAAAAGTATTGAAACGACCTGAGTGTCCTTTGACATTTATTATATAACTTTATAATTATTCTTTATATATATATATATATATATATCATCATGTGGACCCACTTTCAATTTAAAATTATTCTTTATATATATATTTCTCTTTATATAAAACAACTAAATTACAATTATTTTTAAAAACTACTCTATATAATTATTCTTTATATATATATTTTTCATCATGAACACTACCAGTTTTTTTCACCTTTTCTATATCTTTTTCTTTTTCTTTTGTTTTTTATAATTTTCTAATTTCCTTTTCTTCTTCAATATTACTACCGGTAAAGAATTTATCTTTTTTATTTTATTTTATTTTCTTCTTATTCATTACTGTCGGCAAAGAAGAGAGACAGAGAGGCTATTAATGGTTCCTCATCACCGGGGACCACTTTGGTCGCCTCTTCTCTCCCGATGCCGGAACCACCAGAGTGTGTGTATTGATGTGCATACATGCACATGTAGTTTCACTGCAATTTTTTGCACAATTTTGTTTTTCCTGGTCAAACCCAGGTATCAGATTTGAATAGGTCACATGCTGAAAAAGTTAAGTGCCTGCAAATTACCATATACATTAGCCGGAAATAAATAATAATAATTCCAACTAATTTCCAGGTCGTCGATAACAGCAACCACCATGGTCGCTGCACTGTTAAGAGTTTATGATAATGAGGGTTTGTAGTGAGAGAAAGGGAGAGTGTGAAATTTGGTAAGAGTATTTTAGTCCTTTCAGTTTTTGATATTTTACAATAAAAGTTATTAAAAAAATTAAAGATAAAATTGTCTTTTCAAGCATTTTTAACGGTGTTATTGATGAAAAAGCCATTTAAGGTCCGAGTGATAGTAATTTTTAAAAGATGTTTCTCTAAAATAAAATAAAATAAAAACCAGTAGAAAACAGTAAACTGAAATTTAAAAAAATTCAAATCCTTATTTTATAAATATATATATATATATGAGGTAATGTGCACATAACATCTCTATACTATAATATTAGTAACATATATATCCTTGAGTATTTTCGGAAAAGTAAAAGGAAAAAACAGGTATTACAACAACACTAATTTATGTCAGATTTATAATTGAGTGGTATTTTTGCACAATATGAAAAGATTATGAGTGTTTTTTGCACACTTTTTAAAATAAAGAATAAAAGTGCTACACAGAGTATATTTTAAGGATGTTTTATATACCTGACCTGTTGTATCCCAAGTTTGTTTATGAAGAACGGATCTAATTGTATTAGTATCTATAATTGATTTATTTTGTGTAATACTAATTGATAGAGCCTTATTGATAAGTGTTACAAGGTCTAGTGCATTGGAACTCATGGTTATGGACCCGAATTCATTATTAGTATGAAACATTTTATTTTCCAAGTGAAATCCCCTAGTATATATATGAAAGAGTGAAAAAGTGTTTTCGTTGTTGTGGAATAAGAAACATTCGTATCTTAATGCAAGTATTTAATTTTTTCGGACCTATTAGAGTGGAATCTACTATTTGGGAATATTGATTATTGATTAAATATTGGTTAGGTCGTGGAAACAGTTTGTAAATGTGTAACGTGTACAAACCGTAATTTTGATAAATCAACTAGTTAGTTATCAAATATTGTAAAATTCTTTAACTTTTTCCTATTATTTTTTAACGTTATTAAATTTCTCATGAAATTTCATCAAATTCTATTTTTTAATTTATTACTTAAATTACACAATTTGGTATAAATTTTGATTATTGATTCCTTTTATAAAACAATATTAGAGATTAATCTTATTTTTATATTTATTTGTTGGTTAATACTCAACAAATAGTCCACTAAATCAGTGGAATTTTTTAAAAAATTCCAAAACTACTCCAAATCATTTTCTACCAAACTTCCCTGGCAGTCCCACCTCTGTTTCTCTCCCTATCATGCCCCGACATTGTTCATGTTATAAACTTAGAATATATTATTACTATATTGTAGAATATATTCTAATTATGTATAAGATATATTATTACTATATTATAAACTATATTTTAATGTACTCCATCTGTTCTAAAAAAGATGTCTTATTTAGAGAATTGTGACTCATAATTTGTGAGTCACGATTTCCCAAACAGAACATAAAATTTAGGACGTAAGTAGTAACTATGTATAGGATATATTACTACTATACTATATAATATATTCTAATGTAATTATTACTATATTGTAGAATATATTCTAATTTAAACCTATAGTAATAATTACATTATAATATATAATAATATATTTTACAATATATTCTAACAGCCCCTCAGTATATGGAGTTACACTTTTTTATTTTCTAACAATTCAACAATTGTCATTTGTAAGTAGACCTGTCAATGAATCGGATCTCGATTCGAATCCGATCTGATTCTGGTCCGAGTAGTCGGATATGGATTCAGTGAAAAATCCGATAATAGTTCGAATCCGTTAACTTAACAAATCAGATATGAATTTGGATTGATCCGATCAGTTAATAATCCGATCCAACTAAAATAATATATAATTATATTTATATTTTATATTATACATATATATATATTTCAAATTTTAGATTTGTGTAAATGTAAATTATGTAATGAAAAATCCTAATTAAAATGTTACTACATTTACAATACCACTATGTGTCCTCATCCACATAGGATCACTCCCCTAATATCAATCCATTGAAGACACGAGAAACATCTGTCCTTGTCATGGCCATTTCTGATAAATCTGGGCTCTTTTCGGGTTCACTTCGGGATCAGTCCAGAAAATCCGTCAATATGCCCGTTTGGCCCCCTGGCGGTCCAAACGGGCTGAAATGTGGAATTTGGGTACACGCGTTCAAACGGCAAAACACCGTCCTTTGCACAGCTTATTACACAGATCCTTTGGGACTAGCACTATCCCTTTCACCCGGAGAAGCGTCCAGAGAGACAGGGGCTTGGCACTTCGGCAAGGCACTGTAAGTCTATAACGTGCTTCTAGGTCCAGATAAAAACGTAGGTGAAGAATCCATTTCAATCCATCTTTTCTATCCCAATTTTGATCCCCTTTGTTTCAGGGTGTCACCTTTACATGGAAGATATGAACCATATTTTATGTAGCAAAAATCATTTATTCTAGATTTGGTATCTAATTTCTTTGAATATTGAATCAATTTGCGTTACTTATGTTTGTATAAATGCAAAAGGTAAAGTTTCTAATAGGATCGAACATCGATAAAATGAGTATTGGACATGGATCGACTAAAGAAGAATTCATCGGATTATCGAATCGGATCACTCAGTTTGCTTATCGGATTCGGATCGGATCCATTGACAAGTCTATTTGTAAGTAGTGTGCTCAGATTAGCAGCTCCACCCAATCATGTGATACTAGTTTTTTTATAATTATTTTTTTCCCAGTGTTATATTATTTATTCCAAAATTAAAAAACTTTGGGCATTTATTTATTTATTTACATATATATATATATATATTTTTATAGATGATGGTACTCTATGCCAAAATCCATCAATTCTAATTTTGAGTATGAATGGGTAGGTACAGGGTGGAGTAATTCTTAGCGCCTGAAGTACCAATCAACATTATTAGTTTTTAAAAAATTTGCAGCTCATCCATCTCAATCTTGTCTTTAGAAATTGACTTCTCTCCGTGAGCTCCATGCCTCATGTTTTTGGTGAAGTTATCAAATCAACTTAAATTAGACATACTCAACCTTATCAATGACTTGAAATTAATCTTGTGAACATTAATTAGTCATTTGAACAATATAATTATTTAAGTACTTAATGACTAATGACTCAGATGAACATAGAAACAAATATTTAATAATTTGTATATTGTAATTTAGCTCTGGACTTGACCTGAGAAGCCGATTCCATCATTTAGCTGGAAGATCTGACAAGGACACACATGAATACGTGTCTCCTTATGCTTGGATTCTATGGATTACATGTCCTACATATTTTGACTCTCACCATTGGTGTCCAAGAAATAAACATGTTTTCATGAATAGTCAATGTAATGGAATAAGGACAAAGGAATTATGAGCCAAATTGTCAATCGAGAATAGAGTGATTGGCCTAATTGTCTGATTAACAGTAGAAACCATAAACTGAATGAACAGCAATGCGCGTCAACCACAAGTTGGAAAAGGATCGAAAAGTATGTGAATATGTATAAATGGAATGTGAATAGTGCCTGACATTATTATTATGTATGTGTATGTATGTGAATAGTACATGGATCACAATATAAATAAGATACTGCTAAGGGAAAATTACGGAGCTTAAAAAAAGAGAAATTATTACATAGTCCCGACCAGTAGTTACGATCAATCTCTATTTAACACTTCAGTAAAAAATTAAATAAATATTACACATTTTTTACATATTTATTTGTGTGTCAAATTGTGATGGAAACAGGTGATCTTGAAACAATAATGAGTAGGTCATCTGCAAGGTGTAGCACACAAGAGCAGCAGTTGACCACTTCCCACAGTAGCAGGAGGGATTTACATGCAGCAGTGACCAACAAACTTGTTAAAAAAAAAATTAAATAACCTCTGCATTATTTTGACAGCAGCCTGAGGATTGTTATTGTTCATATAATGCCATGTGACATTTTCTTATCATGTTTCTCAGACAATGATAAAAAGAAGTAAGGCCTGGTTCTGTCTTTATATGGAAGTATTTTCTATATTTAATATAAATAAATTATATTAGTACTTCTGTTTTGAAGGGTACACAATGATGCAGTGTCAAGAGATGATAGGGTGACAATCATGTAGATTCCTCCCAACTTTCATGATTGGATGTGTGTGTGTGTATATATATATATATATGCTGACAAAAAAGCCCTTGCAACTTGGTCATCAATGCATCTACAGTCTCTACTTGCCTTCTATAATCCTACATGCCCCAAAACATCTTTTTTTTTGACTTTTGATGTTGGGTTCTTATTTTTTTCCTCTAAAATTCTAGAGGAATTAAGTGGAACTCTTCAGGATTGGTTCTGGAGAATCTGGGTTTGGTTTTCTTTAAATTTGATCAAGCAACTTGATCATCTGTTGTTCATGGTTCTTGTTTGTAGAGAAGTGAGCACAGAAACCAAGTAAAACAATTACTGGTCCATGGGTATTTATTTGGCTTTCTAACCTTCTAGGATCAGCAAATTGAAAACCAAAGACACTCAACAGCTTTCTGTTTCCCTTTCCTGATTCTTTTCCCCTTTTTTCCTTTTGAGGTGGTGTTTGGTTGCAGAGCAGAAAATTGAGGTTCCCGTGACAACTAAGAGGAGTGTTCCATGGAAATTCAATGGTTTTTAGAGGTGTGTTTGGTTACAAAGTAACTGATATATGGTGGCTTCATAGGATGTATACAGAATCACTAGTTTTCTGAAGTGTATTCACTAGGGATGTTTGATGGGAGTATGATAATGTCCTTTTATACACTAAACCATTCACCAGCCCTTTTAGGTAATGTATATAAGAATAGGACATATTATAGGACAAGATTTAATCCATCTATGGCCATACAACCCTCTTCACTGCTGGTACAGACTGATGAGGGTGGAAACTTACTGGAATCAAAGAAGATCTCAAGTTCAGGTACAGCGATAACAAGCTGTCTGACACCTAATTCTCTGCTCAGCCAAGCCAACACCATCGGTATCATTGGAGGAGCATCTGTGTTCTCTACTCTGATATTCTTGGAAAAGCTTGTTTGGTGGTGTTCAAGAGATGGAGGAGAAAGCATTCCTTTTGTGGTCTGCAGCGATCCGGTAATAAGTAGAGAGCTCCTGTTTCATGGTTCATTTCCTTCATTTTATGGCAGAGATGCTCAAATTCCCTTAAACCATGGAATGATTGTGCAGAATTTGAAGCATAAAAGGGCAATTCTCGAGCAGTCAGGAGCTCGTTGCATTGTCATGCCATGCCATATGTCTCATATGTGGTATGGTGAGGTATCCCAGGGATGTTCTGTACCTTTCCTTCATGAAGGTGATTGTGTTGCCAGGGAGCTCAAAGAAGCCAAGCTGAAGCCACTTGCTGTTGGGAGTAGCGTGCGGATAGGGGTGCTCGCCACTGATGCAACTTTAATGGCTGGGTTTTTCCAGGAGAAACTAGAGAGTCAGGTAACTAGTGCCCCTAGTGCAGGACTATGTGTGTTGAGTTTGTGGATGAATGCATATGCAGCTAAGTACACTTTACTCATTAATAGGCTAAGTTCCATGAAGGGCAGGGCTTAAATGAGCCTATGTTATCTTTGAAGAGGAACAGAAAGAGTTTACTTAGTTGAATAACTTGGGATGTCCTTTTATGTTCATCAGTAATATGCTACCTTTCACTTAGATTATGATGATGCTGTGAAATGCCAACTAACGAAATATATCTATACCTATTCCTGCATTATACAGATAAAAATTTCCTTGTGTTTCCTGATTCATCTGATTATTGAAATACTGCAGGGCTTTGAGGTTGTGTTACCTGACAAAGCGACGATGGAGCATATAATAATTCCTGCATTCGAAGCATTGCATAGAAGAGACATGGAAGGGGCAAGAAATCTCGTAAGAATTGCAGTGCATGTTCTTTTGGTGAGGGCTGTGAACGTTGTCATCCTCGCTTCTGATGAACTACAAGGTGTTCTGCCTCACAATGATCCTCTTCTTAAAAAATGTATTGACCCCATGGATGCTTTGGCCAGGTCAACTATAAAGTGGGCAAAATCTACTGAAGAGGTACACAAGCAAACTTGATAAGAACTTAATCAGTCCAAGCATATTTACAAGCACCACTCACAAAAGCTGTGTGTCACTCTAGGTGAAACATTTTTGTGCCAATGGACTTGGTTATGAAAAGAAATCTATACACACTACTTTAATTGTAGATGTGATTTGTGGTTTACATATTGTCCATAGAGTCGATATGAAAGGCATTGCCTCATTTGATTTAGTGCAATATTCCTTGAGTCATTTGATTTGTTTGATGAACTAAGGTGAGATATAAAACAGTTGTCTGTCATTTGTAGTTTCTTGGATTGACAACATGTTTAATGGAGTTCATAATCTCAAGTATCATATTTCTCAATTTGTCGACTAGAACCACCTGGAGAACAACAATTAACATTAATGTAAGTCCTGTTTTTCAATGGATTAAAAATTTCAAGTCTGAAAGGACAAGATTTTCAGGAGCCAAACAAACCCTTGTTCAGATTGTCAACAAGGAGGCAATTCCAAATTAAAAAGCTTGATCTGATTAATGGAAGGAGAAGGAGAAAAAGAAAAAGAAAAAAAAAAAAAAAGGTACAGAGAGAGGGATGATATGAGGAACTGTGAAGACATAAACAAACCACCAATGGTGTCTATAAAAGAGCAAACAATCAAAGAAAAAGCATGAACATTCTATTATTGTTGCATCCCTTTTGGGATGAACTAAAAAAATGGAGGGTGAAAATTTCTTCTCGGAGCAAAAATAATGAAACAATTTGTAACTCAGTTGGAATAATGGTGACAGAAACTCTGGGGGTCCAATTTTCAGAAAAGCTTGCAACTCAAAAATGGATTCAGCTCTCCACTGTGCTTGGAAGGCTGTGCGGTGGCGTTAGGTTGTCAATCCAATCACCATAGATATCACTGATCTTCTTGTGTCCTTTCCACTTTACCGAGCACTTCTTATCCTCCCCTTCTTCTTTTGTTGGCACACTGACCACAGTCATAGTAGGAGGTGCATCATTTGCAGGAGCAGAAAGAGGTTTCATTGGAACAGACCATGAATTCATTACTTCAGCTTCGACGCGGCTACCGAGCACCTGTAATTCTGATGAAGGAAAAGGCTAACATCAGGGAATGAAAAACTCACCTCCAAAATTATTCAAGGTTTTCAATTCAGAAAAGAAAGTTCTGCCTTTTATTTACAGAGAAACAAGTGAAAAAATTTCACACCTATTCATGTCCAAGTACCATTCTAATACCCAAATGAAAATGAACTAACTTGTGATTCTACCAGACAACCAAGATATAAAATGAACAGAATAATCAAACACAAAACCTTTCCCATTAGATTGTGTAAAAATATACAAGGAAAGAAAAGATTGTATCTCCATATAACAATCTTTAAATATGAAAACCAGAGGTTTCTCTCCAAGCTGAAGTAAGAAAGTAAATCATCAAACACTATGTAGTGGCTGTAACCGAGGAAGGATAATACTAATGTACATCAGGGTAGAAAGCTTGCAGGAAGCTTCTTTATTTTTTAATTTTTCTATTAGAATTATTTGAGTCACGGGAAGAAGGGTTAGCAAGGGAATAAAATTAAAATTGATGTGAAGATAAAACCCAAACAACATCTGACTTAAATCTTTGTTTATTTTAAAGAAAAATTAAACATAAATTACACATATAAAAAGGACCATAAATTATTTACATATGAATGTCAGATATGTTGGAAAATTAACCAATTCCTATGTTAAAAATAACATTACTACTTATGAATGTCAGATATGTTGGAAAATTAACTCAATTCCTATGTTAAAAATAACATTACTACATATAGGAGGCACCAAAATCTGCTTTTCATGCACAATTCACAATTAAATAAATGTGTCCTTGTTGCAGAGAGAGAAATGAAATATGAAATAAATGATATATATTTTGCAATAATATTCTGGCAGAAGCATTTATATCAACTGAATAAATGTTTCCTAATGTCATCAACTAGGAAGCACGGACAGTCGTGGCTAAAAGGGCGAAGAATCCGTGCCGGACACCGACACGTGTTGGACGCACCAAAAAATGCGTCTGATATATTTTTTTATTATTATTTTGAATATTCAGACACACACCGTGTCTGACAGGCATGTCCAATTCTTGATTTTTTTTATTTATTTAAGGCATTTTTGGGGATTTTTAAGAAAGTTTTAGAAAGAAAGGTGGGTTGAAGTGTAAATATGAGGAGTTGTTTAATAACTGTAAGTAATACGATCTCTCTCCCTCTCTCTTCTCTTTTCTCTCTTCTTCTTCTTCTTCTTCATCCTCTTTCTTTCTTTCTTCTTCTTCTTCACAAATCCTAGATACTTCTTTTTTTTCCTTACACAACAAAATTCTTTTTGAGTCTCCTTTTCCTTTTTCCTCTTGTTTTCATGAACTTTTTCTCTTCTATGGATTCTTACCTTTCTCTTATTTAAAGTACATCATACATATACATATAAATATATTTATTATTCGCCATATCCCCGCCTTGTCCGTGCCCATAATTTTTAGGATTTGTCATGTTGTCATATCCGTGTCATGTCATATCCGTAATTCGTATACGTTTCCGTGCTTCTTAGGTCATGAAATTGGGAGTGGACATTATCAATCCGAGAAACTTATCTTACTCTTATCTTACCGAGTTATTACTTGCTAAATATGGAAAGTCATTAGTATTTTCTACCTCTTAGGGAATAATGAAATCAATTTGGTGCTTTGAGACCAAAATTATCAATGCAAAATAACTGATTTTAATAACTGCAACGTTGATCTTCTAGACCCCTAGAAGACTGGTCTGCAAAATCTTGGATAGGGTTCATGAAGGATGGAGTGTGTCTAGTATCTATCTAGGGGTCATGATGAATAGGATTCGGAAAACATGACTGCAAAAATAAAACTAAATTTTCTTGATTTGTGCCATCCCATTGCATGTTTTGTAATCCAACAAAAAAAAAAAAATGAGGCCATAGTCCAAATTATTTTAAAAGAGCATCATATGTGTCTCTATGGCCTACTTCTCTTCGCTACGAGTCTCAAAACCTTGACCTAGGACTTGAGAGTTAAGACCCCAACCACTAGGACAAAGGAAGATGAGTCTCTAAGGCCTAATTATATAGAGGCTTAATACAGGAAAGTTCCCAACCTTTCACAAGTATTGCCATAATCAATCATGATGATGTGGCCCTATCCATTAACATGAGCTAACAAGCCATATAAAAACTCTATTTATTATCTAATTTGACAGAAAGCAAAAGTGACCGACTTGGCCTCTCTTAAAAGGGAGAAGATATTGGGTGAAATGGGCATGCCATGTCATTGGTAATGCCAGGCCAATGGAAATTCACCATACAATGACGTGGATCTCCAATGGAAAAAACTGCTCTTCACAAACTGATTTGTTAAATTTTCATTGGCCGAGCATATCAATGGCAATGATATGCATGGCTCACCCTATACCTACTCCTTACAAGGAAGGGGAACAAAATGTTTACTTCCAAAATTAGTAACCTTTTGCTTCACCCAAAAAAAAAAAAAAAAATGAAGTTTCGAGGCGTGGCAAGCACCAATTGATCAATACCTTATATGATTCTTCTATATAAATTTGACAAATTAGGATTTACTTCCAGCGTATCACACAGTTAAAAGAGAAGATTAGATTACAGTCCACATAAAAAAATCATCTCTGCCCCACATAGTGACCACATACAGAAATCCAAATATATGTAATAAAATTGAGCAGTGCAGAAGTAATATACCTGATTCCCCATGAGCAAAATGACATCTCTCCATGAAGGGACAATGGCCCGTGGCCTCCCATTTACTACATATCTTTGTCTTCCAATACGCAGGCTTTTGCTTCGTATTAATTCGGAAAGGATCAGAATTGGGACTCACAAGCATATTAATATCAGGTTGATCAGACCCACTGCTCTGGCCCATCATAGGTCCCGTAGTCCCAATCGTTATTGCAGAACTTTCTTGAGTCTTCCCCATATCAGTCTTAAACTTCGAGGGATTTTCATGAAGAAAATTGCACTTATCCCCATATGGACACTCTTCTCCATTATAAAACTTCTTGCAAATTTTCATCCTATGTATAATTCTCTGATCATCATTCCAATTCCCCAACCCTCTATCCTTTCCGGAGACGAGTTCTTGCCAATTGGAAGGGGGTTGACGCAATTCTTCAACACCGTGAGCAAAGGTACAAGTCTCCCCATTACGGCAGTTCCCCTCACTGAATTTCAAGCACATCCGGGTCTTGTAAAAGATATGGGTTGTTCCTACATTCACTGGAGGATTTGGTGGGTTCATTCTTGGATTCATGGGTGGGTAAGGTGCACAATTTGATGGGTTGTTGTTTACAGAATTCCTCGGCCTCTTGAAGGGAGGTCCATTCTCAAACTGGGAATATGGGTAGGGGTGGTGTTCAGTGTTCACTGGCATTTGAGGCCAGAATTCACCCATATTGCCGCCAGCAAAAGGCGGCGGCATGAAGGGAGGTGGTTGTGGAGCATCAGAAAAACTCATGATAGACTATTATAGGAATTGGAATTTGAAATTTTCAATTCTATACTGAGTTCTGATAAAGATTGAATTTTGGGCAGAGAACATCAAAACACTGAGATCACAATTTAATTCAAGAAAACTATAATGGCAATATAGAACCAATGAATTGGAATATGTACTTGATCGGAAAAAAAAATAATAATAATGATCAAGAATATCTAGATATGTATTTAGTCGAAAACCAGATGTATGTATGTAATGGCAATGAAGAACCACCGAACCTGAATATTTATATGATCGTCCAAGAACACCTGGTGAATCTTTTGGGGGTAAAATCGAATCCTATCAAAGAAAATCAGGAACCAAATTGATTATCAACGTTCACAACTCTATATACAATAATAATCAACTAATATGGAAAGTTTATATTAAAAATAATAAAAAACCTAGCCGCCTAACTAAAAGTCTAAGAAAAATCAGTAAAACCCTAGTGGGAATGTGCAATCTGAAACCCTAGGCACCGAAACGGCTAAACCCTAATAGTTTCCAAAACCCTATAAAACCCTATTATTGGGGATAATTATAGGGATTAATTTCCTAATTAAAATCGTAATGACCAATGATTTACCTTAGCTTGTGTGGACTTTTACTAGGTCCACCGTCGTGTGTGATTGGACAGCTTCAGCAAAATTTTAAAAAGCAAATTAGAAAAGTGATCCCACAAAATAGTCTCACAATCCACTTTGTATTTTGATAATGAAAACTCCCTTATTGCACTCTCATCAGTCATCTCTCTAATATGAATGGTACTTTTAGTTTTAATTTCACAAAAAAAGAAAATATCTAAAAAAAAAAAAAAAAATTAAATAATAACTCTGTTGAATAAGTAAATAAAAAAATATCCAAAAAAAAAAAAAGGAAAAAAGAGAGAGCATAATAAAAAAAGAAAAAAATAGTTATCACTGTTTAATACTAAATTATATCTTTTGACATTACCTCTAAAAACAAATGGCATGAGAATTTTATTCCTCTAGATAGGTTTTGGCCTGCAACTATTCGAACATGTTTTTGGTGTGACGGGTATGGTCAGGTTCAAGGAGAAGATTTAGAATATGTGCCCCTTTGAATCCATCCACAACCTTTTGTTTTCACATTTGTGCATAGCGACCTATCCAATTCCAAATTGCCACCAACTTAATAAAAGTTTTGAGATTGGAATTTTTTTTTTTTTTTTTTTTTTTTTTTTTTTTTTGAGATACAAGTGTCATGTTCCAAACATTCGTACTCACAAATAAAGTGTAAGAACACTCTTTAAGACAAATGTGGAGTGCGAGAATGTTATTCAAGAAAACAAGTCATTATTTTTTATTCAAGTAAAGTAAATGGAATATATGAGTTTCTTTTTTATTTCTCATTTTCTTGTATAAATTTTAGAATTCATATTAAACCACTATTTTCATTCTCATCATTCCCTCTGTTCTTATTATAATACAAAAATAATATTGTAACATAATCTTAATGACTAGTTGTAATAACACTTCTAAACTCAAACTATACCATTATTTTTTTTTTTAATTGGTACTTACACACACATATTTTCATAAAGACTTAAATTTCTGACATCTTTTTGAAAAGTAAAAATTGATATTATCGGTAACTACATCCTTATTTAAAAAAAATATTTTTATATTCCATCTTCATTGAGTAGCTATATCATTTCTTTATTAAAAAAATCAAGTGGACCATAAAGGTCAAAAACGTGGGGTGCCAGGATTTTACATCTTTAGACTTTGGTATAAATGCACAAAACAAAGTGACCATCCTATTATTCCTATTCACCATTTTTCTCGTAGCATCTCTAATACAAAATGTTATATTTTTATACCAACTTTATATTTTGAGATGAGTTATACTATCAAAATGCTATATTTTTGTAATTCTATTCTAATGGTGTATTTCACCCAAAATAATATTTTTTGACATAACAACTATTCCATATTTTGAGAGTTCATTGGAGTGTCTTATTTTCATTTTAGCAAAATTTAACAATCTCAAAATATGAGAGGTCATTTGAGAGAGTCCATTAGAGTGTCTATTTTTATCCACATACTATATTTTGAGTTTGAGAAGTCATTTGAGAGCTGCTATATTTGAGAATATATTTGAAAATCTCAAAATATAAGAGGTCTTTTAAGAGGCCATTGAAGTGCCTTATTTTCATCCACCTGCTATATTTTGAGTTTGAAAGCCCATTTGAGAGCCATTGGAGATGCTCTCAAACCATTTTTTTTGGCATGCCACTTATTTTAGGATAAATGGAATAAAATCTTAAATTAGTAATTAAAACATTTTCAAATTTGACAAAATTATCAATTATATATTGTATCATCAAATCCTTTGAAAACAGTGGAAGTGCTGAAGTACCCAGAATTCCATCCAGAAAAAAGAAAAAAAGAAAAAAATAAAAAATTTGAGTCAGGTGCTCCTTACATTCAAATATGAAAATTTCATTTCACTTGCCAGAACTTGCAAACTAAACTTAAACCTCATTGTAGACCATCTCAGAACTTGAAAATTGGTATTTAAACTTCATTTAAACAATCTCATAGTCCCTGAGGGTGGTGGACATGAAGTAACAAATATTTTTGTCATTGGTGACTCTCAGTCACTTACTTCAGAAGTAACCTTCTGAGTCTTGAAAATTTTATATGATATTACATGTATGAAAATTATACAAGCTATATGCTTTGCACCATGAAAATGATACCCCATGACTAGATTAAAGTTCTTCTTAAACATTCATACTCATATACTCTGTGAAAGAAGCAAATAGGCCAATCAGATGCTTCTCCAGCTATATATATTCTAAGATTTCGACAGTACTCTGCAATTGACTTGTGAATTTTTGAGTGGTATTGGCAATTCATGTGTTTCAAATTGTTCTCATTTAATGAGATTGAAAGAGATTGACAAAAATTAGATGTGGGAATCTTGGACTATAATTCTATAACTAAACATATATATATATATATATATATAATCTGCTCTTCAATCCGACGCCTTTTCCTTGACTAAGAATTTGGGAAAAGGGATAATTTCGAGATAGAGAGAGAGGCTTCATTATTGAGTAACTGGTCCAGCATATTTGGACCCCAGGAGATATTCTGCGGAACTAGTTCACAAGAATTGGGGCAGTTGTCTCACATCAACAAAGCAAATGAAGTCATTCAAATACAGCTAGCTTAGAGGAGGCAAGAATATTTTGGAAATTAAAAGCAATGGAGTCTAAGGGCTGACAATAATTTATCTGGAGCTGCGCTTTTTAAGCAAGTATCAGCACATACGCAAACAATCCCATCAAATCAATGGAGGGATTCGAAAGCACCAATATGCTTAGAAAAGTCTACACTCGTTATAGTTGAAACTCTTTTCCCAATATGGGAAGGGGTTCTAGATTGATTCATGTTACAAACTTATATAAGCAACTGTGTTATGGCCTAAGAATGAGGTTGAAGTTGCAGCAGTGAATTATTCAACTTAAAAGGCAGAAGAAATAAATAAAAAGGAGGAGTTGGCATTGACTCGCTTTGAACTTGGAAATTGGCATTGCATCTGTGCTCATAAAGGAGAGAGCATCTGGTTCTTGTCTGCATAATTATTTATTTCTCGGGGCTTTGATGCTTAAAGGAATTGAATTATTGCTCGAAACCAATGCTGTATTTTGAAGTGAAGTATTCAGAGAGATTCTTTGAATCTCATTTTGATTCTTTTGTCACTTTTTTATTGCATTGGTTGAATAAAATTCTCACTAAGGGTGGTCCATAGATCAGCATGTCTTTGAATTGTTCTGTAGACTCGGTCAGAGGCAGCTTTGGGTGACAGTTAATGCAGAAACCACTACCAAACTTTACTTGGACCCCTCCACAAAATTAGTATTCAGTTATAGTTATTCCACACACACACACACACACACACACACAGCTATTATTGGGAGAAAAAAAATAATGGGATCTCATTAGCTTCATGTAAGAACACCTTGCACCTTCTAAGAAAGTTAGAAACCCTTTATGGGGCAATTACATTGCTCTGCTTGTGAAAATAGGTTATCAACCATGAATGTAAATCTTATTATCATAAAAGGAGGATGGGGTGTGGAGGAGCCAAAAGTTCCACTCACACACACGCACACACACACACACACACACACACTAAAAAAGGAAGGAAAGAAAAAGGAAATATGCTAATGGAAGATCGCAGGGGCACGGAACTTGGGAGGCTGCTACATTTAATAATCTCTCTTATTCATTTTCCTTGGACTGCATCATCTGAAAATGAAAGGAAGGAATGTGTCAGGAGATGGAACTGAATAGTGTTAACATCATTTAACTAACAAATTTTCGGAGTCTGAGACAAGAAACACTACAATGGCCAAGAAAGTCGCTTACCAAAAATCCCTTGGCTTTTTGCATTTGTAGCATTCCATCCTACTAGCATAGTTGTGCAAGCCACATCCCAAGCTGACCAAATCCAAAACGGAATCAATATTGCATAAGGTATTAAAATAAAATGACCATACACTTGTAATGTTTAACAATAACATATGATAAAATAGATATACAGTAAAAGGAGCTTAAAGAGATCTCTGTACTTGAAGCATATGAAACAATGTAGGATGGTTTCTATCAACTTTATCGTCATGAGAATATGTTCTGAGTTATCAGATGATATGCTTCTTGTGCATTATCTTTTATGTGCTTTACTATACCACTTCAATGTCATCTACTCAAAGTACAGTAACTTTTTTTTGTGAACTCACTTGTTGCAAATCCAGTCACCAGTTTTCCATCCAGGTATATCAGCACTGCCTCCATAGGCATAAGCTCCTGAGGCCATCATGCCGCCCCCATACGCACAATAATCATTTTTCGCTGCTGCACATCTATAGCAGCTTGTCCGGCTTGCATAATTGTGTGCTCCACAGTTCATGGCGTTGCAGTACCAGTCACCAGCCAAGACTTCTGGCCTGTTTACTCCATACGACACATTAGTCCCGCCACCAAATTTAGGGCACTGGCATCGTTGGCATGTGTCCCGTTTTTTGAAGTTCATGTGTTGGCAAGAATTACACATCCAATCTCCTTCCCTGCTCATTTTTCCTGTCTTGATATCTGAAAGTACAAAAATAAAATAAAGGAAAGTGAGAAAAAAACTAAGGCTATCCATTTTATCTTCTTTGAAGCTAGATAATTGGTCATAAACGAAAAAACAGAAATTATTTATGCATATAGTTAACATTCCACAAAGAATGAAGGGACAAATAGCTAATTAGCCTAATTAGCATATCCACTAGAAAATAGTGGCAACATTCTAAAACTGCATTGGTTAAACAATGAAGAGACAGAGAGTTAATTAGCATATGCACTAAAAAATAGTTGCAACATCCTAAAACTGCACTGTTTGCCCATAACAAACTCCTTGAACTATGGAAAGAAGCAATTTGTATATACACCTATCTCCAACCCCCTGTCCTTGAAATCAAGGTTCTTTAAGAACAAGAAAAGCTGTTCGAACCCAAGGCTATTTCGCCCAACAATGGGGTCTAACAGGGCTAGAATTTTACTAACTCTAGGGGAAAGGCTAGAGGGAAAATGGTTTTCAAACCTAGGAAAAGATCTAAAATGCGAAAACAAGCATCAAGTAGAAGGAGCTCACCTAAAGAAGACGAAGGCTCGAAGCAAAAAAATTTGTAGCACCCAAGAGTAGTACAAGAGATTGTTATGCAGTTGGTGATTTTGCAGAAGGGTTGAGATGGTTTATATAGTTGTTAAGGTCTCATGAGTGGGGGCCATGGAGTTCTTTTTTCATGTTACCTGAAAGTAGAGATTTCTGAAATATTCAGATAAACTTCCTCTTACGCTGCCCTTCTTTTTGGGAATGTGGTGTGGTGGGGGAGGGCTTGTAATTAATGGTATAAACTGGTAAATGCATTCATAGAAGCACATAATTTCAAACAAAAGTCCTAAAATGCCCCTCTTTATATGATTCTCCATGCATTATTTGAGGGAAAAAAAAGGGCTTTAAAATATTATTCTCTCTTTTGTATCCATTTCAAGGAGGGTGTTATGAGGGGAAGTTTTTATTTGCTTTGGAGATTTTTCACTTCCCATCTCAATCTTGTTCACATGGATGGCTCCCATGCACAAGCATGCATGTCACTGGCATGCGCCGACTTCCTTTATGCTTCACACATACACCTTAGAGTAGGTTTATGTGGGCGAGGTGCAAGTTGATCAGGTTAAAAGGAAGAGAAACTAGGGCAATCTTACATGTTGGAATCGATTCCCATTAATGCACATCCATTTCCAAATTCTATTCTTCCTTGTTTCATTACCTTTATGGCAATAATTCAAAAGCCATTTGAAGAAGATTCATGTCCACTGGCATTCTTTCTTTGCGGTCTCCTAATAACTTGTGCATATGCAACTACTGTGACTGAACATGACACTCATTTCTTAATGTTGGCTTTACATGTATGTGGAAATGTGTGTGCTCAAGGAATCCTTTGAACCTGATGATGGCATGCCACACATAAGACCTCAATCAGGTCCTAAGAAAACTGAAGGTATGACTAACACACCCTTTTATTTCTTTCAAGGAATGTTCCTAGAATTTATTCCCATGAGAAGCTAGGAATATTGCAACAGTACTGTGTAAAACTGAAATGATGACATAGTATATATAGGATGATTATTCTATAATATTAAGGTGTTAAACTAGAATCAAGCTACTCTTAATTCATTCATCTGCAAAATGTTAATATAATTAAAATAATCCGAGAGTCGTGCTGTTTCTGATCTATGGAAAGGGATCAATCTGTCAAATGTGAAAAATTCTTCATCCATGAGGTAAGGGATTAGATAATGAGCCACCGTAGAACTATATATAGCACGTGTGATTCGCTGTTTAATGTTGCTTATGGCACATGACTTCTTTTAAAGATTCTGCATTTTTATTCAATTCTACTAGGGCTTTGGTACAATAATTTTGATACCTTATCTTATGCGGAAACCAGAAATGATAAAACTTGAATATATCAAAGGTCCCCCAACTTTGACTTTAGCATTTTGAGAAATTTAGCATATGTTAATTTTGTGATTAAACTGACAATTTGATTTAATAATAGCACTTTATGCTGACAGTGGTCCATAGGCTTGTAATACTGATTCATTTCAAATTCTTTACATTCATTATCTTTATAAAAGCAAAAATTAGCTCCTATACAGAGTAATACAGACAGTGATCATCAAATGTCTTTAAGTTTTTAAGACAACAAATATATCAGCAATATATGTTGACCAGTAATAATCAACACTGTTTAATCTTCATCAAAAACATTGTTTAACACCATTAATGATCAAACATATACATATTACTACCATGAATCATAACTAAACTGAAACAGTGCATGAAAGATCAATATATAAATATATGATATCATTTCAAATTCTTTACATTCATTATCTTTATAAAAGCAAAAATTAGCTCCTATACAGAGTAATACAGACAGTGATCATCAAATGTCTTTAAGTTTTTAAGACAACAAATATATCAGCAATATATGTTGACCAGTAATAATCAACACTGTTTAATCTTCATCAAAAACATTGTTTAACACCATTAATGATCAAACATATACATATTACTACCATGAATCATAACTAAACTGAAACAGTGCATGAAAGATCAATATATAAATATATGATATCAATAAGAAAGCTTAAGAACAATGTTATTGTACATGTCTTAAAGCTACAACAAATTTATTATAATACCGGTTGCAACATTACTTAGGGTTATAATATGAATAAACAAACACAGAGTAGTGTTTTTTTTTTTTTTTTTTTTTTTTTTTTTTTTCTAAATTCTAACCTAAATCTCCAATTTATTTATATATACATTGATTTTTACTCTTCTGCAATGACAATGCAAGTTACAAGCCTTATGAAGAACCTATGATGAAGCATAGAATTAAGGTCCTACATTTTCTGACGTGGCATGCAGACGAGGATTACATGCAATCACAGATGCTTGCGTGTTGACCTAGGATTTGATAAGGAGGAATCCTAATCACCATTTTTCACCAGACAAAATGAATATTCCACATTACATTAAAAACCTTAGACAAAGCCCACTCTTTATTCCATATCTGTGACTATTCTCAAAAGGGGGCCATTTCACTTCAATAATACTTCAAGAATCCACATCCTAATGTTGACATAAAAATACAATCTTTTCTTTTCGAATTTTGAACATTCCAATATTTGCGCTATATATGCGAATTAGTGTACGTTCTGGTAGACCATAAAACATTTATCTTGATTTTAACATGGATATATATGAGTCCCATGGATGACAGTTAATTTCATCAACAATTTTACCTATAATTGGTGTCATCCAACCATACAAGCAAGAAAACGACTTCTAAATGCCTTTTTGGTACATTTGCAAATATTTGATCCTAAATGTTTTTAACCGTTCAATAGTGTTCATGTGTTATTATAATCGTCCAAACTTAAATTTTGGTAGTATAATGGTAGTATAATCCAAAGAAATCCTCTTTTGCTTAACTAGTTGCCTCAGTAGTGAGAGAAATTAATTTTCCTTCTAAACAGTTGTTATCAGAATTTTATATTTGTTGTTAATAATATCCCAATCATAAAACCAAGGTACAAGATTGATCTTTAACAGAATTAAAAAACAACGGCTCTGATCATCAGCACCACAAAATCATCCTTAGATAGTGTGGACCCACCTTGTAAGCAACCATGGACCATCGTTTAGGGGAATCCGGGATCCCTCCTCTTCACATCATGTGTCCCGTATTGTAAATGTAACACACTATATATATATATATATATATATATATATATATATATCTATATATATATATATATATATCGTAGACTCAAAGTGTCAAAGTTTCATAAGATGTAAAATTATTGCCAACACATGTAATGAATCGGCACATGAAAGAAATTGGCCATCTTTTAGGGACCACTGACCGCCAGAGACTTTTTGGCCGATAAATCTTATAACTGAAATAACTGTCCATTTCAACACTACTATACTAAACCCAAAAACAAATGGCACTCTCTTCTTCTAATTCACTTGCCATTCAATCCTCCAATCGCGGTGCAACTAGCTTGAGTTTTGACGAAGTCTTTCTTACTTTTTTATGATGTTCATTGCGTCCCGTAAAAACCCATGACTATTTACAGGACCTTAATAGACGAGGGGGAAGGCCTTGTAGTGCTTTTCAGCCACTAACCTTTCTCATTCCGCAACTCTCTCACCGTCTTTCCTTGAAAATCAAAGAACCCTAATCAGTGTTCTTTCTATTTGTAACAACTATTTCATACAGAGACTCGATTCAAGTTTCGTACATCTAAAGCATGGTAAAAGAAGTTCATACATTTACGGGACACCAAAAGGTTCAATTAGTTCATACACTTCCGGTTGGCGTAATGCAAAGTTTTATTTATCTTGGTTTGTAGTAAGAACAACTCTCTTAACCAATTTTGTAATTAAAAGAAGAAACAACAGTCCCTTATACTCAGCTTTTGCACCCTCCAGCAGAGAAACCATATTCATAAACTTCAATAAGAATGAAAAACTTTCCGTATTAATTACATAATCGTGCAGAATTTTCGGCCATCATTGTGACGTTTGGAGAGATATTTTTAACATTTTTAAGCACGGAGATTGTGGCTTCTAATCCTTAACTACATACATATATGACCGAAGCTAATTAACCGCCAATTTACTTCCTTTGACTACATACATCATAGTTGATATAAGCGCTGTATTTCTCCCAACCAAGTTACAGGAATTATGAGGTAGCATAATTTTTGTTTTTTTTTTGTTTTTCCGCCTTACTCTGAATCTCCAATTACTTGTTTTTTTTGCGGAAACCTAAGCACAGAAAATATACGACATTCAAGTGTTATTGAATATATTCGGCTAATCAAAACATCTCATTTTTACTCTTTTTGATAATAGATCGAAGAGGTATTCAATAACTGTCATTCCGAGGTACCCAACAACTTCTTGAGAAAGAGAGAGGGGAGGGGAGAGGGGTGTTGTTTGGATTGAGTTCCTTATGGACCGATTTGTAAATTCGGGGGTTAGTTGTTTGGGCCTTTTTTTCCAGTGAATAAGCATATCGTATTTTAGGAAATGGGCTTTGAAGAAGTGTTTAATAGTTTGGCTTTGGTTGAGTGATATGTGACATCATATTCTTGTAATTTTAATACATCCAAAAGAGAGGAGTCTTGCAAAAGTCATTGGTCCTTCCAAAGACATTTTATTATGGATAGTAATTTCCTCTCACTCAGTGGGTTTGGCTTGGCCTCGATTCTAATGAGTGGATTTGATAACTCCTAAATAAGTTTGGGATATGATAAAATAATTAAAAATTCGAAATGAGTTTGGGACGGAGACAGATTTAGTGATAAACTCACTCTGCACCCGATTATATATGTATCTTTTAATTATATATATATATATATATATATATATATATATATATAAGACACTTATTAGGGAGTGTTAGTTAATATATTAACATTCGTAATTTAAAAGTTGGGTCAATTTATTTATTAGTCTAATTTGAGTATATTGGGCTTACTGCATAATAAAAGTGGTATAATTCACCTACCCCGCAATTAAACGAAATATATGTGACGGAGTTCATACTTTGTCTATCAGAATAAGAACAGAGATAGTATAATAATTATAAACTTGTCTCAAAATAAGAATAAAATTAGTATAATAAATTTCCTAACCGAACAAAATAAGAATTAACTAAATTCGCCCCACC